AATATTGGAAGTAATTTAACAAGTCTATAATATTGAATAGGGATCAGGTCAATATGAGTCAAAACATGTAGAGATAAAACCGGATCAACTTTTTTTATTTATAAATCATTCATATTATCGCGTCTTTATCCCTTATGGGGTAAACAGTATCCAAGTTAATGTTAATGGGCATAAAGGTGGAAAACAGAATCAAAATAGTGATGATCTTTCTGCTAATTCCCTCGACCAGCTCATATGATCTTCGCGGAAAGAATAGCAGCTTTTTCTTTACTACTAGACCAGTTTAAGAGATTTATAAATATAGGTTTTTTTGTACTGAAAACGGAAGCCAATGATGATGATGATGATGTCTGCGTTACGTTATTTCAAAGTAGTAGTAGTAGTTTTTACTAGTACTAGTTTTTCAATAATTCGGGGTATTACGTTTCATTTTGACTCACATTGGCAATAGTGTCGATTCTGGCATGATTCTCTAAAGCTAAACTTAAATTTGACAACAGTATATCCTTCTCATTCTCTGTACGGATTGGAAACGACAGACTGATGTTAAATTTAGAATTAAGTTTAGAGAATCCTGCTAGAATCGAGACCAATGTTACATTTAAAGGGGCCATCCATAAATTACGTCACACATTAAGAAGGAGGGATGGGGTCGACGAATTGTGACAAGGGGGTGGGAGGGGTCCTAAATTTCGTGACGAAACATCACAAAATCTATTATAATCTAAGTGTTAAAACCCGAACTTTAAATTATTACTTTAAAAAAAACTTACGAAAACATTAACAACTCAAACGAGAACAAGTACAACATACAAGGTGGCCGGTTGACGTTCAAGCGTAAGATTTAGATACTTTATGATGAGGAGTATCCAAATCACTCCCATGTATGTTTTCGTGTTATAATTTTTTTAATGATTTTTTCGTTATTTTCACCTAACATCAGTTTTCGATTTTTTTCTCATTCTGTTGGACGTTTCTGGTTCAGGTTTTTTGTAATAACTGACAAACATAGTCTATCCTAGCACCCTAAAACTTATGGTTTATCTAGGCATTGCAGAATTCACTTAGAATTTATTCGAAAGTTCAAAATTACGATTTGAGCTCAGTACACACAAATTTTCAAAGTATCAATAAAATATGTAAATGGGGGGATTTGGAGTTCAAAGTGCTTTCAGAAACTTCCTGAGACATTAAACTTTAAAATAAGGCCAAATAAAGATAGGGTTGATGAGGGTTTATTTTCTGTAACTGACCTTCAAAGTAAATTAAGGTATTTTTTCAAAGGAAAAATATTTAATTTAAATCTTTGACATGTGTTATGATGATTTGAGTTGAGAGAGAATTGTTAACAAAATAAATTTATTTAAAACAAATTTTCAAAATTTCGGCCTCCCACAGAAATACACAATCTATATCTGCGCAAAAAAATATGTTTTAGGTGCCTATAAGCTTCACGGTTATTTTTCAGTGGTTTCAGCTTCGCGAATTTTTGCTCTCAGTTCTTCTTCACTCGAAACTTCTCTGGCGTACGCAATTTCTTAAAAGTAGCCCCAGATAAAAAAATCAATAGGGTTGAGGTCAGGCGAGCGTGGTGGCCAGGCATTGGCCCTCGTCGTCCGATCCACCTGTTGGGGTAGGTCTGGTCTAACTGGCGACGCACTTGTGTCGCGTAATGACATGGCGCCCCGTCGTTCTGGAACACCATCGTTCTTCTTAATTCAAGATTTACATCTTCCAGTAATATGGGTAGATTGTCTTCTAAAAAAACTTTTGTATGTGTCGCCGTCTAATCTCGATGGCAGTTCAAATGGGCCTACTAATTCGCCATTCAAAACACCTGACCACATGTTTACGCTAAAACGATGTTGCAATGATGATGGTCTGGCGGCATGTGGATTTTCAACGGCCCAAATGTGAAAATTGTGAATATTGAAAACCCCAGTTCGCTCAAATCTTGACTCGTCGATCCACAAGATTTTATTAAAGTATCCGGGATCTTCTTCCTCTTTCTGCAACATAGTTCTACAGAAGTCGACTCTCAATTGATAATCTGAAGGCTGCAACGCTTGTACTTTTTGAAGGTAGGCGTGAAATGATTCCTCACGCAAAATATCCTGTTTTGAAGATCTTGGTATGTCAAGGTTACGAACTAATGCTCTCGTACTTGTAATACTATTGCGTTGCACTTCTTCCAGTACGATTTCCCTGCGTTCCTGATCAACCCTCTGAATGCCTTCACCGCCACGTTGGCCAGGAATGCGGCCTGCCATTAACGTATTGTGTGTATTAATGAACACACGATAGTCAGAGTACTGATCAGGTTGCGCTCCGCCTCAGCGTTGCAGTTGATCCCTGTAGAGTCTTGCTGCTTCACGACCGTTGCCTTGTGCAACGCCGTAGAAATAATGCATGTCTGCATATTCACTCAGTGTGTAGGGCATCACTAACACTTCACTAAACTGAGAGAAAGGCAAAGATTTAAATAAAAGAAAATAATTCCTTGAAAAATGCCTTAATTTACTTTCAGGTCCGTTACAGAAAATAAACCCCATTAACCCTATCTTTGTTTGACCTTGTTTTAAAGTTTAATGTTTTTTGATACTTTGAAAATTTGTGTGTACTGAGCTCAAATCGTAATTTTGAACTTTTGAACAAATTCTAAGTAAATTCTGCAATGCCTAGATAAACCATAAGTTTAAGGGTGCTAGGTTAGACTATGTTAGTCAGTTATCACAAAAAAACTGAACCAGAAACGTCCAACAGAATGAGAAAAAAATTGAAAAGTGATGTTAGGTGAAAATTACGAATAAAATCATTAAAAAAATTATAACTCGAAAACTACGCAAAATCGTAGAACATACATGGGGGTGATTTGGATACTCCTCATCATAAATTATCTGAATTTACGCTTGAACGTCAACTCCCCGGCCAAGGGGAGTGGGTTCAATGTCCGTGGATTCAAGATGATTCAGTTTATATCTTTAATTTAAATATATAGCTATTAATATTCTTTGTTTTGTTATTTTCTTTTTAATATAGTTAATCGTTTTTTGTTTTGTAAATTGTTTGATTTGATGTTAGTATAATTAAAAAAAACGAGTATGCTTATGACCACACCATATACATATTTGTACATATACATATTTCGTTTACTAGCTATAAGAGAAAATGATAAAGAAATAGTGCGCGCGCACTGTTTTCTCTTGCTTATATCCCCCATTTAACTCCCGTTCGCCTCGACCGAACACACTTTTAGTAACGCGTAACACATTCGCCAGATTACCCACCAAGTCAAAAAGTTTCACTTTAAAAATAATTTAAATGGCATTAAAACTGATTTCGGAACCGCTGTTTTCATTAAAAATAATTTCTTATTGAAAAATATGTGACGTCACAATAGGGAGGGGGGGAGTCTCACAAATGTGACCAGCTGTGACAAGGACGGGGGGAGGGGCAAAAAATCATGAAATACGTGTGACGTAATTTATGGATGACCCCAAAGCAGATTTAAAGGAATCAGTTAATATAAAGATAATAAATAGAATGTGATACGATATTTGGTATATCGAATGAAATATATCGATACTACAGTCGTAACTAGATGATTTCATAATATCGGATTGAAGCAATATATCGCTTACATAGCGATATTTTTAAAATCTCAATATATATCGTTCACTCCTAATCCGCATCGATTTTTAAAAAGAAAATTCAAAACAGAGCTTTTAGAGTATTAGATACTCAAAGGCGCTGGGCGTTGAGATCCGCCTTACAAGCATAGGTACACTCTATTTTTTTAAATAACACAAGGTATCGATTCTGACATGATTCTCTAAACCTAAACTTAAATTTGACAACAGTGCATCATTGTCATTCTTTATACAGAATGAAAGTTAAAGACTGATGTTTTTTGTTTTAAGTTTAGAGAATCACGCCAGAATCGGCACCAGTATCAGTCTTGTACTTACTGCTCTGTGTTACCATATGGAGCATCGAACCTTACATTAAAGTATAAAAAAAATGTGCGCGTGTACTAGTGTACATACGTAAGAAGTGAAACTTCTTTATGGCCTTATTTTTTTCGAAAAATGATCTACATGCAACTTTCCAGAAATATATATATAGGCGTGCGCTAAGATTTTTCAAAAACTCACCCACTAAAGGGGTAAAACTACACCTTACCTTACCTTACCTTACCTTACCTTACCTTACCTTACCTTACCTTACCTTACCTTACCTTACCTTACCTTACCTTACCTTACCTTACCTTACCTTACCTTACCTTACCTTACCTTACCTTACCTTACCTTACCTTGTGTGAAACACGAATATTTGCTGTCGATACTTTTTTTTTTAAAGTTCACAGAAGAAGCGTTGTTCGGATGAGGTAAATAGTGCTCTTTTAAAAAAAAGATGGCGCGTAACCAAAAAACGTGACGCGTAACCGAATAAAAATGTGACGGTAAATTTTTTTCCAACGCCGATAAAGAAGTTTCACTTCAAAAGTCATGATGACAAAACAGAGGATATTGTGATTGTGAAATGAAATTTGTGTGATTTTGTGTTACAACCAATCGTCTGCACAACTGATTTAGTGGAATCTTAAAAAAATACGCTATTTCGGACAAATGTATTGTAGTGTTAACTACCTCACAGAAGCTTGTCGTGAAAGCTGACTCGATACATTTCATGCCAAATAATCCAAGAAACATTAAAATACGTCACACCGACGTTTTGATGTAAAAAAAATAAGATTAATACATAACCTAAGACAATGGCTACATGGCTTTACCTTTGCCTTGCCCAAAATGGAGGAATAAAAAAACCTAATTTGACAGTGACAGCCAGATATTTAGGTTATAATCTAATGTCGGTCATGTGGATTGTAATGCGTTTTTATTTTCATCAAATTGCGTATTAGATGTTAATTTTAATGATTGTCCGTTCTTTAAGGTACGACATAAAAGATATTCTTTTCAGCATCATTGAATAAATTCATCATGACGCGATTTGCTAGAGCAAAGGGTTCCAAAGCTTCCAATGAAAAGGCACCTGAAGATGGTACCCCATGGGAGGTAATGAAGGAACAGCTTCTTCAGTCAAAGAAGGAAAATGATGAATCTAAAAAACGCGAAGAGGTAAATTGCTTAAAGCATTTCAGGAATAACTAGAAATAAAATAATAAACATCATTGTTTATGTATGGTCTTGCATGAGCAATCTGCAGCAAGACCGTGCAGATTGCAATGAAACAATTTCTGAAGTAACAATATTGTGATAACTCATAATATTATTAACTTGAGTGCCTATGTATATCCGTTTATTTCAATTGTGTGCACTAACATCTAGCAGTATTACTAAATGTAACAGTTTTGCAATAAAGAATTATTCTATTCTATTGTATTCGTGTGTGTGTATAAAAAACTACAAAAAACACAACCTAAAATATTTGTTTCTTGGGTTTTCACGCACATCACTCATTAAATAAAACTAGTTTTTACGGGTTAATGCACGAAACTTTATTTATTTATTGACGTTTCGCAGCCTTTTCAGGTCTGCATCGTCAGAATAATGAACGTTATTCTGACGATGCAGACCTGAAAAGGCTGCGAAACGTCAATAAATAAATAAAGTTTCGTGCAACAACCTAAAATATTAGTAAAGTAGGGCTTATTTAATAGGTCACATTTGATGCTTTCTAAACAAAAACATTTCTGTTCTAAAGTACTGAACCATTACTAGTTGTTGTATTGCTAACCTGTAATCTAGTATTAGTTGATTGTCTATGGTTGTAATGTAATAGTCTATGCTTATAATAAAGATGTCGGCAGTTAAAGAAGAAGTGTGGTTTTAATTATCTAATATAAAATTATAAAAAAGACTAAAACATGGCGCTGCAAATGGAAAAACTTGGAATAACAGGTACGGGAAACATGAAAGAAAAGTGGAATCTGTTTAAACAAAAGTTTGATATATATTTAACCGTGACCAGTTTAACAAAAAACAAAATTCTCACTGGAACGGACAAAGTAGCTCTATTTCTTAACTGTCTGGATGATGAAACATTGAAAATCTTTAATACATTTGAATTAAACACTACCACTACCACTCTTGAAGAAATTTTTAAAAAATTTGATAACTACGTGTTTAAGGGAACTAACGAAATCTATGAGAGATACATTTTTTTCAATATGACCCAACAAGGTCAATCTATAAGCACATTTGTCAATAACTTGCAATTACAAGCGCAAAATTGTGAGTTTGGAACACAGAAGGAAAAATTGTTAAGAGACAAACTAGTACTTGGGGTTGATAGCAAAACACTCCAAGCGTCATTTTTAAAAGAAAATAACCTAACATGGCAAATGGCGGTTGAAATGGCAAGAATTTTTGAAGCCCATGAAAAACAAATTGCGGTTATGCAAAAAAGTGATGAGGTAGAAGTTTTGGAAATAAAATCAAAATATAAATGTAAGAAATGTGGGACTACGCACAAGCCCCGGGAATGCCCAGCTTTTGAAAAAATTTGCCACAAGTGTGGGAAAACCGGCCATTTTTCAGTAGGCTGTTTTTTAAGGAATAAAGTTAATAAATATCAAAGACGTCCAGTGAATGAATTATCTGTAAACAAAAATCAAGACTTTGATGAGGAAAGGTGCGTATTTATCGGTTCACTCAATGTTGGGGATAAACAATGGTATGAAGATATAGTTTGTAATAAAGTAACAATAAGGTTTAAGATTGATACTGGATCTGAAGTAAATTTAATAACTTTATATGATTTTAATAAAATAGCAAATAGAAACTCAATAAAAAATTGTAACCTCACTTTAGTAACATTTGGTGGTTATCAAATTAAGCCAATAGGTTTGGCTGTACTACCTTGTGTTTACAAGAAAAAGGAAATTAATATAGAATTTATAGTGGTACATAATAATTGCACTACCATTATTGGTTTACCAGGTAGTCAAATTTTGGGTCTAATTCACAACGTGAACACAGTATCACTTGAAGAAAATGTTTTTGTTAAAAGATATCACAATTTATTTCAGGGAATCGGAAAATACCCTTATGAATATAATATAAAAGTGGAAAACAATTGTGAAGGTGTTATATGTCCACCACGGAGAATACCTTTAAGTTTAGTGAGTAAACTGAAATTAAAATTGAAAGAATTAGAAAATGCTGAAATAATCTCAAAAGTTGATTGTCCTACTAAGTGGGCCAGCAATATCACAGTGGTTGAGAAACCAGATGGTAGCTTAAGAATTTGTTTAGATCCAGTTTACTTAAATAAAGTTATTATTAGAGATTATGAATTAATTCCAACTCTTCAGGATATAAGAGCCAAGTTGAGTAGTAAAAAAATTTTTACATTGCTTGATTTAAAGGATGGATTTTTTAATATAAAACTTAATGAGGAATCGAGTGACCTGTGTACATTTAGCACTCCCTTTGGTTACTACAAATTCTTAAGATTGCCGTTTGGTTTGTCTTGTGCCCCAGAATACTTTCAAAAAGTAATGACTAAAATATTTGGTGATATAAAAGGCTTAGTTGTTTATTACGATGATTTAGTTTTGGCCACAGATAATGACCTAGAACATAATAATAGCTTAAATCTTATTATGGAACGAGCTAAAAGATACAATATCAAATTTAATTTAAAAAAATTACAATACAAAAAGTCTGAAATAAAATACTTAGGTCATATCTTTTCAGAAGAAGGGCTTTCAATAGATCCAGATAGAATTCAGTCTATTCAACAACTTAAGAACCCAAAAAACATTAAAGAATTGCAGTCTGTTCTTGGCATGTTAAATTATTTGAGAGAATTTATACCTAATATGGCTAACCTAACACAGCCACTTAGACAATTATTAAAGAAAGAAAATGTATTTCTATGGACTGAATACCATACAAAATGTTTTGATAAAATAAAATCTATTTTATGTGACCTACCTGTTCTTAGTAATTTTAACTCTGGGCTACCAATTGTAATACAGTGTGATGCATCTAAGTGTGGCTTAGGCTGCTGTCTCTTACAAAACAACAAACCAGTTGCATTTGCTTCTAGGGCCTTAACAGATACTGAAGTTAACTATTCACAGATTGAAAAGGAATTTCTGAGTATTGTATTTGCTTTACGAAAGTTTCATAATTATATATATGGATATAGGTTTACAGTATTAACAGATCATAAACCATTACTTAGGTTAATTAGTAAAGATTTATGGAAAGTGTCATCTGACAGATTACAGAAAATGAAAATGATTGTGTCTAAATATAAATTTGATGTTAAATACTTACCTGGAAAGCACATGTTCATAGCAGACTTATTGTCTAGAAATTTTATTAAAGAAAGTTATGAGCACGAGCTAAATATCAGTGGTACAGTTCACAGTGTAATACAATATGATAACATAGATCATTTTCAGTTAAAAGAAGCCACAACCGAAGACTCAGTTTTAAAATTGTTAATAAATTATTGTAAAACATCTTGGCCTAAGAAATTAAAGGAAGTTCCAGATAGTGCTAAACATTATTGGAGTCTAAAAGAAGATATATTTTTTGAAAATGGAGCCTTATTTTTCAAAAATAAACTTATTATTCCGGAAAAGTTAAAATTAAAAATATTGAAACTTTTACATGAGGGTCATATAGGGGTAACTAAAACTAAATTAAAGGCTAGGGAATTGGTTTATTGGCAAGGTATGAATAGTTTTATCGAAAAATATATATTAAGTTGCAAAATCTGTGAGAAACATAGAGCAACTAAGTCACATGAAACTTTAATTCCTCATGACATACCTGAACTTCCATTTCAAAAAGTTGGTGTTGACATATTAACTGTCTTTGGTAAAGATTATTTAGTGTTAATTGACTATTTATCGAAATGGTTGGAAGTGGAACCGCTGAAATACAAAGACAGTGAAAGTGTAATAAATTTATTAAAGAAAATGTTTGCATGTCATGGCATACCATCTACAATGATAGCTGATAATGTGCCTTTCAGTTCAATAATGTTTAGTAACTTTGCTCGGGCCTGGAATTTTAATATTATTACTAGTAGTCCCTGCTATCCAAGGTCCAATGGAATGGCTGAAAAAGCCGTCCATATTGCAAAACAATTAATTAAAAAATCCTTTGAAGATAACTGTGATATTGAAAGTGCTCTATTAAATTATAGGTCAACACCCATTCCTCACTTGGGGCTATCACCAGCTGAAATTTTAATGTGTAGAAAATTAAAAACTAAATTACCAATGTCAAGAGATTTGTTAGTGCCTAAATGTACAGGTAACTTAAAACATTTAATAAATAAGCATCAAAAACAATATAAGGATTATCATGATAAAAAATGTAAAAGTGAACAAATATTTAGTAAAAATGATAAGGTGTTAATACAAAAAGACAAAGTGTGGGTGCCCGGTAGAGTGATTGCTAACTATTGTACTCCTAGATCTTATGTAGTCAAAGATTTAGGCACTAATAAATTCATTAGAAGGAACTCTTCACAATTACGTACACGTAGGAGTGATAATGAAGAAATAGATGTATCTGATTACAATTTTCCAAAGCTTAGGAGTCAAGATGAATATTGTAACAATAGTAATAGGGATGATTCTGTATTAGTTAATCAAGAAAGTACTGTGAGATCAAAGCGACAAGTAAATATTCCTAGTAGATTTAATGATTATATACTGTATTAAATAATTAAGTCAATGATTGCTTAAATAAGGGGGAAGGAAAATTATTAGACATATTTTGTTATTATTAAAAAAAAAAAAAAAAAAAAAAAAAAAAAAAAAAAAAAAAAAAAAAAAACTGTAGAAAGTTACTTTTGTTAGAAAGAGGAAGATGTTGTATTGCTAACCTGTAATCTAGTATTAGTTGATTGTCTATGGTTGTAATGTAATAGTCTATGCTTATAATAAAGATGTCGGCAGTTAAAGAAGAAGTGTGGTTTTAATTATCTAATATAAAATTATAAAAAAGACTAAAACACTAGTAACATATTTACCCTAGGGAAGGCTGCGAGTGGCGGCAGTACCCATAAAGGCATTGTTACTGACCTATATTTTGATTTTATTTACTAATTCTAGAATTCTGTAAATCTTAAAATGGTCCGGGTACCAAATTTTAAATTTCTCCCCTGGTTGTGACTATGTCAGTCAGAAATGTTTGTGTTTTATTTATTTTACCTTAATTTTTCTTTAATTCAATAAGCATATTAATGTCAGTATTGCATTTTTTTTTATAATAGAATTTAATTGTCATTAACTTTAAAATATGAATTGACATAAAAAAAGTAAGGCTAAAGTAACTAGAGTTAGGCCATCAGTTTAAACATAAATTAAAAAAAATCATTACCTATATTTTAATAATTATATTGCTTTATTTGCATTTCAGGCTGAAAAGCAAAGATTAGAGAATTATCAAACTTTTCTCAAAGAACAGAAAACACAGAAAAGGAAAGCTACCTGGTGCGAGTTTCCTGAGACAGAAAAAGCCAAAGTAGCTAAACTTCCAAGTAAGAAGAAAAAATCTAAGGAAGATATATCTAAATCAGAGGCAACAGAAAACAAGAACTCAAATGAAACTAGCAACAATATTACTGATATGAATAAAAAACAAAAGAAAAAAAAGAAGAAGATGAATAAGAATGAAAATAATTCCATTACCCTTGAAGTGAATGTAGAAAGTAGTAGTAAGAAAAATAAAAAATCTAAAGCTACTGTTCAAGGTGAGACGGAGGACAATAACTCTAACAAAGTAAATATTAATGAAGCAAGTACAAATGCAACTGAGAAATCTAACCAAACAAATCAGCACAATAAGTCTATCAAAAATCAGAAAAAAAAGAAAAAACTGTTAAATGGGCAGCCAGTTAGACGAAAGGAAATCAATGATAATAGTTTCGAACTAATTATTAATGGGAAACAAGTAGAACTGATTAGATTTGATGGTTTCCCAATCATGAAAAAAGATGCAGAACGGCTGCAGGAATTAAAAAACAATATGATCAAAAAGGGAATTCCTAAAAGTGAAGTACAGAGAACCATGAAGCTAGAGAGGCGTCGTGCTGAGAAAGCACTATCCAGACTAAAGAGAGATGTTTGCTACAATTGTAGAAAGGGAGGTCATAACCTGTCTGATTGTCCAGATTTGAAATCCAAAATACCAGGAGTTGATGCTGCCGATGGAGTATGTTTTAAGTGTGGTTCAACTGAACATAAGCAGTTTGAATGTAAAGTACAGAAAGACATGGAATTCAAGTTTGCTACATGTTTTATATGTAGACAACCAGTTAGTATTTCTAGAACAATTCATTAACAATAGTTATCTGTAGTTAATTTTTCTAATTTCTTTATATTAATTCCAGGGTCACATAGCAAGACAATGTCCTGATAACCCAAAAGGCTTGTACCCTAATGGAGGTGGTTGCAAATTGTGTGGAGATGTAACACACTTAAGGAAAGATTGTCCTACAGTTAGTGCAAATTATAAATATTACATACATACATATAACAACAAACTATTTCTTCACATAAGACTACAAAACTATCAAAATTCGAAATATTTTGCTTACGTATTTTTTTATAATTTTAAAATAATGCACTGTTAATGATATTTTTCAATCATTTCAGGCAAATACAACAAAAGCAGAAACCAGTATTAAACTTCAAACTCTAGACAGTGACAATAACATAGAAGATATTGGTCAACAGGGAACTGTTAAAACACAGACAGAGAGTGGAACAAGAAAGCCCAAAAAAATCAAATTTTAAAAACGTTTATTGTTGAAAATTTTATAATAAAAAATGCTATGTATAATAATAAATTGTCTTTTGAATTATTTATTTGTTATGATGATACCTCTTCACAGAAATCTACAAAGATTCAAGGCTGGCTTTTAGTTGTTCCATAGATTGGTGTGCAATTTGTCCTGTGATTCCTTCGGGGCTATGAGGGTCTTCCCGGGACAGTATCCGCGCGGCCTCCGCTAAGCACTTAATGGGCTCTTGCAGACGTTCCTTCAATTTCTCCTGAGTGATGAGGCCTGCGCCAAATTCACTTCTAGCCAAAAACATCAATGGCGCATGCAGCTCGTACAGCATCATACCTGTTGTAGAAAATCACAAACTTGAAAGTCATAATCATAGGCAGGGTCACTTCTCTGCCGCATTATTAAACTAGAAATCCAGATCCGGTAATCCGGTGGCATCATCTAATATTATTTGTAAGCTCAATTTAAATCTCTGTGTATAATTTATGTATTTTATTACATTTTATAGTTATTTACGAAAATTATTGAATAGAAGTATCTGCGAAAACAGCTACACCTGTACCTATCGAAAGAATTAGGTATATCTTCAAATATTGGTTGGTAGCTAACCTCTCATGCGTGATTCCCCAGGCATGACGACGTCGAGGGTGGTAAGCAGAAGGCGGCAGAACTCCGCCTTTCGCTCGAGCACTATGTCGGGCAGCTCGTCTATCTCGTATCCCTCCACTCGTCCGTACAACTGCGCCAGCGCGTGCTTGATAGATATCAGCAGCGAGTGACGTGGGTGAAACACCGATTTGTACTGTAATTAAACACGGGGAAACGTAAAGGGAAACAAACAGTACCGTTAGCACGAACCAATAATGAATTCGAATACTTAAATTCGATCTCGATATACGCGTCAAATGTCAAGAAGTTTTTTATGGAAGGTTTTTAATCCGTTACGTCCGTTGTGGCGCTGTTCAAATATTCCATACAAAACTTCTTCACATGTAACGCGTATCGAGATCGAATTCGGACTACTTATTCGAATATTGACTGGTGCTAAGGGTATAGAATAGTTTTTCTTCACGAACGCGACCTCTGTGTTCTCTCTTTGTGTTCTGTGTGTCCAACGAACACAGAGAGAGCTGACCTCTGAGAGAGGGGCGAGGTGATGTAGCCACGTTCGATTCCCGGTACTTCGTTTGTCAGTAGTTCTGCATTTTACATATCACAGTCTTGCCGCACATAGCTGTGTGGTTATCATCATCATCAGCTTATTAATGTCACCACTGCTGCGGCACAGGCCTTTCCTGTGGATGGAATAGGGAGACTGGGCCATGTGCGTATTGGTGGGTGCTAAAGAGTGCAGATGTAGCCGGGACCAACGTCTTAACATGCCTTCCGAAGCACGGAGGAGCTCGATAGTAGATAGTACATTTTTGGTCACCCATCCAATGACCGACCATTGCGAAAGTTGATAAAGTTCCTCGATCGCGGGCCGAACACGCTAACCACCTGCACCATCGAGCTCGTCGTTCCCTTTCCGCAAATCGGAAAAAGTACGCCTCTGCATCTACTGTTTTTCTTGTAGCTCTTTCCATACATCCACTGCCTTTTTCTATAACGCCTCCCGATTTTTAAAAATCAGAGCTGGCAGCACTGTACCTTATTGAGGACGGCCTCTCTCTGCTCGATGGATTGTGGGCCGGGCGGCAGTGCGTCCAGCTGGTCAACTTCCGCCTGTACGACTGCCAGCATCTTGCGCATCGCCGCAGACGACGTCTTGAACTCGCACTTCTTCTCTGTGCAGTTCCACTCCCCTTCTGCATCTAAAAAATAAGAAAAGATTCGGTAAGTAATGTCGCTGTATCATTCATTCCGTTTGATGGTTTAGGTACGGAATCCCTGCAGCGTATGTTGCCTGAATGTACGGGCTTCTCAGAACTCGTGATATGATGAGTGCAATGGCACAGCAGCTAGCTCGTGCAGTCTGCGATAGTGAAAGATTGACCTAATTATTGGTCCATGGTGGAAGTTAAAAACTTAGGGAGTGGCAAAGAGTACTAAACACAAGGTAACAGGTAAAGTAAGGTATCTGATACAAATAAGGTATATGCTGAAATAAGGCCTGTAGTGCAGAAAAGTCTATTAAAATATGTTTACCTACATCAAAAATACTTAACACACGCATTGATGACAGTTCTACAACTCGGGAAACTGTGCACGAGCGGTCCGCTCGAGCTCATAGCGTCAGTAGTGGCGGTACTTTGTAAAGAACGAGCTTTTCGTAGCGCGTTATTAATTTGTTGTAATCTTTAACGAATTTTAATACGTTATTCTTTGAAGTTTTAATTTATGTTATGTATAGGGATCACAATATAACTAATCAAAAAGTTGACTATGACTTAGAATTTAACTTTTTAGAATATGTGAATTAAATACTACTTATAACTTTAATGAAGTATAATGTACTAAATAAAGCCTACTTTTATAAAAGGCCTTATTTTTATCAAATATATCTTTCAAAATATACTCAATTTCCAAGATTTAATAATATTTACGAGACATACAAACAAAAATTAGCAAAATAACATATCTGCGTCTTCAAATCCGACTAACAATTTAAGCAAAATATTTAGTAAAATAAATTATAATGTTGTTCAAGGATACTATGGAAACACTTGATTAAAGGCTCAGAAATATAATTTATACTCTCTTATAACTATTCCTATAATTTAAGTACATAGGCTTTGTTAAGTCACTATGTTTTTAAAAGGCCTAAAGCTGAGGTTCCAGAATTAGCTCTTTTTAAGTGATTTCTGATAAAAGATTGTAATATGTTTTCTTAATTACTTAAAATTTATGAACCCTTGGTTGAGTATTGCCTTGCTTTTATTTATCACCTTCTTCGAATAATTTTATCATGATATGAGTGTTTGAAATTAGGTAGACCTTATTTGTATCACTTACCTTACATGATTTATACCTAATAATATATTTTTATGGAAATATATGTAAACCGCCATGAATTGCCTATAAATGCTCGTATTCATCATACAAACATTTGCCCCTACCGAGATTCGAATCACGGAGGTCGTCTTTGTTTGTTAATATACTGTCGCATATACCTAAATTGACTCTATCTATAGATGGTCGATTATACCTATTATTTACTTAACTTCCTTCAATTAAGATGAGAATTTTATTAATCAGTGTAAAAACTTAGCTCCTTTTAACTCCTCCTGAGATATTAACTTTTAAATTTCCGATTTAAAAACGTACACCTTACTACCTACCTACATAACAAAAATTTTGAACTGTAGCTGTACGAACATCGGGGATACATTTATTACGTCTGCCGTGATAATTTATAACGCTGTCGCTTGTCCTGTCAAAACATTTATTGGCACAAGATTTAATGTTCAAACATCTTTGATGTTATCATAAATTTTCGGCAGGCTACCTACCTAATTGATGACGGACGAGCTCTACCAAACACTTCATGTTATTCACAAATGAAATGTAGAAAGATAAATAAGATAGACAATAGGTACAATCTCTTAATATGTTTTTTAATACTTATGCAATTATTATAAGCGAATAGAAACCTACGTACTGCCCCGGAGAATCAGGGGTTTTTTTTGGCAGGCAAAACTTCTGTTTACAGACGTTGGCGCCCTTAAGGGGCACACCAACGAACGGACCGGGGTACCAACTCATCACCAGGCTTACTAGTTCCCGGAGCCTGAATAAAATCTGTACGTAATCCTTTTCCGTACAGCTTTGGCTATCTAACTCTCTGCTGGTAGGTATGTACTTACATAGCAACAGAATTTGTCTTGGTGTGATGCTGTTAAGTAATTTATACTCACCTAAGGGATTTGAGGCCATTATCACGCCGTTGTCACATTTCTGACATTTGAGCGTGCTGAGATGCGTTCCCAGCTCCGTAGGATCAGCGCAGCGTGCACACTCGCACTTGAAGAATTTGGATTCTAAAAGGTAATCTTGTCGCACTAGCGTAGGCGACAGGGCGTAGGTGTAGCACAGTTGCAACATGTCTCCGGACTTGATCGGGACTGCTGCTCTCACGCGAACCCTGTAGACCAAAAAGTGAATGGGTTCAGAACTACCTCTAGTAGCAGTAGCCCGATTGTTAGTCCGGTACCCACAGAAAACAGAACACCGATACGACCTATTAACAGCGGAAGCTACGCAGTCCACTAAATTTCCCAAAAGATTTGTATTTGGAATAAATCTAAATAGAAGTTAGTTCTATGAAATATTTTTGATGTGTAACATCTTTCCTCTCGCTTTCGTGCGATTTGTGGGAGTGCTTACGTGAAGTAGGACGGAAGTGTGTAACAGGAAGTTTGGGAAGCGCACGCTATTTGATTTGATTTTAGAACATAATGTTCAAATGGCTTATTCCTTTTGTAGTAGGTTTTTTTCTGATTTTACTAATATAAGGTGAGGTTTCAAATGTTACACATCATACGCGACTACTGTAAGGCTCGCTCGTTTTTTTCTTTTAAGTTTTGGAGTTTAATTATTCACAAAGACAAATCAAGATAGAAACATTGCCATTTCTTCTATAGAATGAATGGTAGTGATCAGTGCATTCACCCAGACCCGGATAGTGAAGGCGCTGGCTCAATTCCAGCATTATTCCTACGTCCGAGTTTCATTTTTTCTAGTAATGTATTTTTTTTAATATTTTGTTTTATTGTCAGAAAAATCTTCCATCTTCGCTAAAAGCGCGCTGAACTTACCATGTTAGCCACAGCATTAAAATCAAGTTATCAAAACTTTGGTTTGAAGTATTTTTTTACTTCGATTAGGAAATTCATGACATGCTGAAGACTTACTCATAGTCGTTTTGTAGAATTGAGTGCACGATGTTAGGGACGCAGCTGTGCGCCGCGATGGCCAGACGCGGGTAGATGGCCCTTATGCTGAAGCCTCCTCGCGATGGAACCTCTACGGAATTTACCTAAAATTGTTTATATCCCTTCATCAGAGCTTTTATGTTACTATATAACATTTAATTTTAACACTAGATCGGCGTCTCGTCATGTAAAAAGAACGCTAGAGAAAGGGAGGAGGTGTGTAATCGCCTATAGCGCAACCTAACCGCCTGCGTTTTTTTTTACATGACGCGACATATATGTATTTGGGCTATTCTAGTAACTATATATAATTATTCAATGGAATCAATGACATTTTCAGCTGAGCTCTAGCAACTTTTTCCACCCACAGAAACACAACTTAACCACAAAAAAATTATAAGTTAAAATTCGAGTGCAAATATCGCTATGCCAAACCTAGCTTACCTCCTCCGCTATAGACAGAAACACTGTAGACACAGAAGTAGGTACAATAAGACTTCTGAATATGCTAACCCATACTTTGATAGTGACTTAAGATGCTACCTACGAGGTACCTACGCACGGGTAAGCAGGCAGCATCAATTTCATCCAAATCAGTTCAGCCGTTTTTTTGGGATTGAGTAACATAGATACAAACTTTTTATAATATTAGTAGCATTCTTTGGGGTAAGGAGCTAATAAGCTAGCGGACGGTTATTGTCATCGAGGGTGACATTGTGCTTGTTCGCCACTCTCGAAATATAAATAAAAATCAGTGTCAGGTACCTCAAGAATTCCACAGACGCGCTGCGCCAATTCCTTGTCAAATCGGTCGCCGAGCTTGCAGTGGTCGATGAGGAAGTCCACCACGTTAACCTGGTCTGCTGCCCACGTCGGCCGCTGTTTGCGCGCCTCCGTGTGGGCCTCCATGGAAGACACCTCGCGCTCCCACCTCTCTGGGTCCTTTTCTTTTGCCAAAAGTACTCTGTTTACCAACAGAAAATAGGTAGTAAATAAGCGTATCGTATGTGTATCCTTATTACATATCATGTTGAAAGAATATGTCGCATCTTCTAATTTCAATAGGGAATCTGTGGATATTTGAAACGAAGGTACTCTCTGCCACTTTCAGGCTATATCATCATCATAATCAGCAGCCTATTAATGTCTTCGCAACGATCGCAGAACGAACGTGCTAACCACTCTGCTCTCGAGCTTCCGAGGTGAAGTAGGCTAGTCTATATATAGGCATTTAATAAAACAACCATCCAGATGAACGCACCATGGATTGAAAAGCGGTGTAACAACCACTTGGAAGATTAACTAATAATAAATCACCTTAACGGCGTGATACAATCGAGTTGGATCGACGCTGCCGTCCAATCTTCAACGGGTTGGAAGCGGACGTTGGCCGCGCTGAACACGGCGCACTCCGCGGCCACGTGCGCGGGCGCAGCCTCGCACTCCTCGCTGCACACCGGCCAGCCGCACTTGGAGCACAGACGACCCTCCACCGCGGCGTAGCAGCCCAAGCATAGAGGGCAAGTATCTGTTTCAACAAAAAAGAAAAAGACAAGTATTTAAGAATTATTATAAGCAATACTTCACATAAAACCATGTTTGTTACTCAATCACGCAAAAATGGCTCAACGGATTTAGATAAAATTTGACACATTGTTCATTACCTGATTTGAGACATAATGATACTTTTTATCCCAAAAAAGGTTATTGTTCTTGTAGGATTCTTAAAAAATCATTACGTAGGTAGAGGAAGGAGCTGAGTTCATAAAGATAGAGAAAGTTTCCTAAACTTTTTTTCTCGTAGAGCCTTTCAATAGTGAAGCTACTGTTGCTACATTTCTAACATATTGCAAAAATGTAAAAATATGAATAAGCAAAATGTTGGACCATAAAAAACCACCTTGTGATCGGGAACCAGGCTTTAATGGCAATTTTCTTTTATTCTATACAGGCATAAGAGCTGACGCCTCAACTGATGGTAAGTATTTACCTACCCCCATAGATACTCGTATCTGCAATAGATTGATATCACAAATGCGATGAGTACGATCCGTTTTTAAGGTTTTCGGGCCGTAACTATTGGTCAACAAACACCGCTGGTCACAATATATTCCACAGTTTTATCGAAAGTAGTAAAAAAGGATGACGGGAATGAAATTTTTGTCACGATGTACGAAAAGCAGCAGTTGGAATTAATCCGAACAATTTCTCAGAACACTCCCCGTGCGTGATAAGAGCAACAGAAAATGCAGACCGGTAAGATTTTTATTTAGATTTCAGATTATCTAATATCACTTAAGTAATACTCAATACAAACATTTCATGACGCGACTTTATGTGTGGTCCGACTACAGAACAAATAAAACTCTTTCGGTGGCACTGACCTATCTTACGCGGAAAATGTTGCAGCCGGCCATTGCAGATTACTTCATTACAATCGTAATCTCAAACATGCTAGCAATATAATGATTCTGTTTTAAAATTCATGATTTGAAAATGTTTAAGTTTAATTCTGATTGCGCTATAACTACCTGTATTTAATTACCTAGGTACGTAATGGCTATATTATATTTTTGATGAGTACTTAGATACAAGAAATATTTTATAAGTGATCACTGTCTTGATGAACGTGCCTACTTTTCACTAATTACCTTATTGAAGTTTGTCTTTCAAGTAAGTATATTTTTAATTAGACAAGACTAAACTTTCATTTGAACTTGCCTGGTTTTGGGCCAAAAGCGAATGGTGTGTCCGTAAATATCAACTCTCCGCTGTCAAGATCTTTGTTGGCGACTAAATAACGTCCATATCTATCGTTCTGGAGGACATCATAGTGCCGCTGATTTTTCTCCTCCATCACTGTTACCACGCAGTGTACACTCTCTTACTTTAAACCACGGACGGCAAGTATGTAGTTAAAATACTTAAACAAAAGCCGCTCACGCTGTTGCCGGATGCCGGATAAAGATTGACGCGCCTGAAACATTTGCCGACTGAAGAACATTGTGTCTATAATAAGACGTTCGCCGACCGTTCGAGATCTGGGACGGTCGAGATCATCCCTAACTGTACCTATGTAATTGTATGTGTAGTGATGATGAACATGTTTGTAAAAACCCTATAGGTAGGTATGTACGTATATTAGCGCGAAGTGTTTTTTGTCGTTCTGTTAAATTTATCCAGTCGAATGTTCGAAGATTTTCTCTGTTAGGTGATTATTTTTTAGGTACCTGTACTTTTTTTTAAATATTTTTATTCCCAGATAAAGAGATACACTAATTACAGTTTTGAAATAATATTCTAATCCATTATTGATACATTCATACCATGGTTTGGTAAAGTTTTAACACTAAGCACATACTTTAAGCATATAGTTATTAGTTTACAGTTTTAACAATAGCAGAATCGGGGTCACAGGCAGATGACTGTGATTTTGTTGTTCGGGTAGATACCTACTGAATCGACTAAATGCAAAACTTCTAGTCGATTTTGGATTAGCCACAAGAAAAACATCGATATAGGTAAATGTTTTGAGTAACGGAGTTCCTCATAATTTCCCGTAACTGGATGCTTATTATGATGCTCTTTATCCTCTAATAAATTGTATACAATCCCGGACTAATTTAAATCAGTTATAAGATTTTATGTAACAAACAACATGTTGTCATCGTGTAGATGTTAATATGAGCAAAATGAATGACTGGATGGCTCAACGCCAGCGGGTTTTTAGAGAAAAGCGCACAAGACAATGACGACATTATATTAGGTTGGGGAAAAAGTGTCTTCGCCTTTTATATGAAAATTCAAAACATTTTTTAACTAAAGTACCTTATTGAGTGTCATTTTGTACGATAACTTTTTGTCAGAAATTTTGGGGCTTCTGATCAAAAAACTGCAACTACTAGATTTGGCAGTCCTCTCGTGATGTTAACCTGACAATGCCTAAAGAATTCTGAAGAGACCGAAACAGGTGGAAATTTGAAGGTGTTAGGTCAGGACTATACGGCGGATACATTAACACCTCCTAGTCAAACTCTTAATTTTTGCTGAGTGGCTAAAGATTTGTGAGGTCTAGCGTAATCATGATGAAAAACCACACCCCTTTTGTTGATTAATTCCGGCGAAGTTGAGAGAAACTGTTCTCTCAACTTCTTGCTTTAATCTCATCGTGGTTTGCAGTAGAGATCAGAATCCATGATCCAATCCAAATCCATCCATCCAAATGTCCTGCCTGTCGGTAACAGCTCATAATAAATAATGCCCTTCCAATCCCACCATACACACAGCATCACCTTGTTGCAAGTTAACCCGGGTTTCGCCAGAGTCTGTGAAGTCTGACCGGCCTTTGAGCACGACCTTTTTCGCACGTTCTTGTCGTACGTGATCTACTTTTCATCACTAGTTATCAGCTTCTTCGAAAATGGTTCGGTTTCATTACGTCGCAATAATTTATCACAAATGAGTACACGGTTCATTAGGTTTATTTTTTTGGTCAATTCCCAGTTCTTCAATTACATCGTAACTACTTATATGCCGATCTAGCTCCACTTTTTCAAAAATGGCATCAATTTTATCTGTAACAGGGCGACCAAGCGAAATGTATCTTTGACATCAAAATTTCAGGATTGAAAACCCTAAAAAAGTTAGTAACCCTAGTAACAGGTGTCTTTCGGTGAGTACCTAAGGTTCTTGGGCTTCACGGGGAGCCCTGGAAGAGGATTGGGTTAAGGTGAGGATGCCACATTTATATGTCGCAAAAGCTACGTTCCAACCCTTGACTATATCTATTTAACGTACCTATAATTTTCCATAGACCACTAATTGAATGAACAGGTAAAATTAATAAGTTCACATCATTATTTTGAAGTTCATAGCTCTATAGATTCCATTGGTTGAAATTCTTAATTTTGAACAATCTATGTGTAGATACAAATTATTTATTTACCTATCCTTTCTTTTAATATCCCTTACAATAATTATCTATTCAATGATTCATCCTTAATTATGTCAATTTTTGAGAGTTTATTCAGCTTGGAAATTTTGCGGTATTTCAAATTAATACCTTCCGTGAATGCAGCTATTATAAAGGAAACAGTGCCATGTATTCGTTCCGTAAGTATATTAATAAATAAGTAGTGCATATCAATTTGTGCGAGCATAATAAAGTGAGTAAAATTTATCAAGCCACTAATCTACACTAGGCATAGGCACTGCCCTCGTGGTGGTCCATAGCGGAAAGGCCTAATGGTACCCCACCAGTAGGGATATCGGAAGCTTAAAGGGTAGGTACTAAGACATCGTGGGGATAACAATGTGAAGACACGTAATAAAGTATACAATTTTTTTTTATATACAGTAACAGGTAGCTTAAATAGGCACATAAGCCACATTTAGCAGTTCGTGTGAACGTCGGTTATCTTATTCGTAAATCAGGAAGGACTCAGACATCGCCAAGTCTGTCTCTGCTAATCGCTGCATCTTTCGCATAGGATGGTACATTATCTCAGAAAGTAATTTGCAAAGATGACGAAGGGAACAGAGTGAACTGTTCCAGCAGCTGGGATGAAGACGATAGTAAACTGACTGGCGAGATAGCACTAGTAAGTTTGAACTAAAAAAAATAAGTATATTTGGAATAGTTAAAACTATGTATTCATGTTTGTTGACATGTCACCGACTGCAAAATAATGTTGATAATTTTACTAAGTTAGATTGTGTATCAGATTTAGATTAGATTTAGGCATGTAGGTACATAGAGCATATGAACAATTTCTTAAGTTTTAAGCTAATCATTTATTTTATATAGAAAATAATAGCAAAAACCGTGTATCTAATAGGTAGGTATCTCCTTTTTATTTTGATCGTTTTCAATTAATTCTTTAGTTAAAATTATAAATAAAGTTATATGTGTTTAAAAACATCATTTTGATACTCCTTTAGAACTAATATTCCTCAAGCTCAAGCATTCAGCATTCGTTTTGTTTCAATTAACTTAAAACAAGTTCATCCGCACTTGCATCAAAATGTATCTATTTTTGTGCGTTCAATCAGTGCAACTTGGCGTGCAATGACATTCATATGTTAATAATATTTACCGCCGTTAAAGTTTATCATACGTACCTACGTAATACCTTTTTTAGTGATAGCGGAAACAAGTTTCAAACAAAAAGAGAATTAATTTTTTATTATTCGTTTAATTAGACAGAATTTTTCCCTAATTTAATGAAAAAAAATGCTCACATGACATTACTATCGCTCTTTTCCTGTCCACAATGAATGTCACAGTGACGTCATGTCAAAACAATTAAGTCATTTAACAATTCTTTATAATTCAAATAATGGGAGCCTTCTTAACTTTATAAAAGACCAAGAAGAATGAAAGAAAAAAATTGAAAATTACAGAATTGTAAAAAAAACAATCATAAAATTATTGCTTATGTGTTGCAATGCAATCGATATAACATTTTCCGGTACTCGGGGTTTTTTCAACGACGGACGCCCTCTGGCGATAAACTAGAGCAATTTAAAAACGTCTTGTGGTGTGGTGCGGAGATCTGCTCGGCAATTTTATTGCCTATTAATCACAATTTCTGTTAGTTCGATTTGTGAATAATTTATTAAAACTGTGAGTAAATATTTTGTTTCATATGAATACTTTTATTACCGATATTATTCACATTAAAAGTGCCATGAACATAGGTTACAAAAGTGTGCATAAGTCTCAAGTATTGTATTGAATTTAATGACTTAGTGCAATTAATCTGCTTATAATATTAAAACAAAAACATAAATTAGTATGCTGACATAAAATTTATACATTTTAGAATACTGGATAGCGTTTAAAAAGATTAAATCGACCGATCTGAAACGTCACTTCGGAAACGAAGTTAAATATTCGCCGCGTGTGAGCTGAACTCCCCGATTGGATTCGGTTCCTTTTGTCAAAGGTTAAGAACCTATATAAACCAGAGTTTACTAAACTGTTTATAGAAATGCAGTGCAATTTCATATTTTAAAATATGCACATTAGTGCGGAATCACCTACTTGTTATGTAATCTTGCTGAATGCGGCTTGTAAATAGTACTTGACTATCGCGAATTTGATTCCGACCCTGTCGCACCTAGCTCAGCGACACTGACCCAGTCGGCTGACTTATTTATTATCTTCCCTGGCACTGATATTAAAGATCATGTAAGCTAGGTAAATAGCTATTAAAAGAAAAACATCAGTGTTGTGACCAACCAATAGCAACCCCATCATTACTGTAATGTTAGTCCCTGATTTTATCAAAAAGTTTAATATGCCATACTTTATTTTCAGAAAATGGCCCCTCCCTATTATGCTGATCTCGGCAAGAAGGCCAATGATGTATTTGGCAAGGGCTACCACTTTGGTGTGTTCAAACTTGATTTGAAGACCAAAAGCGAGGCTGGAGTTGAGTTCACCAGTGGTATTGTCTCAAATCAAGAAAGTGGAAAGGTAATCATTGAAATTTTACAAGTATACCTAAAATCAATACTATAGCAACTACCTAATCTATTTAGTACTTTTTTATTACCTAGAATATTTACATTACAAGGTGTTGCTAATAGCGCAAACTATTATTTGTATTTAAAATGAATATTTGTGACAGGTATTTGGCAGCCTCTCTTCTAAGTATGCTGTGAAAGACTATGGTCTCACATTCACCGAGAAATGGAACACAGACAATACACTTGCCACTGATATCACAATCCAGGATAAAATTGCCGCTGGCCTCAAGGTTACACTAGAAGGAACCTTCGCACCCCAAACAGGGTAGGTATCCATTTCAGTATCTAGGTACATTTATAAAATACTTAGTATCAACATGTTTCATTAGTCCTTATATAATTAGAGGAGTGTTTTCCTTGGTTTGAACTGATTAAAGTTCGTTTATATAGTGGTGTCAATTCTGACATGATTCTCTAAACTTAAAACTAAATTTAACAACAGTCTCTCCTTTTCATTCTGTATAAAGTATGACAAGGATACACTGATGTCAAGTTTAGGTTTAGAGAATCACGCCAGAATCAACACCAGTATTACCACGTATAATCAAGTTTATTGATTAATTTATCTTCCTATAATAATACAATATTTATACAACATTTCCAAGAACTGTGTCTAAAACATATCTAATCACTAGGAAGACAAGAATATGTATATTTTTAAATTTCAGTTTTTACTTTGAGATTTTACAAGACTATTGCTTTTATACTTAGAAGATAGTTTCTTAAATTGTCAATTGCTGACAATGCTTGGACATTTAATAATATTGGAATTAACTCTTCTTTATCAAATGGAAAGGGACCTTTTGGTCGGTTTTGCTTCTGCCCAAATGTAATGTTAAATGAACAGATAAAACATAAAAATATGGCACAAGTTCATGGACTGACTAAAAAGGTTTATTATGATGGAAGTCATATTTAGCTTGTTTAACTGTATTTGGAAAGGTAAAATGATGATGATGATGTTAGTTAAAATAAAATTGTCAATTTCAGGAGCAAGACAGGCAAACTTAAGAGCTCTTTTGCCAATGATACAGTAGCTGTTAACACCAACTTAGACCTGGACTTGGCCGGCCCTATTGTGGATGTAGCAGCTGTACTCTCATATCAAGGCTGGCTCGCCGGTGCTCACACACAGTTTGATTCACAAAAGGCCAAGTTTGCCAAGAATAACTTTGCTCTTGGCTATCAAAGCAATGACTTTGCCCTCCACACTAATGTGTAAGTATTCTTTATTTAATGTGTTTCCTCTAGTTTGTATGTTGTCTTTGTTTACTGCATTTTGCAGTATTATTGATTTATTGGATTACATAACATTGGCCCATTTTTAAAGGATGTCTTGTAGAGGCCACTTTTAATGTAAGCCAATTTACTCCACTCTAGTGAGTGACATTGGTGTGATTGTTATGCATTTGAGTAGTATTTTTCCAACATTTCTTAATTTTTTTTAATAAGTGGCACAATCTCAGTTTAGTGACCATTTATGTAAATTCTATTTCAAAATATTGTTTATGCAAATGACAAAAAGTGTTTCTGGCTCATTTTAGTGACAATGGCAAAGAGTTTGGTGGCTCCATCTACCAGAAGGTGTCTGATAAGTTGGACTGTGGCATCAGCATGAAGTGGACTTCTGGATCATCAGACACATTGTTTGGAGTCGGTGCCAAGTTTGCCCTTGACCAAGACGCCTCCCTCCATGCCAAGGTCAACAACAAATCACTCATTGGTCTTGGATACCAACAGAAGTTGCGCCCCGGTGAGTGACTTACCAGCAAATTGTCATTAGATAATTTATCATGAATTGAAAATAGTTTTTTGGAAAAATTATAAAATACCATAATCTTTGCAATACATGGATCTTTAACTTTTTAGTATGTAGTAAATTAAACATTTAAATATTAAACATATACAATGTAAAAACAGTTGCTACAAATACAAATTCTGTGACTGTTTTTTTTATAAACCAGTAAGGCAGTATTTTTCATCAAATAGGAATCATATTTTAATACTGTAATGTAATCTATTTTTATGTAGTAAGATAAAAAATGACAATATCAAATATTGATCTTATTAGATAAAATAGTCAAGTCCATATTGTTTTCAATTTAGTATCAGCATTCCTTGGTATTACTATTTCATGTATTACCCATCGAAATAGTGTTTTACTGCCTGGTTATCTTGATAATTTTAAGCCGACACTTGTTGCTTGGTGTCTCTGCAAATATTGAGAGGGGATTTTGTTTCGTAACTCGTGTGTATATTACAGGCGTGACGCTGACTCTCTCGGCGGCCATTGATGGGCAGAACTTCAACGCTGGAGGCCACAAAGTGGGCGTGGCCCTTGAACTCGAGCCCTAAACAAACCGCTACCGGCTTCATAGACGTAGTTACATAAACCCACTTCGCTGTTGTAATTAGCAGAGAAGAGTATATAGCAAATCATTTAAAACCATTTATGTACTGTTGTGAACTAATGTATAGTGCAGCGTTCAAAACGCAACAATAAGATTGTTAATAAATTGGCATCACTTTCACGCGCTGTAAAGCATCATTTTCCAAAATGGCGGACGATTTTCAATCTGAAGAGTTTAGCGGAAATAACATTGTTATAACTGAGCACAGCACATTTTAATTTGGCCATTGCAGAATCCTAATTGATATATAAACACAAAATTATAATCATATGTAAATAAACACCTATGGTGTATTACAATAATTGAAATAAAAATAATAGTCTGTTACAATCAGCAATCACTTGTTTTATTAGAACCTTTCCCTAAACTTCCACGTCCGCCATGTTGAACAATCAATGAGGAGTGGTATTTACATTTTATTTACGTATTTATTTGTCTTTATAATATATTTTATTTTTGATTTCATTATGACATTTAATAAAGTATTTTAAGCATTTTCATTTTTCAATCGATTAACTTGCTTTATGAGATACTACGGTAACGGATAGAATACCATAATATGGTATTATGCTGATACATCATCAGCCAATTGATGTCCCTACTGCTGGGGCACAGGCCTTGCCTATGGATGGAATACTGGACTGGGCCGTGATCTACTGGTGGGGGCTAACGACTGCAGAAGCAGGCGGGACAAGGAGGACCTCGAGATAATAAGTTTTTGGTCACCCATCTAATTAGCGACTACCGCAAAAGTTTCTTAACTTTCACGATCGCAGGCTGAATGCGCTAACCACCTGCGCCATTGAGCTCCTCATAACACTGATACATGTATAAGTATATTTATCTACAAAAACATATAAACATTTATGAAATGGTTACAAATGCCCGTATTCATCATACAAACATTTGCCCCCACCGGGATTTGAACCCGGAACTTCTAAGTAGGCGACACCTTGAAACCCGGCGCACACACCACTCTGCCACGGAGGCTGTCGATTCGCGGAATAGATTTTGCATTTCCTTTATTAAGATCATCTCAAAATGAAAGTTTTCATAGGTGAAGAAACAGGCTAATTTATTTATGACCAGCCTCATTGATAAATACCTTATAGTCTAATATATATAACGTTGTTGTTAGTAAATAAAATTATTAACCAAATTCTCAAAGTGGCGTACCGTGGTCCTACCGGTAGGTTAAATACTACTAACACTTATAGACGGCGATGTGTGAAGCAGAGTGGTGTCAGGTATCTGCTACGGAACCGCCGGAATACAACACCTTTCGGCCAATGATCTTCGTTCATGAAAGTAGCCAGATGTTCGGCCGGCCCCTCACCACAAATTAATTTAAATAGGTACACATTGAGACGGGATATACGACGTTGTACTCTTACAATGTGGGAAAAATATTGGTGTTCGTTAGTAGTTTAGACACTGCTCACTATGGGAACGTAACACAAACTTTTTTATCGTATTTATAGCTGGCCAGCTAATTAAAGACACTCGATTTGCTTAGAAGAAATAGAAAAAAATATTGTTATTATTGAATTTTCTGTATATAAAAAATAGATTTAGCAGCTCTTGCCGAGTTTCTTGCCGGTTCTTCTACGTCGCCCGCCGTAGATTAAGGAACCATAGGGGTAGCTTCTAGACATGAGTGCTTGTTACAGCCTAAACTGAATAAACTATTTGTTTCTTAGGTTTTCACGCACATCACTCATTAAATAAAACAGTTTATTACGGGTTATATGTACTGAATTTATTTATTTATTGAAGTTTCGCATCCTTTTCATGGATGCATCATCGGATTAATGATTTTAATTTACTTTTTCGACCTACCTTAATGAGCGTTTGGATATTTCATTGGAAGATTTTTAAAACTTCATTGTCTATGCTTGAATTTATTAGCTAGTTTAATTAATAAAGTAATTTATTTCATTCTTTTTTATATAATTTTGAGTTTATTTATTTGACCCTATTTTGAATTTGAATAATTCCTTAACCTTCTGCCCGTTAGTGGAAATGCCTGAAACGTTTTTCTTTCAAGCAAAGATAAAAGAAATTGCAGGATAAAAATTATTTTATTCAAAAAGTGTATTATTAAAATTAATTGAGTACCTAAACAACACTATTACAATTACTGGATCATTTCTTCCTCCATGAGCTTGGCCATCCACTCTGGTTCAGCCGCAGCAATTTTTTCAATTAAACTGTTCACTTGATAGCAAAGACTCTGAATTTGCTTGTCCCACTGTGGTAGGATCTCACGGGCTGGAATAACGAATTGAAAATTTAATATATTTTAGGAACTTAACTTACAAGGTTAATTTAAGATAAGTCAGAAAAAAATACTTAAAAATCTAGTATACAGTATGTGATGATAAATTGGACAGCAGATTCCAAATAACAAAATACTATTAGTCTATAATCTCATTTCATTTATAAATGTACAAGTAACGCCTTGTAAGGGCTCTGCAATAATAGAGGGCCAAAAAATATGAGAATTACAAATTAAAATTATTTTGTTTTTGAATAGGTACCTCCAAAACTTGTAGCTTGCTATAATCTGGAAGCCTGCCGCCTATCGGGATTGTTTAGGCAATGGCTATAGTTTATGATTTCATTTTGTTATTTATGACTGAAGGTTTTTAAAAACTTTGCGCTCATTTTCTTTTTTAATATTGTTATTACCAATGCAAAAAGAGCGCGAGGCATTGTTAACCTTCTGTGGTCAGATATAAATAAATGAAATAATAAGCTATAGCAACAACGATATCTAATACCCCATATGGGTTTTAATATTACAGTGTACAGCAATAGCCAAAGCAAATCCCGATATGCGGTGGGCTCCCTGATAAGTTGGCACAAGTATTTTATTTTCATCCCACCACCTCGGAAAGTGTAATTTTGCGCTTCGAAATCTGGCTGGAAAATTCTATTTTATTCGCTTGAGCGGCAAAGTAGATTTGAATTTAGAACATCACATATAATGAGTACTCAATATAATTGTAAATTCAAAACGTCATTAAACCTATTTAATGTAACCTCTATGGTGCCAAATTTATGATTAGAACTTTTTAAATTGTGAAAAAATTTAAATTTGGAACCTTCTTGGTTTCTTTGTTTTATTTGCGTGCTTCGCGCCATTCTAGTTTTTCACGTTTTATTGCTTAATATAATTAACATAACCTAAAAACTGTACAAAAAAATCAACTAAAATGAGTGACATTAGCGACGATGAAGTTTATCTAACGCCAACTGAGTTAACTGAAACAGTTAATAATGCGCAAATGAGCCTTCTCCCTCAGCAATCACGAGAGAAGTATTTGAAACAGTACGATATATTTAACATGTGGCGACTAGCTAAAGGAGCAAAAACTTTCTCCGAAAACGTTTTGCTGGCATATTTTATAGAATTATCTGAGACCAAGAAAGCAAGCACGCTATGGAGTACGTATTCAATGCTAAAATTAACAATTAAGATGAAGAAAGACGTTCATATCGACACCTATCATAAATTAGTGGCATTTTTAAAAAGAGCCTCATCTGGTTATAAACCAAAAAAATCGAAGGTTTTCACAGCATCTGAAATTGCAAAGTTTATTAATGAAGCACCTGATTCCGTATATTTAGCGGCAAAAGTAAGTCAATACGTGTAATTTTTTGTTGTTGATAAAATTGTACATAGTACTTACAATATTTTTAATTTGATTAATTTATTTACGATTATAAATACTTCTTTTGTTACAGGTTGTTCTTATTATTGGTATAACCGGAGCATGTCGAACTAATGAACTTACACTACTTAATGTCAATAACGTATCAAAATATTCTCATAATTCTGATGAATTGCTATTAATTAATGTACTAAATACCAAGACAAAAAAAGACCGCAACTTCGTTATTCGCAAGGAATATGTAAACATTGTTCAGAAATATCAAGCTTTACGTCCTTCTAACACCCCAATTGAACGATTTTTTCTACAATATCGCAACGGAAAGTGTATCCGACAACCTATGGGTCAGAATAAAATTGGCAGTATTCCACGAGAAATAGCAACTTTTCTCGGACTTTTAGAACCCCCGTTATACACCGGTCACTGTTTTAGAAGAACCTCAGCCACACTTTTGGCCGAATCAGGGGCTGATCTTCTTTCGCTTAAGCGCCATGGAGGCTGGAAGTCTAATTCGGTTGTAGAGGGATACATAGAGGATTCAATCCAAAGTAAATCAAAAATTTGTAATAGTATCGTGGAGGCCATAACGCTGAAAGAACCTCTGTCAGATTCTTGGTCTCGCCCTTCTACATCTAAAATGAGCCCCCATAAGATTGGAAACAATAGCCCTCTCTCGCCAACATTTACGCCAATAGAATCCAATGAATCGGCACAACTATTTAAAATTACTGATACGAGTAGTTTACCACAAAACAGCGCACAATTCACAAACACCAACATAACATTACCTAACAAAAATATTAAACTTAACATAAGTAACTGTAGCAACGTTACATTTAATATTTCTTAATTATTTTCTACTTCTTATTATTTTCTTCAATTTATAGATTATCTTAATGTGTTTTAATTGAAATAAAAATATTTTGTCATTATAAATTGTTTTCTTTTTCATTTTGTCATTTCCTCGCTGAGGTGGGATGAAAAGTTACGTATTGCACTCGAGTGGAAAGATTTTTCACCTTGTGCTCGTTTGTTTCCCTCGCTGACGCTCAGGATTCTAATTTAGAATCACTCGCTGCGCTCGTGATTCAACTTTAGAATCCTTCGCTTGCTCGGTCATCCAAATCGAGCACGCGGTTAAAAAGGAACTTTCCACTCTTGTATAATAAATAACTATTTTGTTTTAAAATTAATATAACTATTTTTAATTCAAAGATTGAATAAAGTTTTACGGAGACTAATTTAGTAAAAATGAGTTCTAGCGCGGGTATGAATGTTACATTCGAAAAATTAGACGGAGCGTCAAATTAATTTTTCAGCCACCAGCCGCCGGTAAGTAGTATCTGTGAAGTTAGCTGTTTATGAGTAGATGAAGTTAGTTGAATAATGTACAAATTTTCTTCGCGGCATTGGTCATTCCAGATTAGCGCACAACAGCCCCCTTTTATTGGGACAACTTAGCGATCGCAGCGCCTCACTTTTTGTCCATATTTCTGGGACAGTACAGCGAACGTTCTCCTTATCTCTAACCTCCACGAGTGACACAAAGAAATAAAATCAACGTTAAAGAAGGTCCTTTCTTTGTCACCTTTTTGAGATATTTTTGACAAGCGAAGTAAATACACTTGCGCGGTATCTATTACGATCTATAACTGTAGTCATAATCATAACGTAACCTAAGCAAACAAAATAGACTTACTTTCGAAATGCACCACGGAGCTGATCTGGTCAATGTATCCGTTCATCCTGCCTTCACTGATCATGTGGCTGGCGATCCTCTCGGCCTTAGCGGGTGGAGTCTCCAGTAAAGCCCCAAGCTCTTCAAAAGTGATGTTATTGTACAATTTGCTCGCAGACAGCAAGTTGTGTTCGAACACCGCACGGTCCAGTATTGTCGACCCATCGGAGGTAGTAGCCTGCAATCGTTATATTAATTTAACTTCGTCAGCCTATTGATTTAACCAGTGCTGTGGCACACGTGCTTTTCCTATTATTGATGGAATAGGTAATAGGGATAACGGGCTGTGGCATGATCTAACAACACAGGCCAAGTGTTAAGAGGGGAGGCCGGTAATGCTTTTTTCATACAAACAAAATATAATTTTACTGATTCTATGCTCCTATGTCTTCCTTTTTCCGATTACTTGTGTTTCACAGAAACTAGAAGCCTTCAAACATGACAACAATAAACAAATTTTTATCACCACTAAAGACGTCTAGAGATTTTATAAGCATTAACAAAAAAGCAAAACATAGAGGCAAAGTATAACTACTTATAGGTAAAATCTCTTTTACATGTATGTAATTTTCGAGAAAGCAATCAATCGTCGACAGACCTCGAATTTTGCAATTTTTATACGCAATTTACAGCGTTAACTAGGTACTGTTGCCCCTATCGCATGGAATTTTCCAATGTGTGTCAGCAATAGTTTTATCAAATACCTACTTCTCAAATGTTTCTCAGCTCACATCTGCTCTTAACGACTGCAGGTCGGAATCAATGGCTCAACGTGCCTTCCGAAGCATGAAATGCCCTACACACTAGACTATATATACTAACTAAAAAAACTAATGTTGCCCCTAAATGCCCCCTCCCCCCAGGCCAAAAGCTGGTTTGGGTGCGGCCAGAGTGCACTCAGATTCAGATTCCGAAAACAAGCGCGAGAAATAAACAGTGTAGTCGAAGGGTACGGCCAGAGTGCACTCCTGATTCAGACTCAGAAAACAAAGCGCGAGAAAAAGCAGGCAACCTGCTTAGACTACACTGTTTATTTCTCGCGCTTGTTTTCAGAATCTGAATCTGAATCTGAGTGCACTCTGGCCGCACCCTTTGGCTACATTCTTTTCAATATCTTCTCTCTATTCTTCTTTAGCGACGTCCTTGCCTCCGTACTAGATAGAATAAAGAAAGAAGACTTGGCTCACAAAATTTCAGCTGACTATTATGTTCATGCAGAAACAGGCCCAACACAAGTTTATTATAATTACTTACTGGACCGTCATCGTAATATGGAATATTATGCACTAATGTTAACAAAAATACTTTTTCTTAATCATCTATTTACAGTTTTTAGACTGTAATCGACAACAGAAAAAAACGTTAAAAAATAGATAGTACGATGGAAATTTAGTGGAAGTGGATCAGTTTTACAACTTTGAAAAGTGCCTTAAAACTTGATCACTGAACGAAAACAAAAATCTTCGCTATTGATTATTTTTTAAATAAGGGCCCTTCTTTAAGTAAATATACATTTTAATGAAATAAAAAGGTAAGAAAAACTCCACATCTTTTTCTATAAATAACTTACTTTCTGATGAGTTTGCATAAGTGCTTCAAATTCGTGTAGTTCTGAGCGTCTGATTATGCGGTCCAAATACATCTTCTCTAAGATAGAATAAGCTGGTAACTGCTGGCATCGCTCATCTTTGAACAAGGTGGCTAACATTCTGGATCTTTGCTGACCTGATGGTATTAAATTAAAGTCATGTATCCTTGATTGCTTAAGTATTTAATTTAACAGAAATATAAAAAACAAAATGTTTATCTAATAATACCTGCTGAAGCTAGAACTGTGCAAATTAAGGCATTTCTAAGACAAGTCATCCTCTCATCTTCGTGGATTATGTTCCGGTATGATAATTCGTTGTACCTCTGAGCAGCCTCAATGAATTTTCTGTAAGTGATATGATTGTTATTATAAATTATTTAAAGTGGTTAAAAAACTACTCTTCAACAATGTTAAAGTATTATTCATTTTAAGTAAACCATTAAGTATATGTGCACACCACATTTTTTAAATATGTAGCCCTTTGCTTATTTGTATTTAAGACCTATTAGACAACGCAATTTTAAGGGACCCGTAACCTTACTAAGGGTGGGGTAATAAGAGTCCTTACTCCTTTGAGTAATGGACCCGATCTAGGGCGATCGGCGTGTCCCGATCTCCCTTACGTTCTAACAATTGGGTAGAGAAATAGCTATTTGGGTGGTGTAATATGAGTTAGGGAGTTAGGGACCCGATCTCCATTACTCCCTTACGCCTTGATGATCGGGTAGTGAAATAGCTATTAGGCAGTGAGGGAGCTCAGTCGGCGCCATAGAGTAACTTTGTATCTCTGAGATCGTATAGTACGGACGTTTTTGTAGTAGAATTAGTTTATAGGCGCGATGGCATCTAATGAAGAGAATTTATTGAATAAATATCTATAATTTTTGTGGCAAAAGAAATCAAAAACTATTTAAATAAGGCACATATTTAAATAATCTGCAATAAACAGTAATTGATTAGTAACATGAAAAAAAAAAAAATTGGTAACCTAATCTAACCTGTAGGTTACAACCAAGTTTATATATTTATGTGAGTTTTTTTTTTGATGATCTTTTACATATTTCCCTTTTGTAATAAAGAGAAAAAAGCTGAAGGATTAAGAGAATTATATGAAAATTTGATCAGAATGCATCAAGTGCCACAACGATGACGTTCAACCTTGACGACTTTTACTTTCAGACTGAGTTAGGGTCCGATTGATAAGGCGGTGTAGTAAATGATACCATAGCTAGGGAACACGCCCACCCTTTCCATAGGGCCCTTAAAATTGTGTAGTGTTATAGCCGTTATAATTCAAACACGAGTTTTAATCTACACAGATGCGCGTGTGTAGCGACACAAAAGCGATGCTAGCGCGCGTGTGTATCGATAAAAACGACGACAAACTACTCTGTACGATAAAAGAATGTTTACGCATGTCGTGGCGCGTTTAAAAAACGAGGTATATATAGGCCCTAATGAAGACATGGTGCACTTTTTTTGAAACTTCACCTGATTGCCCATTTGAGAGGAGAGAGACGTGAAGAAGCAATTTTGCAGGTGGGAAAGGTGCGGATGGTTGGTGTGGCAGATTATAACTGCTGTGCCAGCTATCTTTGCGTTTGGACTTTATCACCACCTAACATCAGATGGGGTAGAACCATTTGTCTACTTGGCTATATAAAAATAAAAATAAAAAATAAACATGTTCACTGACCTTCTATAATCCAAAACTCTAGCATAGCAGACCTTGTAATATATCTGCAACTGTTCATTTGTTGTTTCTGCTTGAAGGAGGGAGGCTCTGTTGACAAAAGCTTCAGCCTGCACTGGATCATCTACTTCCAGATATAGTCGGGCTATCTTCAAATAGGTCTCCAATTTATAATCAACAGAATATTGCCTGAAACATTTATTTGAATAATAGAATTATCTAATGTTAATTTAGGCATGTTTAAGCAGTAGATATTAAATACCTTTATGCTATTTATGAAAACAACTATTATTTTCATAAACAATATAAATAAAGTTTGCTATATACTTATACCTAAATATTTTTTTTACTTCTTGCAAAAAATTACTTTAACTTTACATTAACTGACCATCTAGATGGACAAGGTGGATGTTTAGGAATATTTATTCCTAACTGACTACCCAGGCAGAGAGCTCAGATGGTCGGTTAGGAATACTTTATAAAGTCTATCAATGCTTACAATTGTCTTGAAAATTATTTATTATTATAACATTTACATATTATAATTAAATTATGATCGTAAAAAGTATATGTAGTATCGTAAATTGGTTTGCAGAGTGAATGCCCCGTTGCCTCACTCTATTAGAATTAATTATGCTATGGTAAGTAGGCAATGGAAAATAAATGTGATAAATACATACTTTTGTCCAGTTTCAAGTGGTATTCCAACAAGGACATTTGCTGCCTCTTTCCAATTTTGATTGCGTTCATAAATATCAGCTAGATGCTGTCTAATACTTGCTACCTATTAAACAAGAGCCATGTCATTATAAAAACATACAAAATTACTGAAAACAAAAAATCTTGCCAGTTTATTTTATTCCTCCTCCACCTCTAGTTAAGTAGAGACAATGGGAATGACGCCTAGACACTAGATCACTGTGTCTGTCTCATAAGTTTGCACTTGGACACTAAACAACTTTGCCAAAATCATATGCTATATTATTATTTATTAACATTGTAGCAATTTAATATTTTGTAAATACTGTTACATAATTATTTAACGCTGTGGAGTTTTTTTCACCAGTTATTCTCCACAGCTAAAAAAATTTCCTTAACTGGTGGTAGGAGAAAAAATATGGACAATTCAAAGGAGTTTTATTGTGCATCCAATTTGAATAACGATAATTTACGTTTCTGTTAAATAATTATTATTTATGTACCTATAAAACAAATTACCTGTTCTTCAAAAGATATCACCCTTGGTTGAATGACGTCCAACGCAAAATGTGATACCTCTTGTGATACACTGTCTGGCAACAGAGCCAAGTGTGTGCTGACGTCTGTTAGTAGCTGTCTAGATATCACCAAGCTGACATTTTCATTTACAACTAAAAAAATAATACCTATGTTATAAAAATAAGTGTTTTAATAAATCTAAAAAAAAATTTAGTAGGGAAATCAACATACATTTTTTTAGTAATATTTTTAAATCTAGCATTTAGAACTTGAAATAACAATTTAAGTATTTTTACATAATAGGAATGAATATAAATGTTTATAAAATAATAAATTTAAAGTAAGTTTGAATGTTTCATATTTTTTCACCTTGGCAAAGCTAAACAGAATTAGATGTTTGTGTGCAAAGTGGATATCATAAGCATTACAATTTACAATTCAATACAAGTTATTATACTAGTGGACAGTACATGGACTTTGATTCAATATTTTCCTTTTAATTTATATGTATATATTGGTGTTGATGCTGGTATGACTTTCTAACTTTTTAGTGACAGGAAAACCTTTGTCAAAATTTTCATTATGTCACAGACCACCACTTATGATTTTAAATCAAGCAGCATTATGGTAAAGAACCACTGGTTTAAAGAATTATGCCAGAATCAACACAATAGTATTACTTGCTGATAAAACTACTGAAATAAAATAAAAGAACTAATATTTAATATTTAAAATGAATAATATTTAAACTACTACTCACTCGCTTCAACAAATGCCTTCAAACATTCTGCTAATTCTCCCTCAGTGTTTTTTAGTATTTCCATTAAAACATTTCGATATCTACAAATTTAGATACACTTATAATAATACTACAACTACATTATGCTAAATAATCTTCGCTAAATAATTTATTGATGGTTGCATAAACCATCAATAAATTTCAAAAGGTATATTTATTTAATTGTTACAAATTTAATAAAAGTATATTGAGCAACAAGACCAGTGTAGTGTACAAAACAAACCAGAGAACTCTGAATATTCATATGAGATGACTATCATGACAATTTTAGACCTATTTTTTTTTTAATAGTTTGCATTATTTCACATAATATCACGCTAAGCGTAATTAAAGTTGGATAACACAATAGAGTTCCTCAATATTGTAAAAGAGCGAGTAACTCCTGTCAGTCTGTGCCTATTACGAATTCACCAGGTTTGATGAAGTTTGGTATGGAAATGGTGTCGATTCTAGCGTGATTCTCTAAACTTAAAACTAAATTTAACAAAAGTCTTTTCTTTTCATTCTGTATAGAGAATGACAAGGATACACTGTTGTCAAATTTAAGTTTAGATTTAGAGAATCCTGCCAGTATCGACAACAATATAAGAGACCTTAGAGTGAGACCTATGTAGACTACATACTGTACACTACAATAAACTTGTAGGTGGATGTAAGTTTATATGTTAACAATTATTCTACAGACGACAGCGTATATCTCCAAGGAATTTTTAAAATCAAAGCATTCGGTACAGTTATTATCAGGCGACAGGGCCTTTGCTACGAATGTTTTTCTTTGTAGGTTATAGAACTTACTTTTCAGCTTGATCTTTGTGTAATCCTCCAGAATTTCTTAGTTCACTTAAATATTGACGTACGCTTTGCAGGTTGAGAGGCATTGTACTATGAATAGCGAACTTGGAACTGCACACAAATAATAAAAACTACTAGATCTCAGCTGACAGCTTTTTTGTTTTTTTTTTTCATAAACATAGTTTTTTGTTTTTTTGGTTAAAGTTTTTTAATATTTTTATCTATAGCTACATTGCAGCCACCAAACAGAAAGTGATATTTATCTGTATAGTGAGAAGGCAAAAGATACTTAGTCCATACATACATACATACAGCTTCATGTATGCCATATTTTTTTCCTTTTTTATACGTTTACGTGTTTAAATTCTTATGCCAGCATGCCACTTTGCATAGATATTATTTTTGCTATTTGTATTTGTGACAACAGTCTCTCCCTTTCACTCTGTCTATTAAAAGTATGATAAGAACCACATGTTAATTTCTGTGTAAAATGGTAACAGTCACAGAACAAAAAAAGAAAACCACCTGCTATCAAAATAGCAAAGAAATACTAAGCTTAAATGAATAAATAATGGTGTCGATTCTAGCATGATTCTCTAAACCTAAACTTAAATTTGACAGCAGTATATCCTTGTCATTCTCTATACAGAATGAAAAGGAGAGACTGATGTTAAATTTAGTTTTAAGTTTAGAGAATCATGCCAGAATCGACACCAATGTTGATATTAATATATTTTTATTTGTTGGGTAAAAAATGATCGTATTTGGCTGGTAAATTGTATACGTACGAACTACTCGTAAATTACAATTAGTGAATGCGTCCTCTTCTCTATTTGCTGTGCCCTGTTCAGGGTCTACAATGATCAAAGCAATGTACCTACTAAGATCGAAAAAAACATTGTAGAACGCAATAAAGTATTGATTGATTGATTGACTAATAACCATGTAAAGTGTCGGCATTTAATTGCATGGCAGTGTAGGTAGACTGGTTTGAAGAATAAGACATTGGGGCAATGTAAAATGGAATACTTGCTGACAACGAATAAACGTAAAAGAGTGTGACTGACAAGGTGAAAATGATTTTTTAAGAATAAAAGAAAATTACAAGGTCATTTTTCGAAAATATTTTGAATAATACTAGTACTCATTCTATGATTCCTAGATACTTTTGAATTAACAATCATTCGTTTAATTAATTTGTTTGATATATTTGGCTAGGCGAGAGCCTAGATAACGTATGCCTTCGAATACATTTAAGAAGTAAGAAGTCATAATGACTGTATTTATCTGTCAGTTGGCAAAACTGGATTGGTACCAAAATTGAAAGAAGCGCCATTTATTTGTGTGATTTTTACAGGAAATTTAAAAATTGCCTTAGTGAAATGGAAATTCTTTCATATATAAATTTACCATAATTATTGTGTTGTCTTGAGAAGAGTATGAGACATTAAATTATTAGTTTCAAGTTCTTACTAACGATATTAAATGGTTGTCGTAAATTTGTTTTCAACCGTGGCTACTGAGGATAGATTTGACAAGTTAAAATGGCGGCGTCATTTGAACTTGAGATTGTTTACAACTTTTGATGCCTCTGAGGAGCATTTAATGTGAATTGTTTCTTGTTTTTATTTGACTTTAAGTGACTGTAATTTATACAAAATGGATCACAATCTGGAAGATGCTTTGAATTTGGAAAGTGCTATGGGAGGAGTAAGTTTGAATTACTTGTTTTCTGGTACAGGGAATGATATCAAATATTATTTCCATAATTGTGGTAATTTCATGTTATTATAAATATAATAGATTTTTCTAAGATGGTCATACATTATAACACAGTTTCTAAATGTCCAAGTGTCTAAAATTTGCACTTGTTAATTTGAATTATTTGAAATTTCAAAGATGGACTTTGAGAGTGCAGATGTTGTGGTGAGCCAAGCAGATATAAGTCTCGACACTAGTACACAAGAAGGAGACATTGCAATGGAATTTGAACATATTGAAGAGCAACCTATGCTCATGGACTCTGGGAATGAAGAAATAATAGGTATGTAGACAAACATACTTTAAAAAAACATAATAATGATTTTAAGTGCAATCAACTTAAAGAAGATGCTTTATAAACTAAAGTGTAATCTGTTATTGTCTGTGTGTGTTTAACTACAAATTGTAATAATAGAAAAGAATGTTACACAACAATAAGCCTACTCCAAAGTAAGCACTGTAAGGAGTTTGTTATATTGTTACCTTCAGGCTCAAAGGGTGTAAATGTCAAAAGCCACCAGACCCACAAAAACAATTTTTGTATACTGTTTTAATTAGGGATGTAACAATATGGCTATTACAATATGACCAATAAGAATGACGAATACATCAGAATGGCCCAATACGATAATGAATTACGATAGAGATGCATTATGTTTTTGCTGAATAGCATTTCATTGACTTTATTTGAAGTTTTCTTTGTATCACTTTATCTGTTGTTATATCAATATTAAGATTTAGAAAAATAAAATAAAGATATGTATTGTTAATTATTTAATTAATTTTGTTCTATACTTAAGTTATCTTTATGAGTTTAGATTTTGACATGTTATGCATTTTGTTTCACTCAAAACTGTAGTAACTATTGTAAAAATATTGGAAAAAATTATTGATAATGAATCATAGTAAAAAACTTATGATAATCGCTGATATACGATTATCGTATTGGTATAGCTGCATTGTTGGTTTTAATTTTTAGGTTATTGCAACTTTATATAATTGTATAGGAATATATTTAAGGGTCATTCCATGTACCGGGTCTTACAAGTTGCATGCATATAAAAGATAATTGTGATCTTGAAGTAAAGTATGTATTCTCAAAACACCTACCTTTTACATTGTATTTCAATTATGATTTGACTAAAATTTAAAATATCATGCAGAAGTGTGAAAAATCTTTACATGATCTTACCTATTGATTTTAGGTAGGTTCGCGTGAATGCTGTGTTCTGCGAATTTAGATAAAAAAAATATGATTAGTCATTTTAACTGAATAATAAAATTGTAATGGGTTGCCTGTTACACAAATTTTGGTAACGGGTTTTACATGTTTAAGTAACGGTTAATACTTGCTTTTGTAACAGGTTTTATGAGTGCGAAATGAAAATTGTTGAAGAAAAATAAATTATTGAAGCAAATATTTTAATTTTATATATATTTTATAGATATATCAGGTAACCCTTAATATCAGATGTACAACAATTAAAATATCTACCTATTTAATTTTCTAACAATCTGTTCTAATAACAAAACATAATTGCTGAAATCAACCTACTATTTATAAAAGTTGGACCATTTAAAATTGAAATAAGAATTATCAAAAACAATTGCATTGCTATAATTGTCATTGCTCATATACTTTTGTGTCATTTCTGACCATTTTCAGACACATTACCTGACATTACCTGAACTTCACCTTTAGATTCTATAACCAGACAGATCAAAAAATATTCTGACTATAATAGATCTAAATCAATACAAAAATATGCCAAACTCATCAAAATATTTTCTCCTCTCCAAAAAGATATAATATATAATTCCTTAAAATACGTCCGAGATAAACCTAAAACTAATACATGTATCGTATTTCATTTCATTTCATTTATTTATCTATTTGTGGTACATAGGTAATACATGGTTATTATGCTTAAATATACAGTCCAACTACGACTAGCCATCAGGCATACAAATATAGAATTAATAACGGTAAAATATTAAAATTAAATTACAATTCAAAATAAAATGTCATCATAATAATAATTGTTAGTAATAATCCTTATCCATCAGATACACATTATTATACTACATAAAAAAAATAACAATTACAATAAATTTAAATTCAAAAGTCATCACAATATTAAATATCATTCATCGTAATCATATTTATATATTACTCGATAAGTCCTTATCCATCAGATATTCATTTATACATTATAAATTTTTTTATAACATGCCTCGAAGTCTTTTTTTTTTAAATATTAATTTGATGTATGTTAATTAATTTGTTTGAAAACGGAATTTAATTGAAAACCAGGGAAACGTTTCCAGTCAAACTTTTAAGCATAAACGCAGTTAATCAAATAAAAGAAAAATAATAATAATATGTCAGGCGTGTATACAAAAATGTTACCGTAATGTCAAATTAGAACACATGTCAAAATGAAGATAATGTCATTACAAATTATGTCAAATTAAATTATAGGTCAATTACAAGATCGGTCATTCAAATAAAATAACAAATTAGGAATACAGATGAACTACAATATTAATTTAAAATTTATCCGTCATATATTTTTCTAGTGTATAGTAAGCTTTGTCCACAAGTAGTTTCTTAACTCTCATTTTAAATGTTTGGATATTGGATATTTCTTTTAAACATTCTGGTAATTTATTGTATAGTCGCGGTGCCATACCAAATATACTTTTATTGTAAAGGGCAGTCCTACTGGCGGGAAAGCAATTATCGTTTTTATGTCTTATACTTCTAAGATGTTGAAACATGCTTATGTTTGCTTTCACAAAGACTACCACTTCATAAATATACAGAGATGGTACTGTCATTATGTTAAGGTTTGAAAAGTGTTGCTGACAACTGTCCCTATATTTTAATTTACAAATCGCTCTTATGCATTTTTTTTGAGATTTAAATACAGTATATCTCTCAGTTGAATTACCCCAAAATATAATACCATATCTTAATATGGATTCAACATGACTATGGTAGGCAATTATCAGTGTTGGTTGGTTTACAATTTTACTCAAACGGTATAGTGCATATGAAAATTTATTAATACGACTGCATACGTGATCAACATGACTTTTCCAGTTTAGCTTATTGTCAATATAGATTCCTAAGAATTTCGCAGCCTCTACTTAGTCGATTTTTTTATTTCTGTAATAAATGTCGTAGTCATCATTAGAATAAGTATGTGTATTAGAAAATGTCATATAGTTAGTTTTGTCAATATTCATGCATAGCTTATTAGAATTTAACCAAGTGATAACTTTATTTAGCGAGTCATTAATATTATGTATTAAGCTATTGATTTCATTGCTAACAAAAATAGCCGTACTGTCATCAGCAAACAGTATTAGTTTCTCATTTATTGATTTTGGGAGATCATTTATAAAGGCTAAAAAGAACAGAGGTCCCAATACAGTTCCCTGAGGCACACCTCTTTCGACGCACTGAATTTCAGATACATAATTTATTTCCTCTTTGCGCTTGATACACAATCGAGTGATCTGTGTTGTCTGTCTTCGGTTGGTTAGGTATGATGTTATCAACTTAAGAACATTACCTCTCACACCATATTGCTCTAGTTTGTGAAGAAGCAAATTATGTTCGACAAGGTCAAATGCTTTCGTAAGATCCATATATAAAGCACTTACTAGACGTCTTTTATCAATATTTTTAATAACAGTATCTAAAAATTTATAAATCGCTAAATTTATTGATTTACCAGTACGGAATCCCATTTGTTCGTCCACTAAAATATATTTTTCAAAAAAGTCATAGAGTCTAATATATATGATTTTTTCAAATACCTTAGCAAAAACTGAAATCAGAGCTATGGGTATAGCAGGCCAAGTCCTCGGTGTCCTTTTTTTTAAACAGGGGTTTTACTAGAGTAATTTTCAATTTTTCTGGAAATATCCCGTATTCAATGCATAAGTTAATAATATGACATAGTACAGGTGCAATTAAGTTGCTTACATATTTAAGAACTTTTGTGCTGATTTCATCGTATCCGGTGCTATTTGTATTTTTTAACGACATAATAGTACGTTTTATTTCATCAGGAGAAGTAGGTTTCATAAAAACTGATTTTTCATTATGCATGCAAGATGAGGAACTAGTTATTTTATTGCTATTACTAACGTCATTGTCAACAGATAATTTCAAATGAGATTGATTTAAGAAAAAGTCATTAAATGTTTGTGCTATAATATTTGGGTCAGTTATTATTTTATTATCAATTTTTATTTGGGGTATGTCATTATGGGGTAAATTTTTCTTTTTGTCATTAATAATAGTCCAAGCAGCCTTACATTTATTTTTGGCTGATAAAATATAGTAGTTATTCTGAGATTTTTGGGTCTGTTTTATAATGCGGTTAAGCCTAGAGGAGTAAGTTTTGAAGTCGTTTTTAAGTTTTTCTGTGCGATTTTTTTCTGTACATCCAGAGCATTGTACGTTTCCGTTTTGAGCATATTTTGATACCTCTTGATAGCCATTTTGATTTTTTTTCACTATTATGTTTTACTTTTATAATAGGAAAACATAGTTTGTAGAGAAGACCGAAATTATCAAAGAAGTCATTATACGCTTTTTCAGGATCACACGTATTGTTATAAATATCAATGAATTTAAGTGAGTTTAGGTGTTTAAAAAAAATGTTCAAATTTTCACTACTATAACACCTCCTTTTGCTGTACCAACAGTTCAAGGAGAATGATTGTGCAACTGGGAAAGTTAATAGCTGGGCCCCATGGTCTGATATTGCAAATTCCAATAGACTACTTTTAGGTTTATATACATTTTGTATTATGTTATCTATGCATTTACCACTCGCTGCTCTTGTTGGTTCTCGAAACGAGAATTTCAAATTGTAACTGTAGATTATTTGGGTAAACCTTCTTGTATTGATGTTATTATTTAAGATATCTACATTAAAGTCACCACATAATATTATTTTATTTTTGCTCAAGCCATATTCATTAAGCATGCTATCTAAAGTATCAAAAAACTTGTCTATGTAATGTTTATTTAATCTAGGCGGGCGATATATGCAGATAATGAGCAACTTGTGATGTGTAAGCTCTATTGCAGAGCATTCAAAGATACCTTCTATGTTATATTTCATTAAAGATAAAATTGGTTTAAAGGTATGTTTATTATGTACTAATATACAAGAACCACCATGTCGATTACGTCTTGTACTACATGATGCCACATTATAATTAATAAGATTACTAAGTTCCACGTCACTTTCTATCATATTATGCTCAGTCAGACATAGTACGTCGATGGAATTCCCTTTACTGGCTAAGTTTTGTAGATGAATGCTCAGAAGGTCAGATTTACTAAGAAAACCATTAATATTTATATGTAATACGTTCATATAATTACATTCGAAAAAGCTTATTCTCGTCATGAATAATAGTAATGTCATCATCATAATAATTATTATATGTCAAATTTATATTAGATAGTGTCTGATTATAATGTTCAATCGAATGGATCAGTTTCAAAATGTCGCGAAATATTGTTTTAGTTCCTACGTTATTAATTAAGCCAGACTTATTAAACATAGCATTCGAGTACGTCAAATTCCTGTTTGAGTCTAATATAAAACTATATTCATGTTTTAAGTTGTCTAAATAGTCTGTCGTTAAAAGCTTCTATACGTAGATTAAAGAGGTTACTATAATTATTACACTTGAAGGTTGGAGAACATAATATCACATTGGTATGCTGGACTAATAACAATTGTTTTCTAATATAATCAATTAGTTGAGAATAATCCTTGGTTATACGGAAATCAGCATCACCAATTAATAATATACAGAAGTCGTTATGGGTGTAATTTTGCAGTTTATATTCAATATTATCTAGTAGCTGTTTTATGCTACCATTTGGTATCAAATAATGACAGAATTTATATCCGTTAAAACATTCTTTGGATATGTTTAGTATCTTATTTCTATTATCACTACTAATAATTGTAATCTTTTTCATAGGTTCAGTTTGTTCTTCCGTAGTTAATTGTGCACCATCAGACTTGATTTTGGTCGGAGCACATAAATTCTTCGACAGCGATGAGTTTGCTCGTTCCGGTACATCCCTTGTGGTCAATTTTGCTTTCGGTTTGGGAGAATCTATATAGTTTTTGGTTCTGCTACGTTTTTTCTTACGTCCCGATGATGATGATCGCGGAGTACTTGTATTGCAGCTTTCATCCAAAATAATAGTGTTGGTTTTTATTAATTTTAAGTATTTTTGTAATTCAGAATTGAGCCGTGTTACCTCACTATTAAGTTTAATAATCGTACATTATGTAACTGAATAATGTATCGTACATTATGTAAATGAATACATGTATCGTACATTATGTAAATGAATACATGTATCGTACATTATGTAACAGGTTTATTTTCGCTTAAATTTCATAACCTACAAAGATAAGTATAAAACAAGAAATAAAGGATATTAGATCATAATCATGGCCTTACTTTACTATAACCATACTATTGTCTTCACAATAAAGCAGTAGATATGCAAATGATGAGATGAGTATAAATAGATTAGAAATATGTCTATATAAACAGCCACAATTTAAATAAAAATACTCATAATCATCATACAATCTTTTGCCCACTAGAAAACAGGTGTACATACTATACTCTATCACGAATACCAGCAAATGTTTAGAAGCTGTATTTATTATTATTTAAAAAACCCCACTCCCAAACTTTGATGCGCTTTATTTGTAAATTTTTTAAACATCGTCATATACTCTGTTTGAACAGAACATAATATTTTAGTTACAGACTTTATGGCAGATCAGTTCAATCTACAAGAATATTCAATTCATGATGATCAGACCTCTGGGATGACTACTACAGAAGATTCTAATGTAAGCTACAACTATTTGGCCTAGTTACTTTTCTGAGTTGTGATTTTTTTTAATTTTGTGTTCTTGTTTAAGCAACAAAATATACTTGCAAGTCATAGAGAAAGTGTGGATGTACAATTTGAGCCTCGTGGAATAGCACCAGTCAGGCTAGAAGTTAAAGAGAAACCAAAATATGTAGCAATTAAGGTAAATATTTTAATTACGATAATTATATGTTTTATTTTATTTTCATGCATAGAAATGATTTACTTAATAAAATATATTTTGAAGGGTGTTAGAACTTAGAAGGCAACTATCAGAATTTTTACTTAAACACATATTTTTACTTAAAAAAATACTAAGATTAAATAAAATTGTAAGTAGGAATTTTATCTTAAACAAACATTTTTTTTTGTAGAGTCCGCGCCACGACTCATGTCCGATAGACGCGGCGCCTGTCTTGTAACAAAATGTTGCCAGTAGGAAGAAATTTTCTCCCATATCTCATTACTTCAAAATTATTTTTCTTCATCGGAATTAAATATTATTTGTAACTCAAATAATGACACAAAGAATATTTATCAATAAAACAATATTAACAATAAAGTTTAATATAATTTAATGCAATAATTGTGGTCATCATGATACAATTCTTTTACGCCAGATATATCGCAATCACTGTTGCTCAATTCTTCCTCGGTGGAATCATCAGATTCAGTATCACTATCACTCTCTGTTGATATTATGAATCTCTCCATTTCCACATCAACTAGTCCGTCATTTTTAAAGTACTCATCTTCAAGATGTTCCACGTGGTTACACTGAACGCTCCAGTCTTCTGGCGTAACACTAGCAAAAGCAGCTTCTGTCAATTCTATTATTCTTTTTGGATCTTGAGCAACATTTTTATCAGCAACGCGTCTCTTTACCAAACTCCAAATTTTTTCGATAGGATTTAGGTCACAGTGGTAAGGAGGTAATTTTACCACTTCGTGATTGTGTTGTTTCAGTAGTTCATCAACTGCAAAGAGCGGTGGTTCTTTGTTTCTTTTAATGATGTCATATAACACTGGTTTAGTCCATCTCTCTTCAAAATAAATTTGTTTTTGTCGTAACCACTCCTGCATTTTTTTTTTTTTTTATGCTAGATAGGCAATGCGTTTGACCACAATCTCACCTGATGGAAAGCGATGATGAGGCCTAGGATGGTACACGCCTGCCTAGAAGATGCCTGTTCACTCTGGCCTTGAAGATGTCCAGGTTATATTGGTCTGGGAAAACAGACCTCGGCAAGGAGTTCCACTCCCTAGCCGTTCGTATAATGAAGGCCGAAGCAAATCGCTTCGTGCGAATGGGAGGAACTTCGACAACATAAGGGTGGAAGCCCTCGCCGCGCCTGGTCGTCCGGTGGTGGAAAGGGGAAGGGGGGATCAAATTATGTAATACCTCCGCACACTCTCCGAAATGTAACCGATAAAACACCGAAAGGCAAGCTACACGTCTTCGGTGGTCAAGGCTCTGAAGATTAGCCTCAACGAGAGCGTCATTGCCTATGAGTTTTTTCGCACGGTGTTCCACCGAGTCCAGTGCATCCAGCTGATACCGAGCAGATCCGTCCCAAAGGTGACAACAGTACTTCAAGCAGGAGCGAACTTGGGCTCGGTAAAGGTTAAGGAGCTGCTCAGATGTAAAATATCGCCTGACCTTAGAAAGTATTCCAAGTTTTCTGGCAGCGGTTTTAGCAATGGACTCGATGTAGCGACCGAAATTGAGGCTGGATGAGATGTCCATACCCAAGAGCTCGAGATGGTCTTTAACCGGCACGGAGACATTTTGGAAAGTCGGAGTCAGATGGAATGGACTCCGTTTCGTCGAGAAGAGACAGGCCTGTGTTTTAGAGGGATTGAATCCAACCAAGTTGGCTTCACCCCAAAGGGAAACAGCTTCTAGGGTTGCATTCACTCCCTCCACCATCGCCTCCCTTAATGATCGGACATCTGCATCAGACTTCACATCAGGCAGATATCTCCCCGAAACTGTGCTGTCGTCTGCATACCCAAAGATACCGGGAGTTAGGAGCAGATCATTGATGTGCAGCAAGAAAAGAGTTGCGGAGAGGACAGATCCCTGGGGGACACCGGCATTAATACCAAGCAGATCCGACGATGTGCCATTAATGACCACTCGTATCGATCTGCCCCCCAGAAAATCTGCAATCCAGTAGCAAAGTCCGACAGCGATTCCATATGAAGGAAGCTTGCCAATGAGACTTGCATGCCAGACCCTGTCAAAAGCCTTAGAAATATCAAGAGAAACGGCGAGAGCTTCGCCGCGTTTCTCTATGGCTTCACTCCATAAGTGGGTAGCATACACAAGAAGATCCCCAGTAGATCGCCCACGGCGGAAACCGAATTGGCAGTCACTGAGGAGATCGTTATCTTCGAGGTAAGCGAGGAGACGGTTGTTCAATACACGCTCCATAATCTTACAGAGTATGGAGGTGATTGCAATAGGTCGATAGTTGGCAGGGTCGGCACGACTACCCTTTTTGGGCACTGGTTGGACATTGGCAAGCTTCCAGGTTTTCGGAACTTGGCCAATCTCAAGGGATAAGCGATATAGGCGAGTCAGAATAGGAGACAACTCAGGGGCACAATTCCGCAGGACAATAGCTGGAATGCCATCCGGCCCACTGGCTTTATTCACGTCTAGAGTGCTTAGCGCTTTGAGTACCTCTTTCTGATGGATGCGAACTTCCAACATGGTAGAAGAACACTGAGGAAGCTTAGGTGGGTTTACGCCAGCAGCATCTAGCTGTGAGTTGTTCACAAATATAGAGGCAAACAAGTCAGCCTTCTCTTTGGAGGTGTGAGCCAGTGATCCGACAGGCTTAATTAAAGGCGGCAGCGACGACCGGCAAAAATTGGCTTCGACTGTTTTGGCTAGGGACCAGAAAGCTTTGCTTCCGGATGGAAAGGAGGCTAATTTGGCTCCTATACGGCCAATGTGATCGAAGCGGGCCTTGCGGATAACACCTTTACAGGACTTGGCGGCACTGTTAAAGGCCTTCTTCAGACTTCGAACATTTGGTGATTTGCGGGCTCGAGCATCCGCCCAGGAGCGATACGCAAAATGCTTAAGCGCCTCCGCTTTAGCACAGTCCGCGTCAAACCAAGGGCGGGCGCTAAACCGGCGCGGTACGTCAGAGTATGGAATAAAGTACTCCATAGCCTGACGCATCACGTCAGCAATGGCATCCGCGCACCAAGTCGGGTCGTCCGTCAATAATCCATCTTCTTCTTTGCTTTGCCAACAGCTTTTAGCGTGATATGTCGGATGAATGTAAGTTTCATCTAAGTACACCACAGGCCTTTTGTCAACTAGCCTATTTTTCCTCATTCTTTCAATGTACCTGGCGCGCCAAGCAGTAATATCATGTCGCTCCATCAACACTTTGCGTTTAGATTGAGAACGTTTGAATCGAAAACCTAACAGTTTCAATATTCTTCGTAAAGTTGTATTACTCCCTTGAAAATTTATATCCCTTTTTAATTCCAAACGCAGTTTATTAACAGTAGGGAATTCTTTTTTCACAACATAGAAAAAATGAATTTTTTGGCGTATGCAACACAAATCAAAGTCATCCAAATCAATTTTCTTAGCTTGTGGACGACTTTTTCCAGGAGTAACAATTTTATTTGATGTTGCCATTGCAGTTATTCCTTCTTTAGTGATTCTTGACACCGTTTTAACAGACACACCTAAATTCACAAAGAAACCAGTTTAAACTATTATTAATTGATTCATCACTAAACAATATATTGTACTCGCAACCGAAAAAAGGTGAAAACTGACTACTTTAATTATAAATTGAAGTTAATAAATATAAAACTACAATAAAATGCAACACAAACATTTTTTTTGTATAAATTATTTAAACATGACACACGCCTAACAGAAAATGTTACTCCATAAAATGAGGTAAACATCAATGACCTTACAACCCTAAAATTTACCTGTCATGGCAGCGACTCTCATTTGAACATTTTGTAAAGGGATCAAAACATTGTTATTTTTCTTCTCCAGCTCACAAAACTGTTTCACCTTAAGAATTACTTCTCTGGCTGCACTTCTTATCACTTTACGCTCCATAATCAATCTCCTTCCAATAAAAAACAACTCAAATCTACAAACAACACTCGCAACGCACACACCTGACAAACGACAACATGGCGGAGCTGTCTCATTTAGTTCGACGTTTCGCCGTCGGACTTGAGTAGTGGCGCGGACTCTATATGCATACTTTTATTAATCAAACATTATGGTTTCAATTTGCTCCGCAGGCTGCACCTAAGAAATCAGATACACAAACATTGTCTGCGACGCGTGAGATTGCCATAGCTCCAAAGCTGCCAAAATTGATTCCTGCAGTGAGCGGTAGATTTACAATACCTCAAAAAACGAAACACGTTGCTATAGCTCCACAACCGGTAGCACTAATCACAAACCAGAATAATATTGTGAAAAAAATACCTTTAAGTTCAGTTCTCAAAGATGGAAATCAGGGAGGTACAGTTTTAGGTGAGTTTAATTAATATTAAATAATCCTTTCTTTCTTGAGGAGCTCGATGGCGCGGGTGTTTAGCACGTTCGGTTGCGATCGTTGAAGTTAAGCAACTTTCGCAGTCGGTCATTGGATGGGTAGCCAAAAATCTTCTATCTCGAGTTCCTCCATGCCTCCGAAAGGCACGTTAAGCCGTTGGTCCCGGCTGCATCTACAGTTGTTCATCATCAGCCCATTAATGTCCCCACTGCTGGGGCACAGGCCTTCCCTATGGATGGAATAGAGAGATTGGGCCATGACTCACCACGCGGGCCCAGTGCGGATTGGTGGGTGCTAACGACTACATTTATACAGACTCATTACTACTAAGCCTTGAGCTACAATCAATATAAATAATTAAACACCCCACACTTTTTCTACTTATTATTTTTTAGGGTTCCGTACCTCAAAAGGGAAAAATGGAACCCTTATAGGATCACTTTGTTGTCCGTCCGTCCGTCTGTCAAGACCGTTTTTCTCAGGAACGCGTGGAGGTATCAAACTGAAATTCATATCTAATACCAAGGTCTACTGTCCCTTGGAGCTGTGAAAAAATCAAACTTCTAAACCAAAGCAATCAAAAGATACAGCCGTTTATGCCGCAATTTCCGCAAATTTTCAACACTCGCACGGGAATCAAAAGCTACAGGGTACTTCCCGTGAACTTAGAATCGTGAAATTTGGTACGAAGTAACGTCTTATAGTACAGATAAAGGAAAAATTGCGAATACCGTAAATTTTTAGTTAATCATAAAAAAAATATTTTTGAAAAATTTAAAGTTACTACCTCTTTCTCATGAACGCGTAGAGGTATTAAATTGAGTTTGTACGGAACCCTCGGTGCGCGAGTCGGACTCGGACTTGGCCGGTTTTTTTTTATCTTTATTATAACTGTGTGCATTGTGCGTGAACTACATCTCATTCTCTGTAGTTTTTCCATATTCCATCAATTTGTCTACTAAGTCTAACTTTATCAGTTTTATTGCAGCGCAAATAGGAAAACAGCTAGTAATGATGCCAGCGTCTGCGAGTGGACAAAAAATAAAATTGGTAACAACTGGTAACACAGGAGCGCAAACAGTGCAGTATATCAAAACTAGTGCAGACCATGTGAGAAATTTAAACCACTAACCTCCTTATTAATAGACGAGGCATAAGCTTAGAGAGTAGTTACGCCATGTTTAGTTCATATCACCGGAGTGCCATTCATTTGTAATTCAATGAAAAGAGAACAAAGAGTAATTATCGAAGCTTATTCTTCGTTAAATAAAACTAGTTTTTACGGTTCATATCACCGGAGTGCCATTTTTTTGTAATTCAAAGAAAAGAAAACAAAGAGTAACTTATCAAAGCTATTTCTTCGTTAAATAAAACTAGTTTTACGGTTCATATCACTGGAGTGCCATTTATTTGTAATTCAATGAAAAGAGAACAAAGAGTAACTTATCAAAGCTTATTCTTCGTTAAATAAAACTAGTTTTTACGGTTCATATCACCGAAGTGCCATTTATTTGTAATTCAATGAAAAGAGAACCAAGAGTAACTTATAAAAGCTTATTCTTCGTTAAATAAAACTAGTTTTTACGGGTTAGATGAACTGAATTTATTTATTTTTTTATAGCCTTTTCAGGTCTGCGTCGTTAAATAAGTTTTTTTTATCACGTCAATAAATAAATAAATTCAGTACATCTAACCCGTAAAAACTATTTTTATTTAATGAGTGATGTGCGTGGAAACCTAAGAAACAAATATTATTCTTATTTTATTAGTAAGGTGGTATGAGTTTTGCCATTGCTAGAATTGAGATTTGCTAACTTAATGACTAATCTCTTGATTTCAGGCCCAACTGACACCGGCTAAAAGTTTTTCTGGTATCCAGACAAATAAACCTGTGGTGGCTAAAGTTATTCTTCAAGGTACATTAACTATTCTCATTTATTGTACTTAAAAATTGAACTTATTGTTTTTATTTTTTAAGCATGTAACTGCTTGATGTTTAAATCTAAATAAAATATAACTAGAAACAAAATCCACGCGACCAGGCAGCAGACGGGACTCGAATCCGCACCCTTCGTTATTCGGGCGAATGCATTGACCATTATGCCACCGCCGCCCTGATGCCCGTGTGAATTCTTCCTAACCTTTCTTTAGCAGCAAGGCAGCGCATTTCAATGTTATCTTTATATTATATATATATAAATAAATTGCTGTTCGATAGTCTCGCTAAAACTCGAGAACGCCTGGGCCGATTTAGCTGATTTTGGTTTTAAAATGTTTTGCGTACCTAATCGTTTAAACGTGACAAAATTATCATTTTTTCCAAATTATTGTAAGCAGTACAAAGTACGCTGGGTCAGCTAGTATGTTATAATTTTTGTGGGCAAGTTATGGTATCTTATATTACTACTGAAACTAATATCATATGTATACATTAGGTATTTACTTTTCATACTACAAGCATTGCTTAGTTTTTTTACCGCGGCATGATCTAACAGCCGTCATTAAGTTTGAATTGCATACATTTTGGCAATTACTAGCGACTCGCCTTGGCTTCGCACAGGTCCAATGTAGATACTAATATGGGGAGTGAATTATACACACATACAAAAATATTCCTCTTGAATCACTATCTATTACTGCATTAAAATCGTCGCGCATTTAGAAAGATCTAAGAATACGGACACCGAGAGCGACTTTATTTTTTACTATGCTAAGATTTATTAATATCCCTGAAGTGCGGTCAACGAAAGAATGGTCATGCTAGTTCCCGTAAGTTAATAGAGAATATTACAGTTTCGATCTTGAAAAAATGAGGTACGAAAATAAACCTATTGTATACTAGTGTGTGCCCACGATTTCGACTGTGTGGAAAAAATGATTTTCCATACTCTCTTAAACGATTATTTCTGGGATAAAATGCTATTCTATATCCTTTCCCGGGACACGAAACTTATTTTATAGCAAATTTTATCTTTAATCGGTTTAAGCTTGAAAAATTAAGAGACAGTAAGACAGACAGACAAATTTATGATATTTATAAATAAATATTTCCAACAATCACACCAATTAGCCTAGCCCCAAAGTAAGCACTGTAAGGCTTGTGTTATGGGATACTAGGGTAACGGATAGAATACATATACTGTACTTAAATAAGTATATTTATATAGAAATACATGTTAAACATCCATGACTGGAGTACAGATGGATGAATACAGAGGAGTGGGGGCAGATGTTTGTGTCATTCATCACACAAACATCTGCCCCCACCGGGATTCGAGCCCGGGACCTCTCGAGACGGCGACACCATTAAACCCGGCGTACAAACCACTCGGCCACGGAGGTCGTCTTTTAGTGTGTATTGATTTGATACAATATTCCAGGACAGTCAAACGTAGACATTTCTAATCAGCCGGCCGTGATTACGAAGTTACTGCCCACGTCGAGTGCGAGCGTTCCGCAGACTCAGACCCGCTACATAATGCAGAGGAAAACCGTACCTATATCTGTGGGAAAAAGGGTGAGTTTAGCTTCCACCTACTGAACTCGTGTGTATATGTGTGACGACGGGGTAAAGTAAAAGAAATTCTATTTAGTACGTCAGTTAGATTATGAAAAAAATATGAAGACGTAATTTTCTTTGGTCAATCAACCAAAAAATTACAAAGATAAAGCGTGCCAAAGTTTGGAAATGGGTGCACGTGAGGTCACTTTTAAGTAAAAATTGTACCAAAATGTGACGTCATGCGACATTTCAAATCAATGTTTTGATTACGTGTGATTATGATCACACGACTGAAGTGAAACTTCTTTAGCTCCATCTGTTTATTATATATATATGTGTGTGTGTACAATATATACATGTATGTACATATACATATTTCATTTACTAGCTATAAGAGAAGGAGAGAAAGAAAATGTGCGCATTTCTTTCTCTTGCTTCCCCCACTCCCCGAACACACTTTTCATAACGCGTAACGCATTCACCAGCTTACCCCCTCAAGTCAAGCGTACGTAAAGAAGTTTCACTTCAAAAAATTTTTTGTCGTCATCCTTATTCTATTAATTTACTTGCTCGAAATCTTCAGAGGTAGGTGTAACATTTTTAATATTTTTTCCATACAAACGTTCTCGACTGATTTCTCCTTGATTTTTATCATTAAAGAATTGATTTTCATACATAAATTATAATTTTACTCATTCTATGCTCCTATGTCTACCTTTTTTCGATAACTTGTGTTTCAAAGAAACTAGAAGTCCTCAAATATGCCAAAATAAACAAATTTATATCACCACTAAAGACGACTAATGTGGAGATTAAGGAAGCATTTACGACAAAAGCAAAAGATAGAGGCAAATTATAACTACTTATTATTCTATGGGTAAATTTTCTTTTACATAGGTATACCTAATTTTCGAGGAGGAAATCTTCGAGAGCCAAACCTCGAATGTTGCAATTTTTATACGCAATTTTCAGCGTTAACTACTGCTTTGTCCCTATTGCACGGTATTTGCCAATGCGTGATAGCAATAACTTTTTCAAATACCTATTTCTCAAATGTGTCTCAGCATTTAAAGAAAATAATAGCAAATGCCGACGCAAGTCAGTCTGTCTTACTTGTACGTTACTTTACTAAGTAAGTGCGTGCCTAAGTGCGTGCGAGAGCATGTGCGAGAGATTCTGTTTCTCTCGCATTTGCGAAAGAGACAGAATGTCTTACGTTTTTGTTTGCGATTCCTTTCTTTAATGACACGAATTAAAGTTTCTGTTTATCTTAACGTAAGTGCTCTAGTTGAGAGAGAGAGAGAGAGAACCATTTTATTGACCAATAAAAACACACAAACATATAATTATAAACAGCTAAAATAGAAACATATATAGAAAGTAAATATCACAATCATTGATAAATCTTACACTTATAATATTGGTCAATCAGGACCCTGCCTCACCATAATGCTGCCGTGACATGCCACTAAACGTGACACGACAACGCTGGTATTCTGACAAAGTTACTACTTTTCGGTCATATTTCATCAGAAACTATGGAAGGATTAGAAAACTGTAGAAGTTAATAAACAGGATTCTGATTCCGACACGAAAGTTGCTGTTGGGATAGGAAAGAAAGGACTGAAATTTAAATATTCAAATGACGACCGAAAACCCCATCGTTATACTTATCACAATACTTTTTATTTTGACATTAGAAGGATATTTACCGAAATCAAATGATTGATTGATGATAATATTAAACCAAGACAACTTTATCACCTTCTTTTCTCTTTTTCTATTTTGGCATGGCACCCAATTATGATATAAATAAATAAATAAAATATGTATCCGAAGAATTGAAAAACGAGGAGTCGATCAAAATATTGACAATGGAGATATTTAGAACATTGTAATTTTTTTAAAAGGACTACGTATCAATTAGCAGGTGGTGATGGCGACGCCTACAAAACAAGGCGTTAAGTTCACGAAGAAAGAACAAAACGTGTTTCATTTCAAAACGCCGCCGAAATTGATGCCAGTCTCAACTACGGGTAAGTCCACGCTGTTTATTGCCTCAATCAACAGTAAAACTAATCAAGATTTTAGAATAATAGATAATGTTTTTTTTTCGGAAGACATACTCTATTATAAATTATATTGTGAATAGGGAGATGACGGGGTAAAGGAGAACAACCACCATGTAGGGTTGGTACAGATACCAAGTTTTTTGTACAGGAGCACTAATAAGCTTTGCGCAAGTATATTTATATATATATATGTCCTTAATAAAAAATCTAATCTTTACCCGCTGCTTTTATAATTTCATTGAGCTGTCTCTCCGCCGGTCTGCCTCTGTTTCTCTTGCCGATAGGTCACTTCCATGACACTATCTTTTTGGCCCACCTGTCCTCTTTTATCCATGCAATGTCCACTTTCATTTCAGTCTTTTGCAGTATTCTAGAGCATCAATCAACTTTGTTGACTGGAAGTGAATTGCCCGACAACGTACACTTGGGCTCACATCAGCCGCCCCTCCCCTAAAGCACTTATATTTGTAAGGAGGTCCTTACTGACCTATATTTGGATGGCCCCGGGGAGCCAGATTTTAAAATACGCCACTGGCTATTGAGGTTCCCATTATTGTAGACTACGGAAATATTATTATTAAGATATGAATAAATTAAAATGTTTATTTCCATCAATTTATTTTATTTTAAAGCATGTAATAGTTCTATAAGTTTGTCCTTATTAATTTTCACAGGCGCTGCGTCCAAAGTGGTATTCACTTCTAATACCACAACTTCTGGACAAAACGTTATATTGAAGACCACCAGTCCACAGAAGCTGACACAAGTAAGTGAAACAAAACTAAAAAACAATTCCTTTCAGAAGGATATAAGGAGTAACTTAGTTTGTTAGGGTTCCGTACCTCAAAAGGAAAAAACGGAACCCTTATCGGATCACTTTGTTGTCCGTCCGTCCGTCTGTCAAGACCGTTTTTCTCAGGAACGCGTGGAGGTATCAAACTGAAATTCATATCTAATACCAAGGTCTACTGTCCCTTGGAGCTGTGAAAAAATCAAACTTCTAAACCAAAGCAATCAAAAGATACAGCAGTTTATGCCGCAATTTCCGCAAATTTTCAAAACTCGCACGGGAATCAAAACCTACAGGGTACTTCCCGTGAACTTAGAATCGTGAAATTTGGTACGAAGTAACGTCTTATAGTACAGATAAAGGAAAAATTGCGAAAACCGTAAATTTTTAGTTAAAAATACCATAACTATGACTCGATTGTCGTGATGGGTGAACTTTTACTTATATACCTATAGGTTAGTACGGAACCCTCGTTCGTATAATTGCCCAACTGTCAAATGACAGCAGTATATTCCTATGGAGCTCTTTTCTACAGTGAATGAAAAGGAAAGACGGCCCTCAAAGTTAGGTAGGTAAATACCAATAGCTATTTGTAGATGGCTATTATTTGATAAATCAACCGATCAGCCAAAGAAAATAAGGACATTTTTTACATTGAACAGTAGGGCAAAATATATGATGTAATAAAATATCGTGATATTACGTACCTAAACAATATGTCAAAAAATATTTCATAACATCGTGATACCAGTGTCAATTAATATACCGTAAGTGAGGGTTACTTTAGCTCGGGCGGGTAACTTTGTCCCAAATCAGAAAAAATATTGAACTTGCCGTCCCATCAGTATCCCTTGGGTGACCGTAATAGTTCCAGTTGAAAATGACAGATAGCCATATCGGCGCGTAGTGTGGTGTTGTTTTACCGACATCGTTCCTGTATCAAGTTGTCATTGTAACGCGGCATTTTTTGTAACTGAAATAGTTCGCAAGTTCATGCGCAAACTTTATCAAAACTGTGGTTTTCGGTAAGTTTACTATTTTTTCTAAATTTAAAGTTATATTTTTTATTTAACTTAATTATTTTTGGGCAAAAACATCCATTTATGTATTCAGTATGCTAATGGTGATCTGTTATAAGGGTTACTTAACCCCAACATGGCTTAAAATGAGTTTTTTTTCACAGAGAAAACTCAACGAGCTAAAGTAACCCTCTTTAAGGCCAACTTTGTTCCAAAATTAAAAAAAAAGTATATTAAGCCTTAAATATTATTTTTTCCTATTTTCGTATGATAACTTTGTAACTTATACTTTAAACTTCACAATGGAAAGATATAAAGGTGACATATTCATTACAAAGAGAAGCTACAATTTTATTTGAAAAAAAAAGTGCATATTTTAGGTCAAAGTAACCCGCAGTTACTCGGTATTTAATTTGTTTTACCAAAATCATGATGTAATATAAAAAAGGAGAAACTAAAGTAATTAATACTGAAAACTCATTTAAAATACATTTTGTTTTAGATAACAAAGGATGGAAAAGTTGTCATACAAGGCCAAAAATCGCAGTTTCATCAGGTTAATATTCCCGGAAAAGGGGTAAGTTTTAATGTGTCTTTATTTTTTATTGTTTACTCTTAATTATTATTTTTTAATTATTAAATTATAAGGAAACAGTACACTCACTCGGTCAGGCCTTAATAACTTGAGAACGTCATTACCGATTTCATTCACCTTATTTAAAGTATTTAAAAAAAAAAGTCAATTTAAGAATGTTTGTAAACGTACCGTACGCACCGTAATAATTATACCTGATAGGTGGAGCTGCAGTCGGATTTTCAGTTTAGTTTAGTTATTTTTATTTGGGGGAGGATAACGCCTGTTTGTTTCGCTATTAGAAACATTTCCAGATAATTGTTACATTATAATTAAACAATAAAAAATATATTGCATTGTATAAAATTGTCAATTAATTATCAATAATTAGGATGAACGTTGCACGAACACAGAAAGAGGTTAGAAAGGTGATCATAGACTGTTTGTATGTGAAACGATTTCGCCGGCTCGCCCCCACTGCACGCCTATCTAATAGATAATAGACAATCAAACGACGCGACATCAAACAATCGAATCAATCAGCGCTCACACCCGAGAGTAACGACGCAATCAGAACCTAGTTTTGCTCAAGTTATGAGCATTTGCTCACATATAACTGTGGCGCGCCTGCCCCGCCCACAAGGCCCTTCTAACCTCTCAGTGTTCTGTGGTTGCATGCCCCTTCAAAAGCGGGACAACTCTACTTTTATTTCCATCTGTAAACAATGTTCCTAGCGAATAATCAATTATTATTATCATTAATGTTTATTTTACAGATACAATACATAAAACTGGTGTCGAATCAGAACCCATCGGCAACGAAGACAGTGACCAAACTTCAAAGTTCGTCATCTAACACGAAATCGTTCGTGATCAGTGACAATAAAGGTGTTTTCGCCGTAAATATAAACATAAATTCAACGAACAGTGGTCTCGAACGTCATTGTCCGAAATCGGTATATTTATACCCAAAATTGATATATGACAAAAAATGCAATATTTAATCAAATTCGTTCATTTACCAAAGATAAACTTACAGACAAATTTTTACGTTACTTTTTAACCGGCTCCAAAAGGGAGGAGGTTCTCAATTCGTCAGTATATATATTTTTTAAATGTTGTTTGCGCATATTTTCCATGATAAATTGTCTCTTATATTTTATTGGGGTTATTACTCTATAATAGGGAGATGCAATATTTTTATTTTTGTTTTCATTTTAAAGAATTCCATGTAGAATAAACCACAGATATATTAAAAAATTAAAACATTGTGATTTATCGGAAAAAATGCGGTTTTAAATTGACAATTTAAATTTTCGCGCGAAAACGAACCTATGGTTGCGATGACGTCGCTCCTGTCTGTCACTGGTCGTACTTGTTCGTTGCTGGCTTTAAATTTTCATACTTTTGCATATTTTTTCGACTTTCGAAATATTATTTTTGAAAAGTTTAAAATGGACTATCCATCAACATCATGTGATCATAACAATACCACTAATATTCCGAAAAAAAGCCGTGTTGACTCATGTTTTGTGCCAATCTACTTCAACAAAGTTCCCAAATAAATTGTTTTTGACTGGAACTTCTGACCCAAAACTGAAAAAAAGTGGTTTCAAGCTGCGAAGAGAAATGACAATTATTCTCCAAAGACCATTATTCGATGCTGAGAAGATCACTTTGACGTAAGTCGGCGAATATACTTGTTATATGCTTAATTAATCTGCTTGTACGTAAAAACGCATTAGTAACCTACCTAATATTTACAAAACCTGTCATATCATATTTTTAATTTTACAGTTGGAGAATGACGACGAAAATTAGATAAAGTTTAAAATGTGTGGCACAATCTTCACATTGGCAGGACTGAACCAAGCTTTGCGTTTCATTTAAAATAACTGTAACACGATAACCTTCTTTACGTACTTTTTGCTCCGGAGAACTCGACCTTCTACTGTACATAATTCTCCATCTCTTTTAATTTGGACATAGCCGATTGCATTATTGCCGTAAGATTTGTAGAAGCCGCTGAATAAAATACGAAGTTTAACAACTACGATTTTTACATACCGTAGTAATTTAGTCCCTTTCATTTCTACACTTAAAAACTCTGCACTTTGGACAAAAAAGTTATAACCATGTCAACGCTAACTCTTGGTAAATTCCTGGAGTCTGCTTTGATAAACGCAACTTCCATTTTTATTAAATGTAAAAAAACGCAATAAATATTCCCATAAAATAATATTTACTTTAACAACCATAACCTCAAAGAAGTTGTCATAACAGGAGTGACGTCACTAAACGCTGATTGGTGTTTTAAAATACGTTCCGTTTCAAGTATTTTTAATTCGTAATAATTGTTAAAAAACAACATTATGTAAAATAAAAACGTTGCAGTGGCATTTCTTTTATATTTTTTTAACATTTTAATCATAAAATTTTCATAAATATTGTATATGCATCTTCCCTATTTGTTGGGGTGTCATAATTATTATGGCAGAAAAAATACCATAACAATGTACACACATCAAAAGTGTCTAGGGATCAACATATATTTTTGCAATAACTTTTCTCCTGATTGATATTAATTAAAATTTTCTTTAAGGATTTATCAAATAAAGTGTTTTCGTTTGTCACAGTAACGATAAACCAAGTCACCTTTGCATTAATAAAGAAATTTGCCATTTTCCTAATAAAGGGATTTTTGACATTTGAACCACTAACACAAAAACTCGAAAAAAAGACTGAAATAACAGTTTTCTCTAAAATTTTATTGGGTAACTTAAACAATTAATAATCCGTATTTCTACCGCGAACACTAACAACACAAGAACATCGGTTTGGCATACTCAAAATGAGTTCATCCAAATCACGCTGTGGAATGGCCGCCCATGTTCGTTGCAACAACAAAAAAAGGTCTTCTTGCGACTGGATACCCTCCATATTCGGCAGAGCTCTTCTCTGTAGCATATCCCATGCATGCTCAATCGGGTTCAAGTCTGGCGACTGAGCAGGCCAGGGCAGGACATTGATGTTAGCTGCGGCGAGAGTCTGTCTTACAACTCTTGCGGTGTGCGGTCGTGCATTATCATGCATTAACTGAAATAAGGGACCGATTTGCACTTGTAGAGGAACGATGACGTCTGATACAATCGTCTCAGCATAAATTTGAGCGTTGAGGTTGCCTCTGATCCAAATCAACTCAGTTCTTCCGCCGATCCAAATACCCGCCCATACCATGATGGTTCCACCACTATAAGGATGGACTTCCTGGCAGGATTTTAATCGCTGTTGGCGTCCAGGGGTTCTCCAGTGTCGTATACGTCTTGTATCCGGTCTCATACCAAAACGAGACTCATCAGAAAAGCACAAGAAAATCTCAAGAAATCCGCATAAAAATGCTTGATCCCTAGACACTTTTGATGTGTGTATTATAGCATCACGAAATGTTATGTTAATATGTCACCTTTAGCTTTTAGAATAACTAATCATTCATTACTTATTACTGTTGAATCATTCCCCGTAACGTTAACCAAAAATGCCGACTACCGACTTAAAAGTGTAAAATTGAGAGAATTTCCAAGTATTCTATGAAAACGTGGAAAAATCATTGCATTTCGGTAAGACAGAGCCCGTATCGGTAGAAATACCGAAGAGTCGGTAGGTTTGAGATCACTGTCAACGAATGAGAAATTATATGGAGGCATAACGCTCTAACAAAGGCTGCTAAAACATCAAACCAAACTCATACAACTAAATTTCCATACTAACGCGCAAACAGACAAAACAAATAATTTGATAAATCAAATATCTGCAAATGAATTTCATTATCCATTCATTGGGTTAGATAATGTTAAAAGGAAATCGTAACCAATCCCATGATCGGCGTGTTCATATTTTTTTTCGTGCCCACTTGATCGCAGTTTGCGTCTAACCACTTTTTAGCGCAGTTCGTATTCCATATAATTTCTGATTCGTTGCATAAATTGCATACTTATTTTTTTTCGTTGAGGTTTTTAATTTTATATTCGTACAATAAATGTTAATTGTCGACCATTTCAATAAACAATTAATATGTCAAAAATAAGCAAATTACTGGTTACGTGTTTTAGCAACAGTTTGTCTTTTGAAAAATTAATAAAAATATCTAAGCAACTAAGTTCCTAAAGGTTGGATATATCTTATTCATCTTGTTATTATTGAAACTGACCATAAATGGTAGTAAAATCACTAGAGTATTATTTATATTGTTGCAGGCAAGTTAGTTCAAGTTTCTGCTGCGCCTCCTCCACTCGTATTCAGCGCTGCCGACAAGCGTGAGTCCCTTTTAATAATAATAATTATTTATTTGAGACATCCATATTAATATTATAAATACAAATGTGTCGCTGTCTGTTTGTCTACTACCTTAAACCGCTCTGACCGATTTAGATAAAATTTATTATGGAGATAGTTTGAGACCTGGGAAAGGACATAGGACAGTTTTTATCCCAGAAATCAACCTCTTAGGGGTAAACAGTTTGTATGGAAAATCAAGTTCTCCATGCAGACTAAGTCACGAGCACTAATAAGTAATATTAGAAATGTAAAAGTTTGTATCTATTTCTGCTAATATAATAAATGGTAAGTTTTTATGTTTGTTACTCAATCACGTAGAAACAGCTAAACGGATATAGTTGTAGTTAGGCACACAGGTCTCATTACCTGTATAGAGACAGGATATTTTTTATTCACGGAAAAATGTTTGGTTATGTTAGGTATTCTCAAGAAACTACTACTAAAAACCTGCACTTTCCGACAAAGTCGCTTAGTAACACCTTATTTTTATTTAACTATTAACAAAGCTATATTAATATGGTTATTTGTACTTACCGATATTTAAAGTATTAGATGATTGACGATCACTTAAACTCTGAACAAGGAATATCAGTGTACTGTTTTATAAGATAAAATTGGTATCAGTTTATTTTGAGATACTATACTCATAGGTAGACCGCTTAATTGTGTCTACCTATATTAAAGATATTTTTTGTACATTATAAAAGAAACACTCAGATGTTTATACTGTGCCTTTTTCTATTGCACTGAATAGTATGCTCAATATTTCTCTGTCGCACAATCTTCTTATCTGATTTTTAAACTTCAAGACCTGGCAATAGTATGTCATTAACAACTTTTCGGCCGTATTATATTATCGTGTTAGTAATAAAATAATCTTCATTTTGATTAGAAAGCAGATCGGTGCAATCACTTATATTACGTTACGTGTTCATACCTGCTTGCCAGAGTGAGCAGAAAAAGCTGGCAACACTACTTTTTGCATATTCCTTATACAGCATATTTTTAATTTTTAATTTATTAAAGTTATTCAGTAAACAAGTAAGTGAAACATAAACTAAAATTTTACATATTATACATAGTTTATTTGATTAAAAATAGTCACGAACAATCTTTATAGGCAAAGATATTGTCATTAAGTTTCCTTATAAAAAAATACCTGATAAAATATACTTTTAGTTTGGTAAGTATGTGGGTGAAGGGAGACCTCTCTTGGGATCTCGTACTATCATGTTGTCGTTTGTTCGCTGCAAAGATTGATTCAAATCTTTGGTTCGCGGTGCTCTACGGCTGAAGTTTAGTGTGGAGCCGGCATAAAAAAACAAAACGTAAAAATTCATACTTTGTAATGACGTATGTTTATTTACAAAAAAAGTTTTCTCAATTTGAAATTTTGAAACTTTGGAACGCGCGTACATCGAATGCTTCATGGTTTTTGAATCAGTTTTGGCAGGACGCGAATGGTTTTGTTTGTGTATTTCGCGTGTCTTGTGAACTGATTGTGATTATTTCTATTATTTGTCAGGGCCACAAAAGCTCGTGAGGATAGCGGCTGCGCCGTTAACAGTGAAAGCGACATCAGTGGCTGTAAGTACATACTTTATAAACGCATATGAAACACAATCTCCGTTTTGTAAACGCTGTGTAAACTTAAACCCGGCCTAATAATGATTGTCACTTGTTTGCTAAAGAAATTACAGATACAGCATTAGGTTTAAACCAAGGTTAACTTTAATTATCCATATATGACATTGTGGTTTTAGTTACACTCCGTATTTGTGAAAAGGTTTTAAGTAGGTAATAGGCAATCGTCGCGTGATCGCGATTTTAAGTTTTTTTTTCATAGTGTCGTGTTTGCCTGTTTGTTTAGTTAGTGCATTTAACTGTTTTATTTTTGAGACAGAAGATAAATTTTTAGTATCAAAGTAAATACCTGTTGGTAGATCTCAATATTTAAATAAATCCCTTGTCCTATCCCGCGGAGCCTTGACAATCTTACTTAGCCGGAGGTTTCGAAACAACCCAGGCAAAAACGTCTGTGCGACCAATACCTCCGAGGAGCTCGATGGAGCAGGTGGTAAGTGCAATCAGTCTGCGATCGTGAAAGTTAAGCAACTTTCGCAATGGTCGGTAATTGGATGGGTGATCAAAAACTTGTCGAGCTCCCGCGTGCTTCGGAAGGCACGTTAAGCCGTTTGTCCCAGCTGCATCAGTAGTCGTTAGCACCCAACAATCTGCACTGGGCTCGCGTGGAGGGCCATTTACAGCCCAGTCTCCCTATTCCAGCTGTAGGAAAGGCACGTGCTCCTGCAGTGGGGACATTAATATGCTGATAATTATGACTAACAATAACAGTGGTCTTACTATACAACTTCTAGTCCTTCAGCGATCTCCTTCATTTGATATTTGGAAAAGAGATTCGCTTGTATCTCATTAAAAATTGCTTCAGTTGGATTTGGGAAGGAGGTTAAAGTATATTTAACTTTCATGGTCAGAAACATTATAATTTATTAGCGGTATTGATACCATGTACTTTCCCCGCTGCCGCCTCTTACCGCGCGATATATCGTTTACCCCCTCCACGTGGCCGTAACGCTTTTTCGTTACAGCAAAATCCTAATACCCCTCCCCCCCTATAGAAGAATATAGATGTTTTAATCTATATAGAAGTTTCACTTCAATAAAAAGGGTAAAGAAGTTATGACACCATTACACTTATCCGTTAGCCCGAATACGAGTGCCAATGGAATTCGGATAAACGACTAAGTGTAAATGAACGGAGTCGATTACGTCATCGAAATTATTGCTTCGTGTGCCCAAATTTGGGTCATATCTTTCGGGCACCCGAATACGGGCTAACGACCAAATGTAATTGCGGCATTAGAGTGAAACGTAACCCTTTCGTTTAGCAGGCGTCGGGTCGATCCTCGCAGAGCTTACTGGCGCCTCTGACGTCGGCGGAGGAGGTCGTTGACCCCGCGCCCGCGCCTGTCACTGTGACTGCGCCTTCCATTATCACATCTCAACCCGACAACGACGTTACGCAGGTGAATATTGCCTCGTCCAAGTAGCCATCCGCAGCGGTCGGGGGGCGGTACGGTGGGTACTACGCCGCGTACTCAGCCCCCACGCGCGGGCCATCCTGCGCACGTCTGCGGGGTACCCGCGATACCTCGGCACGGTAATAATATCATACAGTATTCTATCTTCATACAAACGGTCGGAAAGCGAGTCATACCTACGCCACTCCAGTTCGATGTGCTCTCGGCGGGCACCCAGTCGCGAATGCGCCGCCGCGCCGCAACGACGACCGAACGGTCTGAATTGTTTTTTATGCAGTTAGCCGTGCTTAAACGTGCGTTTTGTATTGTAAATATTTTTAAATCTAAAGAAAAGTTTACTAGAAAAAAATCCACGCGGATCAGGCAGCGGACGGGACTCGAACCCGCACCCTTCGCTATCCGGGCGAATGCACTGACCATTATGCTACCACGGCCCTATTCGCCGCGTCGAAATTTTCCTACCCTTAAGCTGCAAGGCAGCGCCATCTCTTCGCATTGCAGGTAATCCACAATGTCAAATGAATAGTTTTTCAAGTATTAAACATTTGAAAAAAGAAATAACAATTATAGTTTTTTTTTTAAGCATTTAACTGCTAGATGTTTAAATCTAAAGAAAAGTTTACTAGAAAAAAAGTCCACGCGGACCAGGCAGCGGACGGGACTCGAACCCGCACCCTTCGCTATCCGGGCGAATGCACTGACCATTATGCTACCACGGCCCTATTCGCCGCGTCGAAATTTTCCTAGCCTTAAGCTGCAAGGCAGCGCCATCTCTTCGCATTGTAGGTAATCCACAATGTCAAATGAATACTTTTTCAAGTATTAAACATTTGAAAGAAGAAATAACATTTTTTTTAAGCATTTAACTGCTAGTTGTTTAAATCTAAAGAAAAGTTTACTAGAAAAAAATCCACGCGGACCAGGCAGCGGACGGGACTCGAACCCGCACCCTTCGCTATCCGGGCGAATGCACTGACCATTATGCTACCACGGCCCTATTCGCCGCGTCGAAATTTTCCTAGCCTTAAGCTGCAAGGCAGCGCCATCTCTTCGCATTGTAGGTAATCCACAATGTCAAATGAATACTTTTTCAAGTATTAAACATTTGAAAGAAGAAATAACAATTATAGTTTTTTTTTAAGCATTTAACTGCTAGATGTTTAAATCTAAAGAAAAGTTTACTAGAAAAAAAAACACGCGGACGGCCCACGGTTTTTGGTTGCTTGAACTCTTCAATAACACACCCAGAGATATCATTTTTTAAATTACCTGAAATATTGGATAGGTGTCTTACCTTTATAGACTATTTTTTATATACCTATCTACTAGTACGTAATTTGTTTCTAATATTTAGGTATTTCGGTTTTTCCTTCGGGCAAAATATCTGGAATAATATATAAAGAAGTGGTTAGGATGAAAAAAGAGACAAACGAGTAATCTACCTACACTCGCGTTAAAAACAAAACTACATAAAATACTGTAGGCGGGCGGCCCTACCGCGTGCTAACGCAGCGCTCGGCCGTAGGCATTTATTTTCAAGGGCAGGGCGGAGTCACAATACTGTATAGATAATATTACCGTGCCTCGGGAGACCCCTGCCGTGGAGCCCCGGCGAGGCCGGGAGGCTGCTGGGTGCGAGGACGCGAAGAATCCCTAAACGGGGACCCCGCGGCTTCGCATCAAGCAGCGTAGAGGGTATTCGTAGGGTTTTTTAGCGGATAGTAACGCCGTTAAGCGTGCGCGTAAATGGCGCGGGTTACTTTGGGGGTTAGCCCCATCGTGCCCGTGGCGTTTGAGAGTGCTAGGCGTGAGATCCGTTCGTCGGTGTGCCTCTTATAGGCGCCGACGTCTGTAAATAGAAGTTTCTATTTACAGACGTTTTCTTCTCACTCGCACAGTTCCTAATAGGGATGATGATAATATTTTTTCCTATATAGTATATAAAGTGTTGGACACATATTTTTTATTAATTCACATAATCAAAACATTACAGAAATATATTGATTTGATATGTCGCATGACGTCACGTCTTGGTACAATTTCTACTTAGGATTGACTTTGTTTGTTGCTTTGGTTGAAAAATTTAAGTGTATTATTTTTGATAATGTAACGGACTGACTTTTTTGTTTACTTTACCCCGTCACCAACCCTATTATCTTTTTTTTTATTTCAAAGGTTTGCAAACGAGTAAACAGCCCGCCTGATGGTAAGCAGCCATGGCTTAAAGACACTATCAGAATATCACTCGTGCGTTATACTGTACTCTATGAAGTCCAATCCCCTCAGATAAAAACATAATATATTACATTCCACCGCAATTATAATGTTTTTAGTTTAGCAAGAGCACCGGCTCTTCTCTCCGGCTAAGCTAAAATCTTCTGGAAGTCTAAAAATTTAAGTCTGATTTACGCTGAGGCAACAACATGCGAAAGTGTCTCGTGCTACATATTACATAACAATGAAATTAAAATACTTTAATTTATATTTTGATTCTTCCTGTTTCATTCTCGGCAGTAAATCAACGAGTGCCGCTACCACGTTTTTTTTTGTGCACAAGCCACATGAGGGATTACCTTTTGTACTATCTATAATTTTGTGCTTATAGTTTATTAAGGTATTACGATATAAAATTCTAAATGAAGTTACCGAGCAGCTTGATTGCGAAATGGTTAAGCTTTCCATCAGTGATCATGGAAGTTCGCAATGACCAGTCATAGGCATAGAACAAAAGTATGAGCTTCTCTGTGCTTAGGAATGCACGTAGAACTGTTGGTTCTGGCTGTATCTGCAGTCGTTTGCTGGGTGCAAACGACTGCAGATACAGCCAGAACCAAAGGTGATATTCCAAATTTTATTTTATTTTTTTGGTCATTTCTTTATGATTCGACATTAATAGAATACATACATTACAACCCTAAATTTTTATCCTTCTACTACGAACGCTTATTTGTATGGCGGTACGAAGTGCTTATATGGAATCTATACCTTCACACAACGCTCTATAGTGTTGAGTTCGGGTATACCATAAAAATATGTACCGCCTTGTTGAGGATTTTAAAATATACCCGACTGCAACATTCGTTTTGAGCATACTTTAAAAATGTGAACCGTCGTGTTAAGGATTTCAAAATATACCCAACCGCAACATTCGTTTGGGTCGGTATCAGATAAAGGGACGTTTATTTTATAGGTTAGAGATTGAGGTAAATTATACGAGAACAAAAATGGATAAAAAACGTTTATTAGTTACTTTAAAAATAAAGTAATTATAAAATTAAAAATACTAATTTAGCGCGCATTACGGACATTCATTTTAACATTCTGGCCTAAGTTGTGCTTTCGTTTAGTTCTGCGTTCTGTATTAGACGGCCGCCCAGCTTGAATCCTAGACTTGGTCTTTCCTATTCCTCTATCTTTACGTCTACTCAGCGCTGTGCTTTGAACTTTAATTTTCCTTGGTACACGCCTTGTTATTATCTGATTTAAAATAAAATTTTGTCCTTGCTCTGATGTATTAATTTTTTTGATTATATTTGTGAATTTTCCCAGTGCTCTTAGATTGTGGACAGTGGGGTTTGTTTCAAATAACTTTGTGAAGCGTTGTACTTCAGTCTTAAACTCTGCGAGTGCATTTTTATATTGGTGAGGGAATTCTACAGCAACCTGTTGCTTGTAAGATGAAGAATTGGCAACATCCTGTATCGGCTCTTGTGTATCGGAGGAAGAGGACTGTGGTACTACCTGTATCTGCTCTTGTGTATTAGAGGAAGAGCACTGCGATCCTATCGAATCCAAATCATTGTTCGGTGTTTGATCCAAATCTATCATATTCATGTAGAAATTTTCATTAATCTCATCCCCCGTCGCAATTCTTGCGAGTGACATTCTATCTTGAATAGACAGCCGAGGAGAATTGGGAAATATAACTCCAAAGTTTTGCTCAATGCTACACAGGTGCTTGCAGAATTTTCCACATTTTCCAGCGTCACAGTCGCAAACGGCTAAATCGGCTCTCACAGTGTAAAAAGTATTTGGGCTTGTTTCTGATTCCACACTGTACTCATTATCGTTGACTTTAGATATATTTTTAATATTTCGAGCAGTCTTCATGAACATTGCATATATGGAATCCTTGGTTTTTCGTGTGTTGGCGTAAGAAACAATGCGACGCATAAAATAATTTTCAAAAATGGACGTTATGAAATCTACTAATGCGCAAGCATTAAATGCTTTACATCGCTGGAGTATGACGTCTTTAAGAATGCGTATAGATGCTTCTGTTATGTTGTTGGTGTTGTTTCCTCGCGTAAGTAAATCCAACCGATCAGAGACACACCATTCAGGCCGGCGTTTCCATAAGTTACTCAGATGATTTAATAGAGCTGGCATCGTCTTAACATCCTCGTCACCTGTCAATTCCTCATACAATTTTACTGCTTCTTCTGGATCAGTTATAAAAAGAATATTTCGAAATCGTGTCATGATGGACTGCCTTTTCATTATGTCAACCTTGTGATCTGCAACGCAAAGCCAACGCCAAAAGGCTTGGCAAACATGGAATACGCATAATAGTAATCGAGCATTTGGAAAAATAGTTCTCAAAGCATTTCGTTCGGCAGTAGAATCGTCCGTCGTAACAATATCCGGCTCTAATTTTTTACCCGCCTCGTTCTTTTCTACAGCTTCTTTTATAGCGGCAAAAACCATCGTGTAATTGGACTCATTTTGCTCAGTATGTATAGCACATGCCAAAGGAAGCCTACCGATTTTGTGATGTGTAAAAACTAGAGTAATCGCAGAACTTGTCTGGTCACACGATGATGTTGTGTCTACAAAAATCATATTCTCATATGCAGTAGACAGAAAAACTCGTTTCATAATAGGAGTAATTATCACGATAATCCTGGGATTTTGTTTTAACAGTATCGAGTAGCCTTTTTTATTTAAACTCTCAATTTTTGCTACATCTGCATTTACTAAATCTGAATGTATACCCGATATCAACTCGCGCCAGTGACGTCACAAATGTTAGATAAAGGTACGCTTTATTGAAATGATTTTTGTTTACTGGATTTGAAAATATACCCGACGGCAACGCGGTCTCTGACGTCATGAGAGTTGTGTGAAGGTATAGATTCCATATAAGCGTACGAAGTTCGCTGGGTCAGCTAGTTAATTATATAAAAATAGTACAAAATAAAACGCATAACCAAACTTCTTTTTTAACGATTTTATAAATTAAATGAAGGCCTAGACTCAGTAGGTGGTGCTGCAGTAGAGTTCTAAGATGTTTCATTACTTTAGGATCCGCTAGTCACTTTAAATAAAAGGCATCCGTTACCGACTGACCTTTCAACGCACAGCTCAAACCACTAAACGGATTGCCCTGAAATTTGGTGCGCATATAGCGATTATGATGCAGGCGTGCGCCAACAATTGATTTTTCAAAATTTACCCCCAAAAGGGGTAAAACGTGGTTTTAAAGTTAGTGTTATGAAACCTCAATCCATAGTTTCTGACTATGGATGATCTAAGGTTGCCTAGCAATAAGTAGTTTATATTTTTTCCTTCATATGTAGTCGGGATTCCGATATGGAGTGAAAATCACCTAGTGTGTTCGTGGATTCCTGGTGAGCTGAGAGTGGTGAGCACTCTTTCTGCGGTGACCGGTTGGCTCGGGAACCCACACGTATTGTGGGCACAAGCTTGACTGGCTTCATTATATCCCTTTATATAAATGATTCCGTAGGACAAAAAACACCATGACTAAAATAAAATTTAAAAATTATGGAAAAAATATAAACTACTTGTTGCTTGAAACTATGGACAGAGGTTTCATAACAGTTTGTATGGGAAACTAATATTTCCACGCAGACGAAGTCTGGGGCACCAACAAGAACGCTATAAAATTATGAACGTATTTATAAATAAGATAAAAATCATTTATTTCGAGCAACAACATAACTCATAATCATTATTATAGAAATAGGTACAATGTACAAACACGTCACAATGTCACAAAAATACAACTGATAATTTATTTCACTTAAATTTTATTTATTTCTAATTTAAACATCAGGGAATACAACTGGAGGCGCTCGAAGAGTACGAGATTTCGGAAACTGTGGCCGAAGAAGAAGAAATTGAGTTAAACTCTGTGGATTCAAAGGGCGCGCTAAGATCACTCGTTGCCAACGACGCCGCTCAGCGGGATCAGAACGAACAACAACTCAGGCAGCGACAACGGCAGGTGAGCCATTTTGATAGTGAGATTACATTGTCCTCTTCTCTCTTCTCTATTTGCTGTGCCCTGTTCAGGGTCTACAATGATCAAAGCAATGTACCTACTAAGATCTAAGAAAACATTGTAGAACGCAGTAAAGTATTGAGTGATACACAGATTTTATAATTGAGGAGTCTACTTTCAAAACCCGCTAAAACGGTTTTTGACTATAAAATAGTTGTCTTCAAAAATATTTCTGAATATTTATTATTCATATCCACGAAATATTATGCTGCAAAATCCGCTTAATTCTATAAATAAACAGTGATCTAAAATTCGTATTATTTGCAAACTCCACTATAATCCACCAAAAATGTGGACCAATCACAGCACAGGATTCAAATCACGTGAACAACTTGGTTATGTCCGTTAAAAGGTGTTATGCAGAATGGTGCGATGATGGGTGAAGGCGTAGGATCCAACACAGTACATGGCACCAATTAATAAAATTGTGTTGTTTTAAAACATTGTAGTTTGCAAAGCTAGGGGGCATATTAAATATATTTCTTGTTGTGAAAATATTATTTCTTCAAAAATTATCAAATGCGCGTGCATTAATTATGTTGCTTCATAAAAAAAGTAGTTGATGAAGAAAATGTGTGAGCATGTTGGGGAAGAAGTTAATTTGCAAGTTTAAATGTACGTATGATTTTTTTTAAATTAATGTTTGTTTAAAAAACCTGATAGTACAAAAAAAAATATTTTAACAAACCTTAACTTTAACATTTACATAAGAATATCTACACAGTGGATTATTGTAAATCGTGCATGTAAGATAAAACCATCCATACCTCAAAATCTATTCAAATCAAAACCCGCCAAAATTTATAATAGTCGTTACAAATCCCGCTATAATAAAAGGTTCTCATCAAAGCCCACTAAAAACAAAATTCTGTGAGCACTTTATCCGTTAAAAACCGTGTTTTCCTTGGTAAATCATGTTAAAAGTGTTTATAAAGCATAAATTTAAAATGTATGATGCTTACTTTAATTGAACTGACCTTTTATTTAAAATGAGGTGTTGAGGGAGGAGCAAAAAATGCTAGATTATATTTTCAGAAAAAGATTTAAGTGGATTTTGAAAGTAGACTCTTCAATTATGTTACCACATTAATTAACTAAATCCGGGAAAGCTGCGCTACAATCACTCGTTTACAACTGGTTACACGATGAGTACGAGATCGTAGACTGTGAAGTAAACTACCTAGATAGGTTAACATTAATTGATGACGTCGATAATATGGATCAAAATATTTCAAATAAATAAAGTTATTACAAAGACACTTATGTGAAAATAGAGTTAAAGAAAGGTAGCAAATAAAGCAGCATAAGTATTTTTTGGCTATAAAAAACGTGGAGGGAACTGATTGCCAAATGCCATCTCCCTCACATTCTCATATAAAGATTTCACTTTCACCTGTAACTTTGGAAACCCTTCCGGTACGTTAGGTCCTATTACCAGAATGTAAAATCGGTTCATTTGGTCTATTTCCCTGAAAGTCCAAACCAGGTTCGTAATTTTTTGACACGACTTTAACAAAGGAATCAAACGCCATAGTGTTAAATCAAACGTTTTATACTGAAGTTCAAAAAAAAAATTTACCAGCGACCTATGGATTACAATTGCTACCAGCTACGGTCCACCGCTCTACCAACTAAGCTATCGAAGGTATACGTGGGAGGGCAAAAAAATCATTTGCTTTTGTACCAGTATCACCACGAAGGCTATTGAAAGGTGAGCTCCACTTTCGCAACTGTACCCTTAGCACGAACCAGTATCGAATTCGTAACGTTTGCGAGTCCGAAATGTCATTGTCAAATGTGTACTGATTTTTGGTTCTCGTTACGTCCGATGCGGCGCTGCTGTTTCAAGTTTCCATACGAATTTTGACAGTGACATTCCGCACTCGCAAACGTTACGAATTCGAAATTGGTTCGTGCAAGGGGTACTGCATTACTTTTTTCATGTTCTCAAAGGCACAGGACATCACACTAATATTATAAAGGCGAAAGTATGTGAGCGTGTATGTTTGTTACTTCTTCACATCTAAACGGCTGGAGCGATTTATATAAAATTTGATATGGAGTTAGCTGACACCCTGGATTAACACATACATTACGTTTTACTGCGGAAAAATATCCCTAATAAACTGCGGGTAACACCGCGGGGCACAACTAGTCTAAAATTAATGTAAATAAAATAAACACATGTACATACTAAAGTACTTGATTCTCAAAGGCAAAGTTTTTAAATTATTATAATATTTTTTTAATTATTGTATTTAGGAAAGGAGAAATAAAGTTTATTGGTGTCAAAAAATAATAGCACCATAATTAATCAGGCTGCAAACCTGGTTTGGACATTCAGGGAAGTGGACGTTCAGGGAATAAATCCTAACGAACCGACTAGATAATCCGGTAATAGGACCTAACGTGCCGAAATACGTTACCGAGTGATAGATATTAAAATACATATAATATAAATATTATATTATTATATAGTTTTTGAGCGTTAGTAGTACGCTATCTAGTTCAAGCCTTGCTTATTCAATTCAGTTCAAACCATTTATTTCAGATCTAGGTTCCATTTGATTGTGTAGTGTAAGTTACATTTGATTTACTTATAAATACGTTAGTATAATAAAGAAATACATAAAATATTACTATAGGATATGGAGCTTCACCCAGTGTTGTAGCAGAGGAGTGTCCAACCGGTCATTAAATTCTCTCAGGAGTCTGTTGGTACTAGAGCGGAGCCTAGTGAGCATGGAAGTGGACCTCTTATAATGGCATAAAAGTCGTCCGTATGCAAGTCTCAACAGTATGCTGAAGGCGTTTTTATATTGGATACGCAGGTCCCTGTATGCCCGATGCGTATAGTTGGTCCAAAGACTGCACGTATAGAATGATTGGCATTAAGTCTTAAAAAGAGTGACCTTTACTGCTTCAGTAGACCGTGCAAATCTTCGGCCCAGCATATTACATCGCACAGCCAGCGACCTACGCTCTCTCTCTATGTCGATGTTGTCCTTGAGATCCTCAGTGACCCAATGACCCAAGTACTTAAACTTGTTCACCCAGCTTAAAGACCTACCACAAAGTGACACTCCAGGGACATCCGAGTAATTAATGGAGTTCGATTTAAATATCATGAGCTCGCTTTTTTTCACATTGTACTTGAGCCCATGAGCCACCGCACATGACTTACAGATAGTTACAAGTCTTCTTGGACCACCAATCGATGGGCTCAGCAGTACCACATCGTCTGCATAGTTTTTATTGTTCAAGCAAAGTCCATCAATAACACAAATTGTATGTTTACTGTGGAGCTCACCGATTAGGCGATTCATGTATAGGTTGAAAAGGCGAGGCGAGCTTAAACCCCCCCTGTCTCACCCCACATTCCATCTCATACACGTCGGATAGAATTCCTGTCCATTTCACTCTATTTTTTTGATTACAATACGAGTAGTGGAACAAGGACGTGACTTCAGGTGGCAGTGTTGTCTCCTTATTTAGCTTCTGTCAAAGGACCCCATAGGACACCATGTCAAACGCTTTTGACAGGTCCAGAAAACAGGCAAATATTGGAGTTTTTCTCTTCGTATAATACTGAACAGTCTGCTTAAGACGAAGACATGATAGCATTTTCCGTAGATAGTTCTGGTCTAAAGCCAAACTGGGCATCATGCAGTTCCATGTGATTTGTAAGCTGTTTATCAAGCAGACCGTCCAGAACCTTAGCGACTATTAGCCAGGGAGATGGGTCTGTAGTTGCTTAGTTTAGGAAAAAATATTTGGAGTTGTCCGGAATATATCATCAATAAAGTATATTCATTTTGAGCGGAGGAGCTCGATGGCGCAGATTGCAACTATCGCAACGGTCGGTCATTGGATGGGTGACCAAAAACTTTTATCTCGAACTCCTCTGTGCTTCGCACATTAAGCCGTTGGTCCTGACTGAATCTGCAGTCGTTACCACCCACCAATTCGTACTCGGCCCGGTGGGTCATTTCCCTATTCCATCCATCTGATGATGATGATGATATTTATTTTGTCTTCAGAGTCTAGAAGGCAGTGATAACTCCAACAGTAACAGTATGGAGCACCTCGTGCCCTCCGGCCGGTCAGATGATCACCCGCTCATTGTCATATCGTCGAATTATATCAAACAGGAAGCTGACTCGCATAATAGACAAGTAAGTCGATTTCAAGAAAAAAACGAGCGAGCCTTACCGTAGTCGCGTATGATGTGTAACATTTGAAACCTCAGCTTATATTAGTAAAAAAAAACCCACTACAAAAGGAATGAGCCATTTGAACATTATGTTCTAAAATAAAATCAAATAGCGCGCGCTTTCGGGACTTCCTGTTCACATACTTCCGTCCCATTTCACGAAATCACTCCCACAAATTGCACGAAAGCGAGAGGAAAGATGTTACACATCAATAAATAAATATTTCTAATACTCACACCAATTAGCCCAGTCCCAAAGTGAGCAGGCTTGTGTAACTATTGGAATACTAGTATTGATACATATAAGTATATTTTTCTAGAACTATATATAAACTTCCATGACTTGGTACAAATGCTCGTATTCATCATGCCAACATTTGCTCCACCGGGATTCGAACCTGGGACCCTTGAGTAAGTGACCTTGAAACACTGCGTAGTACACACCACTCGGCCACGGAGGTCATTATTCAAAACTATGTACAGCTGAATTCTGAATTCATTTACTGTTAGTTTTCGTTTTTAGTTTAATATCGTAGATACATAAATTTTCATTGTCATTACAAATCAATGTTTAATTCTACTTACTACTTTCTGACAGTATATAACGTTATCTTCGTTATATACATTATATACAGTCATGATAAGAAAACGATACCTGTTATATTTGTAAACTGTACCAATAAACGAATCTAAATCTAAATTCAAAGGGCGATACATCAAAATGTTTTTGTCCCACGCCTAAATTCCTGACAAGAATGCGACAGTATATGTGACTGCGCCATTTTAATTCAGTTTTTATATGACGTAAGTTTATTTCTATTGTATATTGCCCACCTAGGAAGACGACTCAACACAAATGGACAGAAGCAATAGATGTATTGAAACGGAGATCTTAAACTCATACCCATTGTCGAATTCTCCCACACCCGCGAATGACAGTGGTAAGTACTATTACTTATATTTTTTCACAAGTGATTGTTACATTATAACAGCTAAGGATGAGATTGTTAAACATTCCAACGATATTAAAAACCCTAAATACACTACGAGCGCTCAAAATGTGTCCCAATCAAGAAGTGCTTGAACACGACTCAACCACTTGGATCAGTTACACGCGAACCGTAAAAAGTCAACATGCCGTAGAGCTCCGTGAAAAATGCGAAAAAATGCTTAGAGTACAAACTTCTTTTTATATAATAATAATAATAAATATTTCCAACACACACCAATTAGCCTAGCCCCAAAGTAAGCACTATAAAGCTTGTGTTATGGGATGCTAGGGTAACGGATAGAATACGTATACTGTACATATATAAGTATATTTATATTAATACATATTAAACATCCATGACTAGAGTACAAATGCTCGTATTCATCACACAAACATCTGACCCCCGGGATTCGAACCTCTCGAGTTGGCGACACCATGGAACCCGGCGTACAAACCACTCGGCCACGGAGGTCGTTCAGTACGTAGTGTCGTTTATCGACAGATATCAAATCAGTGTTCGTTAATTTAACGTATTTGAATCAATGTTGTTCTAATACTTACTATAAACTGATTTAACAAAAAATATTTGTAATAATCAAATGCATGGTCAGTTATGTAGTCGTCTCTTGCCCTCGAGCTCCGTGCCTGCTGTATTGCTAACAGTGCATGCAGAATTATGAAATAAGATCATAGATTTAAAGTATATTCTTCCGCCTATAGCGGCAAGTCGTAAAATTTCACGAGCTCGCATTTCAAACAATTGTGACTTTTGGACGTATGCGTTTAAATAAAGACCTTATATAGTATGCATTAATGGTGACTTTGAATTTTTAACCAATGTCATAAATTTTAAACCCACAGAGCTCCGTGGATCTCTCTCGTCTAACGTACCTTTTGGCCAGGTTTTATGGCTACTATTGTATTCGTGATGCTGTATTTAGGGTTTTTAATATACATCGTTGTAACCACTCACCTTAAAGGAAACCACCTTTTGTGGTACCATATAATTGTCTAACGTTGATTAATCTTGTTTTATGTAGAAATTAGCACTCTCTCTTTCTCTCTGTTATTAGAGTAGTCCATAGAACGGGTCGGCCGTTTCAAAATCTTGCAGTATAGTTTTAAGTTTTACCACTTTATAATATTAGAATAGATGATGAACTTTATTACAGAGGTGGTAACAGGCGATCTAGGGTTCAAACCGCGTCGCGCGTGCAACTGCACCAAGTCACAATGTCTCAAACTGTACTGTGACTGCTTCGCCAACGGAGAGTTCTGCAATAGCTGCAATTGCAATAACTGCCACAATAACCTTGAGAACGAGGAGTTACGGCAAAAGGCGATACGAGCATGCCTAGAAAGGAATCCTAATGCATTCAGGTAATACAAAATCTCAAAGTTTTTCTGTCATTCATCACCAGCCCATTAATGTCCCCACTGCAGGGGCACAGGCCTTCCATATGAATGGAATAGGGGGATTGGGCCGTGACCGACCACGCGGGCCCAGAGCCAATAGATGGTGTTACGCTTACGACTGCAGATGCAACCGCGACCAACGCCTTAATATGCCTTCCGAAGCATGGAGGAGCAAGTTTTTGGTCACCCATCCAATCCAATTGCTTCACTTCCACGATCGCAGGTCGAACGCACTATCCGTCTGCGCTATCGAGCTCCTCTACAGTTTTATAGCAACTGCCTCAAGAACTCGACAACAATATTGCAATGTCAGTGATCTAATCGTATTTTTATGAATCATTAAAAAAAATGTCTTGACAACATTTGTTTATTTTGTTTTTACTTACGGTATTTGCTATTAAGTTTTCACAGTGTAGTTGTAACATCCCGTACGAACGTTTTCCACAAAATCTATAAAGTGTATTACTATAAATTTGATCACAAATTAACTATCGTAAACAGTGTTTATACTTCTCCATAAACGTCAATACTTCTGTTTTTCCGGATGCACTGAAAGAAACTAACATAGTTACAATTTTCAAAAAAGGTGAAAAAGATGATTTTTATTTAGCTACGGCAGATGTCAAGTTTAAAATAACTTTAAGCAAGATATTTGAAAAAAAAAAATCATTTGTCCTATTTAAATACCCACTGCAAAACTTTCCTCAGTGAAAGTCATCATGGTTTTTGTCAGAAAAAAAGTACTGTGACTAACCTTGTATGTTACATAACTCAGTTAAGCAAACTAATCGATTCTAGTGGTGTGGTGGACTCTTTTTACACAGACTTCAGCAGCGCGTTGGACAAGGTGGACTATAATATTGTTACGTGTCGGGATGGGGTACGAAATTATATGCCAGTTCACGCTTGACAGTTTTTTATTCACTACACAGTTTTCACAATTAACACACAATGTTAATTACAAAACACTCTCTATACACTGTATTTCACTATACAGGTCTCTAAACAATCTCACTTGAACACTTTTGTTGCACTTTGATCGCCTTTGGATTCGCTCCGAAATCGCTGTTGAAACTCAACTGTTTCTGCGCGGCGCCAATCGCGCTTATATACGCTGATCGACGCATTCTAGAAAGTACCGTTTAAATTGAGAATTAGCTAGCAGCCGCGAGTACGAAGTACCTACTTATACCTACGCAGGTATCGCGCATAACTTGTAAACAAGTGCAGATGTCGTTGCACTTTCTCCCTTACGCCCCACTGCATAAGGCTCATTTTAAAATGAGCCGCATTACTCGACCTCTATTGCGACCCGCGGTGCTCTGGCACATTCGATCTCTAGCACTTTCGCGGTTCTGTTTCGAGAGCGTTTGTGACAATATTTTAATCCACAAGTTTAAACAGTACTGCATTCATGGGCCCCTGGAGGCCTACCTTAATTGAACGAAAAACGAAATTTCGATCGAAACTTTGCACTTTTCTTACTATGTTTTTGGTTCGTTTTTAATTATAATAATATTCGTCGTCAGAATATAGTGTAGATTTTCTAAGCCTACTCAAAGAAAGCTTCAAATTCATTTTCCTATTGAAAAATAAAATGTTTTCGATTAAGTAACAATTATCTTACCTCATATAAATATTTGCGGAATAACTTGTTGTGCCAATAAATGGAATAAATAAATTGCTGTATTACCTTAAAAATAATTGACATAGACTTGTAATTGAAATTATACTTATTAACTGGGTGTCTATCAGAATACCGGTTTTTTTGATATCGATTTTCATTTTACCGAAAACTTCCACGATATTTAATATATATTTTTTTCAATTCATCGAATTTTCATCATCGCTGTTTTATATCATCGAAAAACGTTTCTTGAAAAAAATCTTTTAAAATTGTTTTGATTACCAGAAAAACGGTATATCGAACGAACATTACGCAAAAGTATTAAGTTATCGATAAAACTTCATAAAAACATGTTACAATATGGATCGAAAACCATATACTATACTTTTTCACGTAACAAGTTTTTATTGCAGTAACGTTTCATCGAATGATGCATTCGCCTGTTGACGATAAATTGTGTTGCGGTCAGTTCTATATTTTTTTCCTACCTACTACAGCTTCATAATTATACTTAATTTTTTTTGTAGAATAGGTCTCTTAAAAAAATAATTTTGCTGCTGCCGCGGCACGCTCGCTTCGCTCGCTAGGCTCGCGCGTTATGGTCACAACACTAACTACTACTAGTACTACTACTAGTGTGAAGTATCACCACTTGGGCACTGTAAGTACAGTTTAGCCCGCCTCGTCCCTTCGCGCCTACGCGCTTTTAAATTGCACTCTAGGGGTGGGGCAGACGAGACTACGTGGAGTGGGGGTATAAACTGAGTCATTTGAAAAACCTTTTTTTACTCAAGACATTATGAAATCCTATTTCCGATGAAAATTGTTTTTTTGAAGTAAAAATTGATGTTTCCATTATATTGCAAACTGAAACTTACGATGAAACATATGGGTAACAAAACATCGATGTAACATTATTTCGATAAAATGTATAAAACATGAAAGGAAATAACGATGAACTGTGTTTGTAGATGAAAGGAAATAACGATGAACTGTGTTACAAACACACGATAATAAATATTCGAGGAAACTAAAATGCGATGTAACCTAATTCTAGGATTTGTTTTATATTGAAAAAAAAGTTCTGCGATTCGTTTTATGGGTAATGAAAATCGTTGAAAGGAATTGCGATAAAATGATGGATTCCCTTATTAACTTTATATACTATAATTACTTTAGTTGTAAAAATCGTTATATATTTGTAACCAATATGGTATTAAGTTTAGAAGAGTTATGGAAGAGCGAGAGTTCCTGACACAGGCAAATAAACTTGTCTACTAGGGGTTCTCAAATATTGTATCACTAGCACAATATTGGTTATAGAAATAAAGTATTTTTGTTTTTTTTTGTATAATACCTATTTGTTTTTTATTTTTATGTATAATTGTGATACTGTAATTGGTGTGTCAAATAAAATAAATCGTAATTAGGCAGTATTCACCACCTGACCCAATCCCTGATTCCGTACATAATTGTTGCGCTTATGTCTACCAAGTTTCATTTCTTTGTTTTAGACCTAAAATAGGCAAAACGAAATCGGGTGGTCCAGATATAATAAGAAGGCACAACAAAGGCTGCAATTGCAAAAGAAGTGGATGTCTCAAAAATTATTGCGAGTGCTACGAGGTAATTCTTTGGAGATTTTAAATTCATCTCCTTTTTTTTAATATTTTTTCTATTTTGATTGGTAATCCATATAGTTTCTATTAATGTTCTTTCTTTTATTTTAACATTAAAATGCGGGTGCCTGGCATCTTAATGTTTCTTGGAGTATATGCCACGAAATGTATCGAGTCAGTTTTCTCGATGGGGGGGGGTATAGCCGGCACTAAAATAAAGTTTTCACTAGACTGAAATAAACAATTGTTCAATTAAAACAACATCACAAGATCCAGTGAGAAGCAATTGAAGAATAATTAAAATATGAAGCTTATTTATTACACCGACTTAACTTGCACCAATAGTTTGCATTATCTTTTCAAGCGATCCCCTTAATTGTACTATTTTTGAGTACATTTCGAATTTTAAATTTTCTATATCAACCGAAGCAATCGCAGTCACAGGCAAATAATCATATCTTTTATGCTAGTACTTCGCTTATCATGCTCTAAGAGCAAGTGCACATAGAGACACTAAACGCGTCCACAAGCTGCGGTTTAATTTTTTATTCTTTTTATAGCAAAGTATTCAAATGACTACCCCACCTGATGTTAAGTGGTGATTAAAACCATGCGCGAAGATAGCTGGTAAAGCAGTTATAAACTGCTACACTAACCATCCTCACCTTGCCGGCCTGCAAAAAATGCTCCTTCACGCCTCATAAAGGACCCCAGATTGTAGGAAGGAATGTTCGTGTAGGAATAAGGTATAGTTTTTTCATACATTTTAATATACTAGCGGCGTTAGGTGGCTCAATATGCGGTTGCACTACTACTGGAAAATAAAAGATAAAACATTTCTAATTTTAGAAATATCAGTATCATTCATAACCGTGTGTTCGAGAAAGACTAGTCCTAATGCCCATGTTTTTACAGGCGAAAATAGCGTGTACGGCGATGTGCAAGTGCGTTGGATGCCGCAACGTAGAAGAAGGCCTGCAGCGACGGCACCCGCCCGCAGCTTCCATATACAGACCGCCGCCGCCGCCGGGAGATCTAAAGTATAAATAAATAAATATTTCTCACACTCACACCAATTAGCCTAGCCCCAAAGTAAGCACTGTAAGGCTTGTGTTATGGGATGCTAGAGTAACGGATAGAATACATATTTTATACATATATAAGTATATATGTATAAAATATAATTGGTCAGTACATTCGCCCGGCTTCGAGTCCTATCTGCTGCCTGGTCGGCGTGGATTTTTTTCTAGTTATATTTTCTTTATTTTTAAACATCAAGCAGTTGCATGCTTAAAAATATGTTTATAAAGAAATACATATCAAACATCCATGACTGGAGTACAAACGCTCGTATTCATCACACACACATTGCCCCCACCGGGATTCGAACCTGGGACTTCAAGTCGGCGTCACCATGAAACCCGTATAGACCACTCGGCCACGTAGGTCGTCAAAGTATGTTTATATCACATCTATTCGAAAATGACTAGTTTGTTCTCTGGAGAAAAAAATATTAGAAAAAAAACCACGCGGGCCATGCAGCAGACGGGACTCGAACCCGCATTGTCCGCTATTCGGGCGGATGCACTGTCCAGTATGCTACCGTGGCCTTGATGGTCGTGTCGAAATTCCTCTAGTACTTTTTAGGCTGCAAGGCAGCGCTATCTCTTCGCATAGTAGGTAACCCACAATGTCAAAAAATGAATATCTTTACAATTATTAAACATTTCAAAGAAGAAATAGCAATTGTAGTTCTATTTTTTATGTTTTATGATTGTTATTCGATCGTCTTTTGTTTTCGGGATTTCAGAAAAGTTTGCAAATTTGTTTCATTTCAATTGTTTCTATAAGTGAAGATTAAGTAGTGTATGTGTATATGTAGGTATTAAAATTAATTAATAGTGATCTCCATGTAATTACAGAGTGGAGTAAATCTTTTGGTTTGGACTTGAATCCCACTAAGACAACCAGCATAATTATAGGTAGTTCTAGGATGATAGATCGATTCTCGATTGGAAGTTACTACCCAGCATCGAACTGGCTGGTAATAATATTTCATTTAACACATCGGTTAAAAACTTAGGGTTGACGTTCGACACTTATTTGAGTTGGGACCCACAAATGCAAGTGGTCAGTCGCAAACTATTTGCTTCGGCAGCGTCACTTAGGAGACTACGTAATTTCCTGCCCGTCACCACCAAAATTACCTTAGCGCAGTCATTACTGCTTCCTATTCTTGATTACGCTGACGTCTGTTATCTTGATCTCACGGAAGAACAGCTTAATAAGCTTGAGCGACTTCAAAACTTTTGTATTCGCTTCATATTTGGTTTGCGCAAATATGATCACGTTTCTCAATTTCGTTCGCAGCTCAAGTGGCTACCTATTCGCCTTCGCCGGAATACTCATATTCTTACTCTTCTCTACAACATATTGTTCAATCCTAAGTCCCCGCGCTATCTTAAGGAATGTTTTAATTTCCTTCACACTTCTAACACGTTATCTCTTAGGTCATCAGAGAATCTTACCCTCATGACTCCTGTACACAGTAAAACTTTTTACAGTCACTCATTTACAGTTAGAGCCGTTCAGCTGTGGAATTCTCTCCCAGTTTCGATACGAAGTGCGGAATCGATTCACATTTTTAAGAATCTCGTGAAGTCTCACTATTTGTCTTTGTAATATTTTTTATTTTATAATCTCTTTTGTAATTTCTACCGACTGGACTAGATTTATGTATGTATTTGTATGTATATGTTTATACGTTTATATATATATATGTATATATATTTATGAATATAGAATGTATGTGTATATTTATGTATATATTAATAGATTACATTAAAATTTACGCCGCCGTCTCTCCCACTTCCTTCTAATCCTCTCCATCCAAAGGTTGTCTGGAAGAGATCGCTTTTAGCGATAAGGCCGCCCATTGTAACACTTAATTTAAATGGCTCTGTATTTATTGTAATGTTTTTCTGTGGTGTTCAATAAAGTGTTTTGTATTGTATTGTATTGTATTGTAAAACTCTCGTAAACAGACTCGTTGTTTTAACACTCCATCTTACATGAGAGTCGTATCAATTGTTACGTGTTACCATCATATTGTACTTGTTGGGATTAGAGTTCGAACTTATATATGATAATGGTACTATTATTCAAATCTTTGTCTGTGGATTGATGTGAGTGGTTGTATTTCGTAGACAACCGTGCAGCTTCATGACAATGGAGGTGATAGAAGCCGTGTGCCAGTGCCTGATCGCAGCTTCGGTAGAGGACGGATCTGCTGAGAACGCGGGCGCAGCGACGAGCGGGCCCGGCGCCGACGCGGACCCGGTGCGCGCCGTCATCGACGAGTTCTCGCGCTGTCTGCAGGACGTCATCAGCGCGTCGCAGCAAGCCGTGGTGCCGCACTATGAGGTGAGCTGCTGTAATGCAGAATGTAGGGGGGCGGGCCCGGCGCCAACGCGGACCCGGTGCGCGCCGTCATCGACGAGTTCTCGCGCTGTCTGCAGGACGTCATCAGCGCGTCGCAGCAAGCCGTGGTGCCGCACTATGAGGTGAGCTGCTGTAATGCAGAATGTAGGGGGGCGGGCCCGGCGCCAACGCGGACCCGGTGCGCGCCGTCATCGACGAGTTCTCGCGCTGTCTGCAGGACGTCATCAGCGCGTCGCAGCAAGCCGTGGTGCCGCACTATGAGGTGAGCTGCTGTAATGCAGAATGTAGGGGGGCGGGCCCGGCGCCAACGCGGACCCGGTGCGCGCCGTCATCGACGAGTTCTCGCGCTGTCTGCAGGACGTCATCAGCGCGTCGCAGCAAGCCGTGGTGCCGCACTATGAGGTGAGCTGCTGTAATGCAGAATGTAGGGGGGCGGGCCCGGCGCCAACGCGGACCCGATGCGCGCCGTCATCGACGAGTTCTCGCGCTGTCTGCAGGACGTCATCAGCGCGTCGCAGCAAGCCGTGGTGCCGCACTATGAGGTGAGCTGCTGTAATGCAGAATGTAGGGGGGCGGGCCCGGCGCCAACGCGGACCCGGTGCGCGCCGTCATCGACGAGTTCTCGCGCTGTCTGCAGGACGTCATCAGCGCGTCGCAGCAAGCCGTGGTGCCGCACTATGAGGTGAGCTGCTGTAATGCAGAATGTAGGGGGGCGGGCCCGGCGCCAACGCGGACCCGGTGCGCGCCGTCATCGACGAGTTCTCGCGCTGTCTGCAGGACGTCATCAGCGCGTCGCAGCAAGCCGTGGTGCCGCACTATGAGGTGAGCTGCTGTAATGCAGAATGTAGGGGGGCGGGCCCGGCGCCAACGCGGACCCGGTGCGCGCCGTCATCGACGAGTTCTCGCGCTGTCTGCAGGACGTCATCAGCGCGTCGCAGCAAGCCGTGGTGCCGCACTATGAGGTGAGCTGCTGTAATGCAGAATGTAGGGGGGCGGGCCCGGCGCCAACGCGGACCCGATGCGCGCCGTCATCGACGAGTTCTCGCGCTGTCTGCAGGACGTCATCAGCGCGTCGCAGCAAGCCGTGGTGCCGCACTATGAGGTGAGCTGCTGTAATGCAGAATGTAGGGGGGCGGGCCCGGCGCCAACGCGGACCCGGTGCGCGCCGTCATCGACGAGTTCTCGCGCTGTCTGCAGGACGTCATCAGCGCGTCGCAGCAAGCCGTGGTGCCGCATTATGAGGTCAGGTGCTGTAATACAGAATGTAGTCGTGTCACTGTGTGCGTAATTGAACTAGTCCGAAACGGCTCGACCAATTTTCATGAAATTTTATATGCATATTCTGTAGGTCTCAGAATCGGACAACATCTATTTTTCATCCCCCTAAATGTTAAGGGTCCACCCTCAATTTTTATAGAGCAAATTTTGTTGTTTTTATTTTTTTATGATACATTACATAAAAATACATGCAAGCCTTTTTCACCCTTCTACCACCAACCCCTATTTTTTTTGGGCGGTACGAAGTTCGCTACAGCGACAGCTAGTCAACTTATAAAGATAACATTAAAAATTTTGGTCCAATTAAGTTGTATATGAGAGAGAAAGAGAGACTGCCTCGGCGCGATCAAGACATACACGATTTTGTTGTTGCTATTAAAATGCAATTAATTAGCAATACGATAGAGATTGCCAAGATACTTACGTAAATTTGTTATTAAAGGGACACTTACATGAAATACGAGACTTCTGTTTTTTAAGTGTGGATTTGATATCATCATTTGCAAGGACCTAAAATGGAGACTTCGGACGAATTTTTTTTTGTTTCGACAATAACGATTCATATAGTTGAATATTGACATTTAATCTCATGAATAACGCGACAATGCAAAATCTCGCTATTTAAGACCTCCCAACAAGGAGTTCTGGAGTCTCCCCAACAAGTGAAAATATTAATCCAACCGGTAGTGATCATTTTTAGGGGAACCCTAAAAGGGTAAAAATGGGTTCCTATTACATAGAGTCCACCGTCCGTCTGTCTGTCACCGAGCTGTGTCACATGAACCGTGATAGCTAGACAGTTGAAATTTTCACATATGATGTATTTCTGATGCCCCTTATAATAACAAATACTAAAAATATAATAAAATAAATATTTAAGGAGGGCTCCCATACCACAAGCGTGTTTTTTGCTCTATATTAATAACAGCAACAGGTATGTTTTACCTACCTTGTACCTTGAAATATTCACAGAATTTTTAGTTGATTATCCACTTTAAAAATAAACAATTAAACTAAAATAAATATTTAAGAGGGGCTACCCTACAATAGACGTGATATTTTTGCTTTGTTTTGTACGGAAGGAACCCTTCGTTCATGCGTAATTTTTGTGATAAAAATACATGTTTTAAAGCGGGTATTCATAAATAACTCAAAAACTATGAGTTTTTACAAAAAAAAACTATTACCAAAATTGAGGTTAATAAAAAATCAAACAAACCCCTACTTTTAAAAACCTTCTAAAATTAATTCAAAGTGAGATATATGTTATTGTATGTACATTTTTTTAGGCGAGTACTTAAATCTAAGTATTCAAACCTAAATAACGGGAAACCGATGCATTTTATGACATATACTTTCTTAACACATTTTAAAGTCCTTGGAAATACCTTGATTTAAGTACTCGTCGAAAAAAATATACATACAATTTCCTATAGCTCACTTTCAATTAATATTAGAAGTTTTTTAAAAGTAGGGGGTTTGTTTGTTTTTTTTATTAGCTTTAATTTTGGTAATAATACATTTTTTGTAAAAACTCATAGTTTTTGAGTTATTTATAAAAACCGCTTTAAAGCATGTATTTTTATCACGAAAAATCACAATCTTTGGTCTTTAATATCTCAGAAAGTCGGATTTATTCCAAAATCTTTATACAACAAATGCTTAGAATTTATTTTTCTATCGATTTCTCGAGTTATTTTATTAAAATAATTCTCACCCCACTGGAAGAGGTGGTACCTACCCCCAGGGCAAAAGCGCAAGTTGGCACTATGTCACTTTTGTTTCTTAAGGTATCCCCCACCTACTCACCAATTTTCATAAATATCGATGGAGTTTCAACGAAATCGGAGGTTGTAGCCGATTTTTGCCTTCATTGACTGGACTAATTTGATATGGTAAAAATTTGATATTTGCGTCAATTTAAAAAAATCATGTAAACCTTGTCTTCAAAATGAAAACAACAACAAAAATAACTGAATTGATTTTCATTTTGACACTGGAAATTTTAATTTTTGAGTTCTGCTGAATCATTTTACATTAATCTATTTTTTTATTAATTTCAGGAACACGCATGATATTCGGAGAAATGGCGTTTCATGCCCATGTGAACTAGCATCAGTCTGACATTTGATATTTGTCGAAATCCGTTTCTATGTTCTAAGTAGTATAAAATGGATGATAATGACAATCATTACCTTAATTTATTTGTATCAAAATTGAGCTTATGCTATGAATAATAGTGTTGAATATTATATCAATTGCTCACTGCATCATATAAAACTAGTGAATGTATTTTATCCATTTTAAAAATTGGATTTGAATGAAAGTGTAAATAATGTAAGCTATATAGAATCAGTTATAACAGTTGCCCCCTCATAGATGTTTATTTTATAAAATGATTTAATAAATGTAAATAATTTTGTAAATTTTTATTTACCTAGTCATAAGGATACCTTTCGAGTTAAGGTAAATGTAAGTACTATAAATAAATGAAAATTTTATTATCTTTATAGTTTCTTTTATTTTCGCCATATTTTTAAATCATTCTGATTTTGGTTCATGACATGAACGATCATTAGCAAAGAGTTAGTGTTTTTCCGTTTACTTTTACTTGATCGTATTTTCAAAACGAATGATGATCCCGTCAATTAAACAGGATAGATAAAAAAAAGTGGCTATTATACGCGGGGACGTATTGAGTGAGTTTCCATTATCGAACGTACGATACTACTAAAGGTGGTTAATATAGCGTCTAGCGCCTTATTATAGCGTGCTATTTGTCCATCGCGCGAATCGCGTGCTATTTATGAAAACTAAAAGACGCTATGTGCTATCGATCGCTATGGTATTGTATATATATATATATATATATACATTATATTATATGTTATGGTTGAGTAGAGGGACGAGGTAGCGGGTGGCGCTAGACGCGACGCTATCAGGCAGACTGGCCAGTTCCCACGCGGTATAACCGTACGTTTTTTAAAGTAATATAGATACTATAAGTACTTTATGGTCTATCTAGAAGGTGATCGAATAGTTTGAAAACATCTATACATTATAATAAAATGGTAGGAAAGTCAATATTTTTTTAAAGAATACTTGGGGTGTCATCTACTATCGATACCGATACTAAAAATATAGTTTTTAGAATTTGTCTGTTTGTATGTCCGGGATAAACTGAAAAAGTACTGCATGGATTTACTTCAAATTTGGCACGAATATTATTAAGAAGTCGGGTCAACATTTAGGCTTCACACATACTCCACGCTTACGTAGTCACGGGCGGCCGCTAGTACTTATTAAATAAAAAGAAAATCCTAACGCCTTTTAGGCGCTTTGCAGACGACGGGACGGGGCGGGCTATTTGTCCGCAAAGCAATAAAAACCGCGTCTGCCCGTCGATCTCTGCGGCTGCCCTCGCCGCGTACACAAAGCACCAACGGGCAGAGGCAGTCAGTTCAGGACGTTTGTTCTAGTGAATAGCACGTCAGTGAAAATGGAGATAGAGAGAATTCGAATCGTTGCTTATTTCATGTACAAAAAAAAGGAAGAGACCCACACCAAGCGCGGTCTTTTTGCCCTCTGTGTGCGTTTGAAGTATAGGATTCACTTTGTGCTATTATTCGCGGCGAAATTGACCGGCCCGCTCCGCCCCGCCGTCTGCAAAGCGCCTTAATGTCTTGGTCTCTGGATCATGGCTACATGCTGAGGTCTTTGTAGCATCAGCGGCGTATTTACCCTAGGGCTGAGAGGGCCATGGCCCCATGGCCCGGGTCGGTACCATCCACCCTGCCTGCATCGTCCCGCCCCGGTAATGGGGTAATGGGACAGTTGGGGAAACTGCCCAAATCTAAATCTACCCCGGTCGCGCTGACCCTGTCGTTTAACGGGGTGGATGGCACATAACAAGTATCTTCCCCGGCGTGCTTTGAACTGGTCGGTGAGCACAGATTGAGTAGCATACTAATTATTGCAAAAATTATCTTTTTGCCTAATGAATTACATACATTGACCGTGTTCCTACGGGCTTTTTTCCATAGTTCTATCAGTAGGACCATGGTCACCTAGAAATTATTTTGTATGGGCAATAGTCTTAATAATCAAGTAGTTTAGTGAACTTCAATATTATGCAATGTAACTGGGTCTGACGTCCAATGACTAAAAGAGTGTCAATTATTACCTTACCTACTAGTTTTTGATGTAATCTCGACAAATTATCCGCTACCCGTATATGGATAATTCGTCAAGATTACCTTAAAACCATAAACATATAAATCATTATTTTCAAAAAAGTACCAGGAGACAGGCTTTGATGCACGGCGAGGCGGCGGCGGCGAGGTGCGGCTGCGAATAGTCTTTCGAATATAAAAATCTGAGAAGTTAAATGCAAACAAAAAAAACTAACCTTCCTGCTTACAAGTCTGGTAAATGCTAATTACCACGAAGTGAGTTATCCAGAGTTAGTATTTCTGTAATGAAATTATAGCAGGCTTTAAAAATTATCTAATTATTTCGCAAATTTGAATATAGTATTAGATGAAATTAAAAGTCAAATCCAAATTGAGAGTTGCGACTTTTCCTGTGAATTTATCTCGGCACTTTTTACGCCACGCCATGTCAATGTTGGCGATTCTGCATTTGCGAGAGCGCCCGGTAAAAATAACGCATGGACAGCTTCTAAAAATAATGCGTATCTAGTATAAGACGTGTTTAGTTTTGAGCACGTGCGATGCTGTGCAGTCCGTCGCTGACTGCCGGGTTGTAGTGTCTCAGAATCGTGTGGAATATGGAAGCAAAAACAAAATGACTACGCGATACGAAATCCAGATATCGGACTTACTTGGCAGGTGTGTTCAGTGTTTTACTATTAGTGATAGAAGATAGGCCATTGGGTAGAAGTGATAAAAAGTTGGCGATGCTCGTAACTTCTGAAACTGCATCTCTGACACAAATAGTATAAGAAATACTATGGACTACTTACTGCAACTTCAAAAATTGGAAAAAATTAAAAATGTTATTATTTTTCTTGTTAAAATACCTATTTATATATTTGGTGGAAAATGTATTGATTTGGGTTTATTTGCTTTTAATAAAGTCATGTACAACGATAAACAATATATGAAATTCTATAAATTGTTTACATTAACTGGGAAATTAAAAATGTTTAGCAGGGAAGTTGTATATTAGATTGGATGTAGAATAACTACTTTCGTCGCCAATAGCCACTTATAATTTAAGATATAGGGATAGAACTTTGCACAGCTAGTACCCACTTTTTCGCTAGTGGATAGAACAGCGATATGGGTACGTGTTGGATAACGGGGTAAAGGAAACGAAATTGTATGTAGGCCCTCAGTTAGATTATAAAAAAATAACTCATTCATATTTTTCCTTTCGTCAATCAACAAAAAATTATATACAAGAATAATGTTTGGGAGTGAGGACTCGTGACGTCACTTTAATTAAAAATTGTACCAAGGCGTGACGTCATCTATCAGAATCAATTTATATAATAGATAGGTGAAGAAGTAAAAGTTAGTCATCATCCCTATTCTATCTGATAGATATTTGTCTCACTTCTTTATGTTGATTATTTCATTATCGCATTTGCAAAAAATACTCAGATATTTGGTAGCAGCCAAGGATCTAAAAGCTGGTGAGAACATTCTTACCGACGAGCCGTTCGTACTGGGCCCCACGTCGGACAGCGCCCTGGTGTGTTTCAACTGCTACCTGCCACTGATCAGCAAGTTTCTTGTATGCAAAAACTGTGCCGTCGCTCCCATTTGTCCCGGAGAAGGATGCCCTGAAAGTTTTCCTAAGAGTAAGACTCGTTTTATATATTACTAGCTGACCCAGCGAACTTCGTACCGCCCTAAAAAAATAGGGGTTGTCCAGCGGACAAAATTGTGAATCTAAACCATTCTCAGATCCCCTTGAACACACACAAAAAATTTCATCAAAATCGGTCCAGTCGTTTAAGAGAAGTTCAGTGACATACACACTCACAGAAGAATTATATATATAAAGATATCGCTCTGTTGGAAGTTGCCCTGAAGAGTATATACGAAAGTAGACTTCTAAATTTTTCTTTCATACAAATATGATAGTAAATCTACAATTTTGTAATTTTGATGGTGTAGTTAGATCTTCACCGAACTATGACTGAGATATAAATTTAGATCAACAACGCCACATTTGGAACCACTCTGTTGATTACTAGCATATTCACACTAAAGTTTTTTTAAGTCACTGCGCTTCCAGTATGGGATTTTATCTTTTTGGTTCAAATTATGTTTGTTTGTTCCAAATTCACATTAAGTTTAGAAATTATTCTTTCAGGATGGCACAGCAAATCAGAGTGCGAGTTCTTCAGAAACTTAAAACTTACGAAAAGTCTCAATCCCATGACGATGGTGCAGAACGTTGGCTCCTTGCTGGTACTCCGCGCGATTCTGAAGAAGGATACTGACCCCCAAGCTTGGGCGGAATTCATGAAACTTGAGACGCATCTTGACGAGAGAAGAAATTCTAGTATCTGGGAGTACAATGACAATACTGTTAAGGTGACACACGCAGAGTATTTAGTAGGAGTTTTGGATTTGAAAAATATCGTCTCGTTTTATGTAGCGAAAACTAGTGATGTCTTCATATAATATGTAAATTAGACGTATGCCACTTGCAGTTTCTGAATTATGGTTATTTTCTAATTATAAGAATATTGGATACGTATTTCTAGGATTGTTTGCATATCCTGCTCGAAGGACCATTACTAAAAGTGATTAAATCCATTCGCTTTCGCCCGAAAATGCAATCTCGTCAGAAGTTATCGTGTTATAATCTTTGGAGGTTTTATTTTATATAGCTTTTATTATTTCAGTTTATAACAACTTTGGGTTTACTCGACAACGTTCTGGACGAGAGTTTAGTACAAAAGGTGTGCGCTGCCATCGATGTGAATAGTTTTGAAGTGCGTGGCCCTCCCATACCCGTGTTGGGGTACTCGCAGCCCTTACGCGGGATTTACTTGAAAGCGTCGCTACTCGCTCATGACTGCGTGGGTAATACGCATGTGTCTATAAATGACAACAACGTACTCGTGTGCCACGCTAGTATGGATCTAAAGAAGGGAGAAACTATTTACTATAATTATACGGATCCTTTAAAGGTAAAAAGATGTATTGATTTCAAGAACATTTTGAAAAATAAATTAAATTTGCTTTTATAGTAAGCTGGTTGCAGTTATCATTACAATAAATTTAGAAGGAATTATTCGCCTAGCTAGCTAGCACATCTCTTCATACTCTGACTCATTTGTGAACTTTATCTTCGATTACTTAGACGAAGTTGTTGTTTGATAATAAATAATAATTTAATCATGAGTCTGCTTAATGTACATGCTCTTAATAAAGTCAGATATAATGCAAAACCAATGAGTAATCAAGAGCTTTTTTTTTCGAGAGTCAAAAAAAGGATGTTCTCTATTTGACCTGTATGTATGTATGTTTATCGACGATTATCTCAAAACTACGGAGCCAATTTGGACGGAGTATATAAATGCGTATTTATCAGATACAGATTTAATATATAATATACTGGCAGTGTCCCCAGTTCCAACCGCATAGATCGATTTGAAGAGCCCACGTAAGCGTGATCTTCGTATCGACCTATACTTTTTTTGCGATAATGGTATCGACTTCAAATATTACAGTCAGTAAATCCTATTTTTAAATTTTTAGTTTTTGAACCGACTTCCAAAAGGTGGAGGTTCTCAATTCGTTATTATAAAAAGTATTTTGACCGATTTTGATGATTATTTTTTTGTTAGGAAGAGTTTGCTAGCGAATTGGAACCATATTAAAGCAGTAAACGTAAACTCAGATCTATCAATATGCATGGCACAGACTCCAAATTTAAATTTTACTTATGAGTAAAGAATATACATTATTTCTTACTTTTTACTGATTTTGTTTTTATTAATTAGGTTTTTATTTATGCTCTCATTCTCTTCAGGGTACATCGCTTCGTCAGCATCATCTGCGTATTGGTAAATACTTCAAATGCAACTGCGAGCGTTGTAAAGACTCCACAGAATTGGGGACCTATCTCAGCTCGGCGATCTGTCCCGAATGTAAGACCGGCTATGTGTCCCAGAGTTCTGACCAGCAGTGGGACTGTCACGAATGCAAGAAGAAATTTGAACATTCAAAAATTTGGCACACAGTACAGTGCTGCTCTGATAAGTTTGATGTTATCAGTAAGTTTTCATCTTTATGAACAGTTTACAGCAGTCGAGTTGTCCAACTACTTATTGAGATCGGTGGCGCGAGTGGTTCGCGCGTTCGACTACGATCGTTGAAGATAAGCAACTTTCGCAGTGACACACTATCTCGAGCTCCTCCGTGCTTCGAGAGGCACGTTAAGCTGTTGGTCTCGACTGAATCTGCAGTCGTTATTACCCACCAATCTGCACTGGGTCCGCGTGGTGGGTCATGCATGGCCTAATCTCCCTATTTCCCTATCCATAGGGTAGGCCTGTGCCGTAGCAGGGGGGATTTTAATAAGCATATTATATAATGACTGTTAAATTCTCAGACTGATTTGAGAAAATTTGATTCGGATTTGTAAAAGAAATACTGAAGTGGCATTTTCTTTTCATTGTGAGAAACCTGACACATACAAATGCTGGGCAAAAGTAAAAAGTTTCGACATTCCGGATAAATCCAGATGAATGGTGACCACGATCCACCGACAATGTTGTTTTTTTTAATCCTGTTGATCACACATGAAATGCTGTAAAGGCAGCGTCATCGTGATTGGGAACGGCGAGATCCAGGCATAAGCCGAGAATTGGCGAGTGCCTCTAGAGGAGTTCCAGGCGGATGACATCTCCCCTCGTCGGGGGAAGTCTTCTCCATCTGGAGTCACTAGGAAACTCGAACCTGAGTGGTGCAATGTTGTATAGTAAATCAATCTAAATTTTCACTTGTACCGTATAATAAAATTAAATGACGACCTCAGTGGCCGGTGGTATGTACGCCGGGTTTCAAGTTGTCATCTACGAGGTCTCGGGTTCGAACCCCAATGGGGCAAATGTTAATATGATGAATACGTGCATTCTAGATTAATATACTAATATATATATCAGAGATGTATTCTATCCGTTACCCTAGTATCCCATAACTCAAGCCTTTCTTTGGGGCTAAAGATAATTTGTGAGTTGTTAAAAAACCCCACACTTTTAGACAAAAAAGACGAGAAAGAGTTGGAGGAGTACATCAGAAACGTGTCAAAGATATTGGCACCCAACCATTACCTTCTGCTGGAAGCCACTCAACGTCTAGCTGGCGTGCTACGAGACGCTATCAACAGGGAACCGCATCCCACCAAGAAACTGATGCGACGGAAACTGCAGCTTTGTAAGGAACTACTACCGGTACTGGAGAAGCTCTGCCCCGGAATATCCAGTACGAAAGGTATAGATAGACGGTTACTCTCGTCGTCTCCTCGTCCTCTCATCCTCCTCGACGTCTTATTTTTAATAGTAATATAATTGGTTCGAGGTTATTTTTGAGTTACGTTTTTACAACTGTTAATCTGCTACTTAGATTTAGTTAATAATCTTTTGAGAAATACACTATGGCACTTTTGATATAACGTCACTATTTAACAGAGTAGAGCATACCAAATGAAATTGTTTGATGTTTCAGCTATCACTTTGTACGAAATACACGTTTCATTGGTGCAGTTGGCGAAGAAGTTGTTCGATAGTCGGGAGATCACTGGCAACGGTTATATGGTACTGTATCAATGTATTTCTGTTTTATGATTCGGCTATATCCAGTTTAAATTTCACACATCAACTCAGATACATATTGCGTAAGATACTATTTTTTTTTATAAAATAAAAAGTAAAGTAAGGTCAGTAATGCAGGTTAAGCCTGGTGGTCTCGATTACATCAGTGGCCGTTTGGTTAGCACCAACCAATCCAATTTAAGTCAATACTAGCAAACCAGTGAACCAAATGTTCACCAAAACCTAATTAAAAAAAAAATGTATTTAATTAATTGAGAACTTCGGAGATTTTGTGTGCTTTCGTTTGAAATTCGTGATTTCTCGAAAACCGGAAGTGCTACGTTACTCAAATCCGGTTTGTAGTCTTATCAGACTATGCTTAACTTATAACTTAAATATTCTCTTTATCTATGTCTTACGGTTTGGCCGCTGAAACAGCACCACAGACAGACAGACGGACGGACTTGTCTAATAGATAAGAGATATTATGACAATACAATACTACCAGCCAATTTGATTCCCGAATCACCATAAAATTACACTTTAATAGACTTGAAGGAAACCTAAACCATATTTTTATGGCAGGATGAACTTATGAATGCTGAGAAATATTTGAAACGGGCTCTTGAAATGCTGTTTATCGAGCCGGGGAACTCCCCAGAAGGCGAGCTGTGTGCGAAGGCGCTCGAAGAGTATAGAGCACTCAAAGCTACCATGAACAACGTACTGGACGGCATACACGCCGAGGGGAAAACTTATGTACCACCGTGTGAAACAGCTCGACCTATAACAGAGAATTAAAATTTCTTCAAATATTGACTTTTGTGTTTTATTTTCCTTTTAATGAATGGATATATTTTTCAATTGTAGAGAGCTCTTGAAGTCGGTTTAAACCAGAAATAGAATGTAGGCTGATGTATCAAATCTTTATCCAAATTCTCATAACATATTTTCTTAAACAAAACCAATACAAAGTCTTCAAAGGCTTGATATCAGTAGTAGTTCGGTTGATAATCAGGTCGACCGAACTGATGTGACTAAGTATTCCGTCTTAAATAGCTTCCACACGATACAATTTTACGTCCAATTTCATTAGATTGACAATCGAATTGTGTTGTGTGGACGGAAATATGAAATTGAAGGTCATTGGTAGGTCGGTATCGCCCGATTCGGGATTGCCCAATCAAATTGGGTGGTGTGGACGCTAACTAGCCAATTTTTTAACGTAGTCACTGTGCAAGCGGCGCTCAGAGCGGGTGTGTGCGTTGAGAAGAAGATGGAGCAACATGACGACAATATTATGTCTATTCGATCTGAACGGGAAGTAATGGAGGAGATTTTAGATATATGTTAAGACTTGCCATGCCTTTGGGATGTGTCTAACCCATTATATAAAAATAAACAAGCAAGGCATAATTCCTTAGAGATTTTGCGGAATAAGTGGAAAAATATTGATAAAAATATTACTGTTATAATTTTTATTATTTTTAAAGCATGTAAGTGCTTGATGTTTAAATCTAAAGAAAATATAACTAGAAAAAAATCCACGCGGACCAGGCAGTTATTTGTTATTGAAAATAAAAAATCATTTAATTAAATTTATATTCTATCCCAATGGTATGCGCGCATGCTGGGGTAAAAATGAAATAATATTATATATATTTTTTTATAATTTTTATTTTTTAAGCATGTAATTGCTTGATGTTTAAATCTAATGAAAATATAACTAGAAAAAAATCCACGCGCACCAGGCAGCAGACGGGACTCGAACCCGCACCCTTCGCAATCTGGGCGAATGCACTGACCAATTATGCTACCGCGGCCCTCATGGACCGCGTCGAAATTCTTCCAGCCATTCTTAAGTTGCAAGGCAGCGCCATCTCTTCGCATTATAGGTAACCCACAATGTCAAATGAATACTTTTACAAGTATTAAACATTTGAAAGAAGAAATAGCAATTATAGTTATAATTTTTATTATTTTTAAAGCATGTAAATGTTTAAATCTAAAGAAAATATAACTCAGTTATATTTTAAAGGGTTTTCGAAGGGTGCGGGTTCGAGTCCCGTCTGCTGCCTGGTCCGCGTGGTTTTTTTTCTAGTTATATTTTCTTTAAAAATATTACTCTTTAAGTATAACTACATTTAAGTTTATGAATTGAGTCACTTAAATATAATATAACTACATTTAAGTCCTCAATTGCTTTCTTTTTAATAACCATTGTTTTGTCCACAGTCTTCTTTTTCTTTTTTTCTCATCTACATTTGTAGTTAGAGCCAAGATTAATCCAATTTTTGCTTCTTGGTAAGAGGCATCCTAATACAAACAAGTCCGTTCAGCAGAGGCAACAAATAAAACTGAAATTGGCGATCTTGTTGTGTATGTGTAGACGGACGACCAGATTGTACCCAATTCAACCGGCAATCAGATTGGCAATAAAATTGTGTCGTGTGGAAGGGGTTTTACTAGTTCGGTTATAATAAAATTAATAATTTATTGGCACCAAAAATTGTACACAATATTTTATAAGGTCTTACGATAATAAAACAATCGACCATTAATAAAAATAGATCTGCACCTGAATTAGGAGACCTGTATCTCAGGTGCAGCTCTCTTTATAATAAATACAAGCTGTTTTATATTCTCAACGCATCATACAGACATACATATTTTCCAAAGAGGTAATAAGTGTAAAGTGGCATCCACACGATACAATTTTACGTCCAATTTGATTAGATTGACAATCGAATTGTGTTGTGTGGTCGAAAATATGAAATTGAAGCTCATTGGATGGTCGGTATCGCCCGATATGGGATTGCCCAATCAAATTGGATGGTGTGGACGCTAACTGGCCAATTTTTTAACGTAGTCACATATAACAATGTACTCTATGGTAGTCACTGTGCAAGTGGCGTTCAGAGCGGGTGTGTGCGTTGACTTGTCTTTTGAGAAGAAGATGGAGCAACATGACGACAATATTATGTCTATTCGGTCTGAACGGGAAGTAATGGAGGAGATTTTAGATATATGTAAAGACTTGCCATGCCTTTGGGATGTGTCTAACCCATTATATAAAAAATAAACAAGCAAGGCATAATTCCTTAGAGATTTTGCGGATAAAGTGGAAAAATATTGATAAAAATATTACTGTTATAATTTTTATTATTTTTAAAGCATGTAACTGTTTGATGTTTAAATCTAAAGAAAATATAACTAGAAAAAATTCCACGCGGACCAGGCAGTTATTTGTTATTGAAAATAAAAAATCATTTAATTAAATTTATATTCTACTCAATGATATGCGCGCATGCTGGGGTAAAAAAGAAATAATATTATATATATTTTTTTATAATTTTTATTTTTTAAGCATGTAATTGCTTGATGTTTAAACCTAATGAAAATATAACTCGAAAAAAATCCACGCGGACCAGGCAGCAGACGGGACTCGAACCCGCACCCTTCGAAAACCCTTTAAAATATAACTGAGTTATATTTCATTTTATTTTGGCCATAGAGTAAATGCGCCCTGGCCTCACATGTTCGGTGTTTGGGGAAAAACTCTTGCAAAACAACCATCTAGTCACTATTCCTATAGCAGCTATAGTCCGGCTTATTAAATTAATCGAACTACATTAACAACCGAACGACTGCTACTAAAGGGCAAGTTTTTAAAACAGACCATACAAGCAAAAGTCAAAGTTTTTAAAACAGACCATACAGCCAAGATAAAATTCAACAGGGTTATGGTAGTTTTCCAATTACAGCACTAGAGCGCATTAAGCGGCATAATGCATAACGTTGAATGTTTTAACTACAGCAACGCTTCGCACAATCGAGCACTCTCAAAAGTAATGTTTTCGTGTGATGCGTGCAATCGTACCAACTCAGTGATAGAAAATTAACAAGTGTTTTTTCTTTAAGTTGGCATTGATCGAAATGTTTTATTTATTTTATTATCGTTAGTAAAATTATTTACTGTTGAAAAATTTTTAAAGCTTTCGTTTCATTGTAGTTTTTTTTTAAATAATCAAAGTTAATTCAAACTGTGTTAAAAAAAATATATAAGTATAGATGAAGGTACAAACATTAACTTTTCTTTTCAACACTGAACTTAGCGCACTCTGCTGGTGCATTTGAAAACTAATTTACGTTCCAATTATGCATGAGCATAATTCAGCATTGTGCCCCACTGAGTCGCATTATGCTCTGTAATTGGAAAACTACCAATGACTGCGGCACATAGAGCAACACGGTCGACGCGGTTAGTAGGAGAGAAGACATACTCAGTTTTTGCCTTCTGTCGACATTGTCGCGCAGAGACTCTGTGGGCATTCTGTGTGGTTGTCTTATTCTATCATTACACCTAGTGCAATGAAGTATATTAACTACTACCTAATACTGACACATTCTTTAGAGGTTCAACCAGAAACCACACAGAACCACACATGTCTCATCGTCTGCCTACAACCCACACCAACAGGGTGTACAATGGACTGAGACAGACCGCGATTATTCATACTTTCGGCATTGAACAATTTAAACATGTTACTATACTAGTGCAAGTTATATTAATGTTTCATACCTTATTCTGTCTTGTGTTAAATTTGCTATAGATATCTGCTTCGCTTATTTCAATTTTTTCCCATCGTCAATTGTCAATATCATCAAGGAACCTGTATAGAGAAATTATACCATAAATATCAGAGTTGAGACACTAAGCATCTTACTCGCCATGATTAATACCTATACATTATATGTACACACACATTAATATTCACATATACATTCACGTCGATTTTCTACTCATTTTACATAACATTTCATGATTGGCATAGGACACTTTCAGCGTATCCTGTTTGATTGTCATAAGCCTTTGATCAGGAAGCCAAAGTGTGTCAAGCAACCCTCGCACACACTCATTTTGGCCTCCCTTGTTCATCGTGGAGCCAAGGTGTGTCAAGCAACCCTCGCACACACTCTCTTTGGCCTCCCTTGTTCACCGTGGAGCCAAGGTGTGTCAAGCAACCCTCGCACACACTCTCTTTTACCTCCCTTGTTCATCGTGGAGCCAAGGTGTGTCAAGCAACCCTCGCACACACTTTCTTTGGCCTCCCTTGTTCATCGTGGAGCCAAGGTGTGTCAAGCAACCCTCGCACACACTCTCTTTTACCTCCCTTGTTCATCGTGGAGCCAAGGTGTGTCAAGCAACCCTCGCACACACTCTTTGGCCTCCCTTGTTCATCGTGGAGCCAAGATGTGTCAAGCAACCCTCGCACACACTCTCTTTGGCCTCCCTTGTTCATCGCGGAGCCAACGTGTGTCAAGCAACCCTCGCACACACGCTCGTTGGCCTCCTTTGTTCATCGTGGAGCCAAGGTGTGTCAAGCAACCCTCGCACACACTCATTTTGGCCTCCCTTGTTCATCGTGGAGCCAAGGTGTGTCAAGCAAACCTCGCACACACTCATTTTGGCCTCCCTTGTTGATCGTGGAGCCAAGGTGTGTCAAGCAACCCTCGCACACACTCTCTTTGGCCTCCCTTGTTCAGTCAAGTGCACTAGACTAACATCCCGCGCAACACCCGCAAGTGATCGCCAGTAGAATTGCCAATCCATGTTACAATTGTACTGCTCGTATCATAGGTAAGCCATTCCTCTGGCTAACATCATCCCGCGCAACGCCCGCAAGCGTTCGCCAGTACAATCGCCAATCAATGTTACGAATGTACTGCTCTTAATATAGGTAAGTCCCTTTTTTGACCTACCAATCGACACGTGAAATCATATTATACACATCACATGGGCAATAAATAGTAATTAATTGACTCGGGGAAGATACTTAGCTCTCATATCCAGAATCTCGCAAGCAGCACACACACAGAACAATATTACTCTAGAGCACACATTTCAGCCGGAGTTGAACAGGAAAAGAAAACTTTTCTGACAGGTAAAAAACCGCGGAGCTACGGACCACAGATTAAGTATTAAAATTCGGTTAATGTTAATCACCACAGATGACAGGATTTTGTTGCCATATCCAATATTTACATTTCGCGACTTGGTCACGTTTGCCCGTCGCGACAGACATGTCGGGTTGGGCATATAAATCGTAAGTGTGTGCAGGAATTGAAGACATATTATGTCATTGATTATGTGTGTGTCGTATTTACAGTTTTGTTTTATATGCGTGTACGTTAAACTGCGTTTGTGTGCATATTCCCCAAAAAAGTGGCAGAATGATTCGAATAGTACTATGTTGCTATGGCTACCTACTCCCTTCCATGTTGCTCTATGCTGCGGCATTTTATTTAAACATCTTTCGTTTGCTTGTCATATTCATTTAACGAAGAAAAAAGTTAATCAATACGTCACTATGAAACTGTCAGGGTTTGGCTGTATGGATAAAAATCGAAGCCTTTAAGCTATTAAAAATAAACTGTGGGTTTTTGGCGGAATTTCATCGAGTGTGGTTGGTGTCTTATTTTAATTATTCTTAAATTCGTTCATAGTGGATATTGTGAAATAAAATTGGTGTGATTTTGTGTTACAACTGTCTGCGTAACTGAAGCATTAGTAGAATCGTCAAAATATACGCTATTCCGGTCAAGTGGACGTGAGAATTTTATTGTAGTATTGACTAGCACACAGAAGCTTATCGAAAAAGCCAGCTCGATACATTTCGTGCCAAACACTTCAAGAAACATTAGAATGCGTCACACCAACATTCTAATGTAAAAAGAAAAAACAGAATAATATAACTTAAGATTAGGCTGTATGGGCATTGTTCCCTTTGCCTGCCCTGAAAAGGGAGAACTTAACAAAAAAAAAATAAAGTGTCAGTTATGTCAAATCAATCGAATCGGCCAAATATATTGTTTGTGTTATTTTCGGGGGGTTTTTATTTAAAATGTTCGACTACGCATATGTCTTAAAAAATCTATTTCTTTTATAAAGTAATGTTTAAGAAGTGTTGAATTACAGTTTTCATTATATTTGATTAATCGAATTGTAAATCGCATTCGCCTTTCATCATACCGCTTTTATTGAGTGTGCATTTTGGTTTTTTGAGGTATTAAAGAGTTTTACTTTATCATAAATTTTGCTGCTCTACTGGAAAAATTATTTTGAAGAATGTAATTTGCTGTACTAATATCCTAATTTAATTAATCTTATTATTTTTCTAGGCCGACTATGGCGGATCAATCCTCTGTTCTGGCTCTTGTTATTTTGGCTGTTGGAGTTACTGTTCATTTCTCCTTACATAAAGTTGAAGAAGGTCATGTAGGAGTTTACTATCGAGTACGTACAAAATCCATTTACTACATGCACTATAAAATTGACAAAATTAAGTGGATAACACTATTGTTGCAGGGAGGAGCTTTACTTCCTGTGACCAGTCAACCTGGATTTCACATGATGATACCATTACTTACATCATATAAAGCAATACAGGTAAAATTTTAATTTTAAAGAAATTAATCTATTGCTGGTTATATTTATGTAATGAAATATACTGTTTTTTTTTGTTTGCAGACAACTTTACAGACAGATGAAGTAAAAAATGTACCATGTGGTACTAGTGGTGGTGTAATGATCTACTTTGAGAGAATAGAAGTGGTTAATAAATTAGAACCATTCAGTGGTTTGTGCAATTCCGTATAAAACTGTTCAATTGAACATAGAGATTTTGTCATTTCATGATGGATTTTAATAGTCAATCCTTTATTTCAGTTTTGGATATGGTGCGCAATTTCACTGCGGAATATGATAAAACATTAATATTCAATAAAGTACACCATGAATTGAATCAATTTTGCAGTGCTCATTCCTTACATGAAGTGTATATTGATTTGTTTGACCAAATTGATGAAAACTTGAGAACAGTAGGTAAAATTTTATTTTCAATAGTTTGTCAATGTTTTCAAGATGTATATATATATATTTTTCTTTAAGACCCTTCAAAGAGACCTTGATGAAACGGCACCAGGGCTGAGAGTGCAAGCTGTAAGAGTAACCAAACCCAAAATACCTGAAGCTATTCGAAAAAACTATGAACTAATGGAAGCAGAAAAATCCAAGCTCTTGATTGCTGCGCAGCATCAAAAAGTATGTTTAACATACATACATGACATTCACAGTCCTACTATGAAAAAGTTAGACATGGTTTCAAACCTTATTTGGGCAAAAATTTCTATGTTTTTTTCTTAAACTCTTGTTGAACAGATGTCTAACTTTTTTTGTGGTAATAAGGTAGTAGTCTAGTTATTATTAAATTTGACAAATTGCTCATTATGAATATCTTTGCCAGGTCGTTGAAAAGGAAGCTGAAACTGCTCGTCGAAAGGCTGTCATAGAAGCTGAGAAAGAGGCTCAGGTAGCAAAAATTCAATATGAACAGAAAATAATGGAGAAAGAATCTTTACAAAAAATTGAGTTGATTGAAGACAGCATCCATAAAGCTAAACAACAAACTAAGGCTGAAGCAGATTACTACCATCTTAAGAAACAGGCAGAGGCTAATAAACTTTTACTAACAAAAGAATACTTGGAATTGAAGAAATATGATGCTCTCTCTCAAAATAATAAGATCTACTTTGGTAGTGATATTCCCAATATGTTTTTACAAGCCAATGTTGGTGATAGTGTTGCTAAGAATGTTAAAGTTGAGTGAGTTTTAATTACTTTGTCAACTCCACAGCTAGTCATTAAGTAATGTATTTTAATGTTGTGAATTTGTAACAGGTGTTTCAACAGCACCCGGGCACATAAATAACTTTTAGGAAAGATAATTAATTTTCTTTGTCCAAGTGGGAAAATCATGTTACATATTGTGATATTTTTTAAGTTATTGTGATGCTAAAGTAGGTGAAACTGACTTATTTGCAAGGTGTTCAAAAAGACATCAATAAAGACCCCTCTTCATGATAAAATAATGTTTGTAAATATATTTTTTTAAACAAGAATAAAGAACACAATAAATATTTTTGTAGTTTTATTGAAAAGAATAATAAATTATGGCTTCATTTAGATTTTGTTAAATGCAGCAATATCTACAGATTGGACGAAGTCTTCGAATTCTTGGATTTTCTCAGTGAGAAGGTCCACAGACACCTTATCATCTTCAATGACACACATGATTTGCAGCTTGTTGATTCCATAACCGACTGGTACTAATTTTGAAGCACCCCATAGAAGACCATCCATTTCAACAGAGCGGACATGTTTTTCCATTTCTTTCATGTCTGTTTCATCATCCCAGGGTTTTACATCCAGCAGGATCGAGGACTTGGCAATGAGGGCAGGTTTCTTTGACTTCTTATCAGCATAGGCCTTTAAACGCTCTTCACGGACTCTAGCGGCTTCCGCATCCTGAAAAAGATTATGATTTGAGTCATTTTGGGAAAGACAATGTACTTGTTAGGTACTTAATATGATATTACTGACTTACCTCTTCTTCGTCACCAGAGCCGAAAAGATCGACATCATCATCATCATCGTCAACTTTAGCGGCGGGTTTAGCGGGCGCTGGGGTTGTGGTTTTGCCACCAGCTGTCAGAGGGCTGACACCAGCAGCCCAGGCTTTACGTTCTGCGGGTGTGTACGAGGCGATTTGGTTGTACCAACGTAGGGCGTGTGGTAAGCTGGCTGATGGTGCTTTGCCTACCTCTTGGAATACTTGAACATCAGCTTGAGAGGGGGTGTAACTGAAGAAGTAAATATATCATATTAATTTATAAATTGCTTAGTTTACCAATTCTATTGGTTTAATTTGCATGAAAAGAATTGTTCCGGAAAGGGTGTCGTAAATCTAACCTCTGTGAAATGGTAGGGCAAATTGACGTGTTCACTTTTCCAACCTACAGAAAAATTAAGCGTTACTTACCCAGACACATAACTTCTCTCAGCTAAATATTTGTTCAATTCGTTGAGGCCCTGAGCAGATTTTACGTCTCCAATAGTCATTTTTGATAATCTTTTTTGGAATTTTACACAGGAATCACAGACTAGTTAGAGATACTAACAGGAATCCACCACACGGCCCGGTAGAAGGCGAGCGAGAGAAAAGGAAATCCGAAAGACAAAAAGAGAAAAGAAATGCTAGTTATCTTTTTTATGCGTATTGTCAGCCCTGGTTTCAAGTCTTTTGCGCTAATCAATTGATTAGGAGTAAAAGTGGAATACTGAAACTGAGTGGAATAGTTAAACATTAATATTAATGCCTTCACAGTGAACACAGTCCGGAATTCATTTTTATTCAGAAGGTTGAAAATATGAATTCACATTCAATCACGCCGTCGTCACGCCTTTTAACATTAAACTTTAAAATAATACTGTATAGGTAAAGCATTTCGCCTTTTATGTCAGGTGATTTTAAAAAGTAGTGTAGAAAATTTTACGTGACACATTTGACTGTGTTTTTGACAGTTTCCGTATGTGTCTCTGTCATTGTCATTTTATTTTTCAGAATTTGTGATTAAAATTTAGGTATGATAGCAGGGACAATATTACAAAACTATAATTATTATTTATATTATTATTTTAATTATTAAAGGAACTATTTAAAATTCAGGTCATAAACCTTAAAAAATAGAAAAACATTCACTTAGGTTACATGTCCGTACTTATGTAACAATAACAGTATTTTTCAGTAAGATAAAAATATTATAGAATTATTCTTTGCTATAAATATATATTTGGCTTAACAGTGACCAATTAAAACTAATTTTGGTGGCAGTGCATTGAGTTTCAAATACGTTATAATTCACTGCAGAAAATGTTGCGCCAGCCGCTTACTCGGGCGCTTGCGCTGAGCTCTCCGTCTCGAGTGGCTCCGCTAGCGGCTCGTCGTTTCGCTGATCAAGTTCAAGCACAACCAGATAAAGTAGAAGTCTTCATTGATGATAAACCTGTATATGTTCCACCTGGCACCACAGTTTTACAGGTAATGTTATGATTTCTTATACATAGTCTTCAAATGAAAAACAACTTAAAATTTTCCTCCTCATCCGAAATAAAACAATAATATATTTTTAGTTATTTTCATTGTACTGATAAATAGGAAGAATATATTAATATAATATGTAAAATTGTACCACAACTATTTGACTTTTGTTTATCAAGTTTTGAAGAAAATCATTCTCTATGTCACTTAATTAATTTGTTATTTTGTTTATTTCTATTCTTTGGCTTTTATTACACTAAACCTTCTATAAAAATATATCCAACTAATGGTGAAAGGCACATGTAAATCCTTGCCATAGTTTTGTTTTTAAGAGCCCTTTTACAAAATTGTGCCGCTGCAGTTTAGGTAAATACGGCCACGAGTCTGTGAGAGTCGCACGAGCGAGACATCGATGAGGCAATGTTCAGTATAGCGCGCTTTACCAAATTGATACTTTAATATGCAATTAGTGGATTATACAATAAGTGCAAATATAAAAGAAATTTAATTTGCTGTAGGTTTGTGTTAAACAAACAGAAGTTTCTTATTCACTCAGTAATTAAATGAAAATGGTAATGCGAAATAATATTCTATTTACTTGTTTCTTTTAGTATTAACTTCTTTAATGATGAATGATGTTTAGGTAATAATTAAAATTTCTCAGTTAAAACTACTAATTGTTGTTTTATCTTCGCCTTCGTAGTCCATTTAATAAAAAAGTTTTCTCACTCTGTACTTGGAATATTTCTGTAATAGTTTTTGGTAAAAAATTAAAAACATTTTTTTGTATTCATGCTAGACATCCGCAACACCTTTAACAGTCTCCCCCCAAAATAATACCAGCCTTCATATTTGACAAAAAGTACAGAATACGTCTACTGGATGACAACGATCTCAAGGTAAAACACAAGGCTCTCATGATCTACACCGACGGCTCTAAAACCTCATCGGGCACGGGCGCGGGCGTTTTCTCTGAGGACCTCAATATACATATCACTTTTCCCTTAAGCCCGTACAACACAGTTTTTCAAGCTGAATGTATGGGCATCATACTGGCGGCAAGAGCGATCCTTTCAAGAAAGGTAACAAGACAGGAAATACGAATACTGTCCGACAGAAAATCAGACCTACAAGCTCTAGATGCTTGTTAAGTCAAATCGAGCCTCCTGCAAGAATGCCACCAAACCCTAAACACGGTAGCGTAAAGCAATTCTATTACTATCCAATGGATCAAGGGACACAGTGGATCACGCAGAAACGACGCTGTGGATGAGCTGGCCCGGAAGGGGTCTTCGATCCCAACAGGACATGCACATTTTAATAGACATCTTTTTAATTAAGGTGTCACAGACAACCCTCTATGCAGAGGATGCATGGCTCCCATGCATCCTCAGCTCCCCGGACTCCTTAGGTTCGAGTGGCCTGGAGGCTCCAGACGGAGAGGAGACTCCCCGTGGGGAGACGCTATCCGACTGGAATACCTCCAGAGGCACTCGCCAATTCTCGGCTTGAGGTCCCTTTAGGATCTCGCCGTCCCCAAACCCGGTGACGCTGTAAAGGTCATCTGCGACCAACAGCATACACACTCAAAAAAAATCAGCTCCCCGGGAAACCTCCAAGAGACAGTCACCAATGTGAAGGCCCTGGGGGCGTTCCTGATGGAGCTGGGCTGGCTGGAGTGATTTCGGCTATACACCCTCCTAACGCAAAAAAGGCGCCATAAGGACGTCGAGTTGCGGAAACGTCCGTTAAAAGAAGAAGAAGAGAACAGTCTCCCCCACGAGTGTATTATGGAGGCACTGCGTTTTCACTGCGTGCCTCCATACCTGCGAGCCATCGTGGAGGACCTGCAGGAGAAGTCAGTCTTCTACGAGGGGCCCGCTGGAAGCGTATGCTCTCGGGCCATGGCCGCAGGGGTATCCCAGGGGTCAGTGCTGGGTCCACTGCTCTGGAACCTGGAGTACAACGTGGTGCTGCGAGGCAACCTCTTTCCCAGCATGGAGGTTGTCTGTTTTGCCGACGACATATTGGTGGCAGCGAAGGCAAAGTCGGTAGTGGAGGCGGTTTTCCTGGTGTCGGTCGGCATTGCGCTAAGCCGATGCGGCGGCCTCTTTTCCGCATAGTGCAGATACTGACCGGACACGGATGTTTCGGTTACTACCTGTACCGTATCGCCCGCCGGGAAGAAACGCCGCGGTGCCATCACTGCGGCGCCCCGGACGATACGACCGAGCACACCTTGTTGGAGTGCTCGGCCTGCCTACAGCGGCGCCGCGGCCTAATCGCGGCTTCTCTCTGAGGAGCATGGTAGAGTCCATGCTCAGTAGCGAGACGGCATGGAAGGCGGCTGCCTCCTTCTGTAAGAACGTCATCTCGTAGAATGAGGCAGCCGAGAGGGAGCGGGTGGATGATCCCCTGGTCGCTCCCTCCCGCCGAAGAAGAGCGGGCAGGAGAGGACGATTGTGCGCCCTGGCTGCGCCCTGGATGCACTCTGGCTGCGCCCGTCCTATGACCCTGCCCGTGGGGATCCCGAGCTGTCCGGCACAGTGCATTGCACGTGCCGGGCAGCTACACTGGCATATATATAGAGTTGAATGATCTTCACATACACGAGACCCAAGTGGAATATCGAAAGACTGATGTGATTGGCTGAGGCAGTCAGACCAGATAAAAAAGGGTCTGTCAAACCGTTATTAACTTAAATGGTAGGTTTTAGACAACAATTCATACAAAAAAGCACAGAGGATTTAATGACATGAATTTATGATTATTCTATTTTAAAAAAATCATATCTTGGCTTCGATGTACTTTACAGATATATGGCCTTAATATTTTATTATTTATATTTTTAGTTCTATTCAATAAAAAAAATCATTTGTGGCCGCAGACTTTGAAAATCAAGCCACTTTTACCCAAACCCCTTTTCACTGTATTTACTTATTTATATCAACTGATTCCAAAAATATTCGAAATCAATCATACGTTTTCCATCAACCATGTACTCCTCCTGAAAACAGATTATCTGATTGACTACAATAATAGTTTTTATTGACTATCTACACAAATAAACAGATTTAGGCAATACTGGAAATACATTTCCAATTCAGACACAGATATGGTAGGTAAATCAGCAAGTTACTGTCAATTGAACTTATGGAGCAAAGATTTCTAAATCTAAAATATTAAAAATAAACTTTTTTGCTCCAGAAATGAATCCCTTTTGTTTAAGTTAAAAAAAAAACAAACTGCTGACATTGTAAACTATGTACCTAACCTACTGTAGTAGTGAAATAAGCATTAAGTCAGTATAATATAGATAAAATATTTACATTTGAGTCTTACTGTCTGCTATCCTTTGTTCCTCGGCTTCGATTTCCAATCCAACAGCACATTTTTCCTATATTATTAAATATATTATTTTAATTTCAATTTCTCTTTTCATTATCAACTTCCATTAACAGCATAAAAACTTACAGTTTCCGTTACAATCGAATCCATTGAACTTATGGTTGGTATAGTAGTTTCAGTATTTTCGGCCAGGGCAATTTTCTCTGCGGGGTTGGCATTAGAATTTTGTTTCCATCTAAAATGAGTGGAGCTGTGAATTTCTATTCTAAATATATAATTATGTTGAGCTAATATTTACTTTAGCGGCCCACGAGCTTACATTTGTTATACTTGATCGTAGTGCAAAATTTACTGCATTCTAGCTTTTTTACAGATATTAGGGTAGATTGTAAGAAGCTTAGGTTTAAATCGGGGAATGTATGGTGGTCACAACTAACCGCTTTATTGGAAAACGCGTTTATAGCTATATCTCCTAAATTATTGACTTTACGGAAAAAAATGTTGTGCTCTTTTGTTTATTAGTAAAGTCTCTAACTCATTTTTTAAATCATTTTATTGTAACTCTTACCGTTTTTTCAATTATTGATTTCAGTTTATTTGAACATGTTTACAGATTTTCCTTTATAAAACCTTAAAAATGACATTAATTGATAAAAAATGTCGTATAAAAGTTATTTGTGATTAAATACCCTACAACTTTTGTATGAAGTCATTTTAAAGTTATGAGTCGTTAATGTGGTACAAAAACGGGCATTGAATTGTAGTTACAGAAGTATCCGAAAAAAATAACTTACTTTCATACAAATTGAAGCTGATGATGATTTGTGTTAGACTGTTATCGATTAATTGCAAAAAAATGTTATTAGAAAATAAGAAACAGATATATGTACTATAAAATATTTTATATAATATTAGTGATGAGAATCAATTGCACTTGTACAAAACTCTGATATACTGTGTCATTGCTACGTTAACAACTCGTAACTTTTAAAGTATTTATTAAATAAAAAAAGATTTATACAAAAGTTGTAGGAAATTTAATGACAAATAACTTTCATAAGATATTTTTTATCAATTAATGGCATTTTAAAGGTTTTATAAAGGAAAAACTACAACTACATGTTTAAATAAACAACATAATATATAACAACAAAACAACAATCGAAAATCGGTAAAATGTACAAAAAAGTTTAAGACAAAAAAGTTAGGAAATTTAGTAATAAACAAATAAGCTCAGTACTATTTTCTTCATAAAGTAAAGTTTTGGCTGAAAGGGGTGTCGTCCCACCCTCAAGCCCGTAAAATCGTTGGCCTTTAGAGAACACTCTTTAGTACCTACTTATTTAGTAGAATTGTACCTTGACTGCCTACAATTTTATACCTTAAAAATGATGATACTTTAAAAGTCCGGACAAATCACCATTTTCATCCAATCAAAACACCCATGGAAACCACAAAAATAAAAACGAAATGTTAAAAGCCTTAACCTTGCTTCACAAGCTTTCTTTATGGCTGCATCATTCTTTCGTTTAATTTTTTGACACAATGGTAAGCAGGAGTTTTACGCCCCATTGTAAAAGCTAATAACAAAAATATTAGTTGAAGCAACGATAATTAATAACTAGGTAGGTACCTACAACAATAAAAAATAA